GACCATTTCGACTTACGACCTGGATTTGGGTCCCTAACCCCGTCGTAAGTCGGGGAGGAGCTGTACATGGCAAGGAACGTTGTATGGATCAGAAGCGTGGACCCTTTCAACAGACACTAACAAGAGGTTGGAGACCTTTGAAATCTGGTGTTAGAGGAGAATGATAATAAGTTATAGTGACAGGAAAACAAATGAAGAAGTACTAAGGTTAGCAAAAACTTCAAGAGAAATATTGAAATGTACAGAAAAAAATGAGGCACTTTTATTATATAATTTGGGAAGAGGCAATAATAAAAAAAATATTAATGGGCAAAGTTGAGGGTAGGAGGACCAGGGATGAATGAATTAAATAAAAAAAACTGGGTCCCCACATTTAGAGTGGAGAACTGTGGTCACCAATGCTCAGATGTGAGGACAGTACTTGATTCATTGTTATACCTGTATCTAAACATATAAAACTTTACATACCTCCTTTTCTGTAAGGTATTGCTACAACATACACATCTCCAGGTTGAGGCTCAAGGAGAGGTAGAAAGGATATGCGACTTACATCTGGGTTACCTAGAAAGAAAAACTAAGAATAATTTCTGGAAAAAATGTTTATTATCATACTAATAATTTGTTATATATTTATCTATTTCTGATATATTTATGAAGGTGTTGTAAATTGAATTATTCTATACACTATGAAAATGCATACCTGTACTGTATTTAAAAATGGTAGGTCTTTTCTACACTTCCCCAAAATTAAACTTTTTGTCTCTCCACATCTTTATTGAAACAAAAAGAATAAAGACAGTATTAATAAACTAAATAGCAATTCTAAGTATGTTCTTATCAAGTTAAGCCATTCAAATATTACTACTGTAATGTTTTATTCTACCAATAACTGGATGAGAATGACCATCTCTAAAGAAACCAATTTCCATGTATTCATTATGGAGATGTAGGTTTGAGGAAAAGAACCTTAATCAAATGTATGTACATGTATGAATCACTGAATGACCAATCAATGTTCAAATCTAAGAGAAAAACATGAAACCAATTAAGTTATTCTGAAAAAGAGTAAGTTTTATTCAGAATATGAAGATACAACAGCATCCACAGACAGCAAAAACATTCAGGTACAACAAGTCATCCTGGTGCAGAGGAAACAATCGAACAATACTACCTAGCAGAAGGTCCGTTGTGGCAGTAAAAATAGTACGTACTCTGAAAGTCTCCCGTATTAACCACCAGAAAGGAAATGGGAGTTGCCAAAGTCTGTAAAACCCTAAGAATAGAACAATACTTATTTTGAATCTGGTAAAAGTCTGATTCACTCACAATATTACAGATATTTGGTAAACCTAGAAACCTTACCAGGTATTCTACCAATTCATATTTCAAAACCATGAGCAAAATCAAAGAAATAAGTAGAATGATGAAACTCCTTTCTAGGCAAATTTCAAAATTATCTACCGAGGTTCAGCTAATCCATTATTGCCAGGAAGTATGGCAATGGAGTCTGAATGGTTTAATTAGCTTGTGTCTTGTTAACTATGGCTAAAGAGGTATAAACCAAGGAGGAATTAACAAAGATTTTTTCTGAGGCATCAGTCACCCTACCTTAGTTAGGCTGACTAAGAATATCAATGCTGTGTTATTAGCGCCACACAAGTTTGACTTTACAAGAGTAGTCTCAAAAAATAAAATAAACAGGTGTTTCTCTCTCTAGCCATAAAAATGGAATTAACAAGCTTAGTCCATTTTATGCATAGTCTTTGTGAACTGTATCTATATGTTCATTTAATCTTCTGAACACTGGGAACACAGGATTAGGAGGCAATGTAGCAGGAGGAGCTGTTGTAGACAGTGGGTAGTGTGGTTTGTTCTGAGAAAAGAGTGGAGTGTGGCGGGGGAGGGGGCTGTTGGCTGTGGGTTCTCTGATGGCTTGGAGTGGTGCGGTGGTCGGCACTACACAATCATAACTTCATGCATGATATTTTCATTACAGTAACAAATTTACAATAATGGGATGTTTCTGTTAAAGAGAAGTCAAATATGTCCTAGTGACATAGGTTAATCAAAACTGAATAACATGTACAGTGGTCCCTCGGTTAACGAGCGCCTCGGTTAACGAGATTTCGGTTAACGAGTTACCTTCCATAAGATTCTTAACTTCGGTTGACGAGCAATCCCTCGATTAACGAGTTTCTTACGAGCGGACCTCAACATGTTTTTGCTTGCATTTGGCGGTCCACCAGCTGTAGTATTAGCCCGCCAATACAGTAATCGGTTCTAGGGCTTAAATTCCTTACCATTTTAGCAAATATCATGAAGTTTATACTATTCAATAATTTTAAAAATTTAATATTAAATTTTTTAGTCATTTTAACAATTATTGAACATAATTGAAGGCAATGAAACTAGTTTTATGCGCACCATCCAGCCTGTCAACACACCATACAGGCGTCAGTCTTTGTGTCTTTTCAGTGGAGGTAACATCTTGCTTGAGACTCTCTTCAACTAGACGCTTTTTTCTGTGTTTGCAAGCAAATTATTGGTCATTTTGAAATTTATTTTACATATTGACAATATATAATGCAGTGCAGTGTTGATTTAAAGAAAATAATCTTGAATTACACCAAGAGAACTAAAATTTTATGGGTGAAATGGCGCCATGGGGTGACTTCTCTTCCACCCCAATGCCTTCTCTTCTCCCTTCTCCTCCACCCCCATTCTAATTCCCATCATCATCATCATCATCCAGGAGCCTTCTACATACACACCTCAAAGTAAGTGTACTTTTCTACATTATTTGTTGAATTTAGGCAAGTTTTGGTGAGCTGGAACCAATTACCCAAAAACCCATTGAAACAATGGTTTCGGTTAACGAGCAACCTTCTAGAACAGATTGTGCTCGTTAACCGAGGGACCACTGTAATCTGATATATTACAACTGCTGTAATGGACGCTTGTACACACACAAAAACAACTATCTTCCCACCTGGGTCCACTATTTGGAAATGAACACAATGTACTGTACAGCAGTTTTGGTTCGGTTGATATTTTCTGATTGAGTTGTACCTGATAAAAACTATGATAACTGCAGGTGCAACTCCCAATCATAAATACCAACTCAACTGAAATTGTTGGACATTGTGTTCATTTCTAAACACCGGACCCAGGAGGACACATAGTTTCTTTTGTTTGTATACATATCCACGTGAAAATATTTCAACTGTATTAGTCTCCACCTCACAAAAACATGCATTAGAATAGGTTAGTCGTATGAAGTTATGGATGGGATGTTACTGTCTTGACACCCATACCTGAGGCTCCCCTGCTTAACCAGTCAAAAAGAATCCTTACCACATGAGCCAATCAGCATGAGCATTGCATAACAAAATACACTGAAACAGCAGTGGCATTCAAGCAAAAGCTTGAGTGAGAACTGGATGTATGACATATTAATTTCTTATAAAGGAAAATGCAATGTACCTCAAACTTAGCAGATTTTTCCCCTGATGGTTTCCATTTATAAACAATAAGAATGGAGTGAATACCCACCCATTGGTGGGAGGGGTCAGCTAAACAGTCTGCTGATGAAAGGTTTTACCGTACTGTATATATAAATGACAAATACTTGCAAAGCATATGATCTATTTGCTTCTCAGTCAGATTCTCCTGTTGCCTTATATAAACAATAGTTCGAGGGTCAACAGTGGTGATTTGTAAACGAGTGCGTCGAAACTGTTCTCCTTCCTCTCCATCTTCAATTTCTCCTTCTTCTTCCTGAAATTTGGCATATATAAAATTATTTTAAAAATTAGCTTCAACCTTTGGTTAGAAATTATCATAAATAATTTGAATATATTCTCCAAAATAAATTATCTCCACAAAAGGTGATTCCTAATAAGCATTTCTAAATCGTTGGTACCTTCCTTACCAATTTTTCCAGACAGCCATGTGACTGCCCAAAAGTTTATGAACACATTAATAACTTCCAATTCTATTTAACCCACTCACTGTGGGCTCACTGTACAGTATATAGTTTGCCCCAATTTTTCTATTCACTATGGCATCACCATATACATAAAGTACTTCTTTTTTTAATAGTCAGTACAATATGCATTAGTGTTGTAGTACTCTCCCACCACCTATATGATGTTGCCATATAATAGATCATTTACGTTTTACCTTAAAGAATTAATAACCTTCATGATGCCAAGTAGGTAGGGGGGATACCATTAGCTTGTGTTATTACAGTTACCTTAGATGCCTTTCACAAGATGTGAGAAAGAGAGAACATTGAGTGTTGTGCTGGTGTATCTGGAAAAGAGGATCCTATTTTGTACCCTTTTTAAAATGGTAAAGATCCTTTCTTCAAATAAAAAAAATGTGCTGCACTGGATAAGGGTGCAACATCACAATAGGACTGTAGTGAAAGGGTTAAGCATTTGTATAAACTTATGGATACAGAAACAATAACTAGTGTTGCTAGTAATAGTATATTGTGCTTACATTCCAGTCTTCTATGGTTCTAGGAACAGCACGATAGGAACCCCTCATCATTCTGTCTTCCTCTTTTGGCTCAGCTTTTGGGTCAGGCAATTCAACTAAGTTATCTAGCCTCCTCTTCTTTGGAACATATTCACCAGGCTCCACTTCCAGAATCTGAAGAAAAAACTTATTATTAGCAGGGGCAGATCCAGGATTTTATGAGGGAAGGGGGGCAGAGGGGGGTGGGGTGAATGAAAATAAAGTCAAAAGAAAAAGAGTAACATAAAAGACTAAACATTTTGGCTTGGAAAAATTTAAATTTTTCTTTAAATACTATTAATAAGTATAGAAATAAAACCAAACGCAGTTAATGGCAGTTGTTAACTGACAATATTTAACTTCCACAGATTGACAACAGAATATAGTACAGTATACTACTACGTATACACTATCATGGCATTATGGGTACAAGTATTCCTTGCTATACGAATGAGTTAGGTTCCTGAAAACCCATTCGTTAAGTGAATTTTCATATCTCAAATAGGAGAACATAAGGGAAAAATAGGGTTCGGTTCCCCAATGACAAGGAATCCCCAATATCATACTCCCAAAACATGAAATCACTTCACGAATAACAAAAATTCCTACCTAACTAATGATACTGTACATAGTATGTACACATCTACGTTAATTTACTACCTAACACATTAAAAACATTAATAAAATACTATCTAGATAAAAATATACTGCTAAAACCATTAAGGAAAAGATAAATGAAAGATTAAAACAACCTTCATATGCACAGACGCTGGCTGTGTGGCCTTAAGGCTCGCCATAGCAATGCAGCCCAGCTGAGACACTGCCTCTGCCGACCTTTAGTAATAGGGCTCCGACATTCCAATCCTCCGTCCAGTTCTCGTACACAAAGAAATATTTATTCCCTTTATGTTTTGGAGCATATGGTAATTAATTATTTTTTGGCACATTCTGTACAGATATGTAGGATCGTGTGTGCATGTAACTGAGGAAATAAAATATGAAAAATGAGTAAATAAAATATGAAGAAAGTTATGCTTATCCACCCAAAATTATGAATTGAAAAATAACCATAACATAGCTCACACCTCAGTTTGGTAAGGGGATGTGGCCACCCCAGCTGACTCCCAGGGGTGCTTAAGGAGAACAAGCTTTCATCAAATGAAAAAGAGGTGTTAATTTAGGAAATTCGTATAAGTGAATTTTCGTATCTCGAACGTTCGTATTGCGAGGATTCCTGCACTGTATATAAAAAATTACATTTTATTAAATACCTTAAACAACTTAAAGTAATGAAACAATGTTTGTCACCATACTGCCCCGACAGCAACCACTGGATCTTTTCTCACATTTCTACCTAAACTTGGATTTGCAAGTGGCATGTTTGTTATTAGTATACGTAAACTCATTGCAGCAAATTTTTAAACATGTTTATTCCTGTCAATCATTTCCATGGCAGGAGGCACAAATAACATTTACGGTTATAATCTTATAATGATCAAACACTGTGCATAAACATTTCCTCTGTAATCTCAACGCCAGGACAGTTTTACCTGAGTCGGCCAGCCAGGCAATTGCCTTTCCAATGACATCGTAACTCTCTCACACAGAGGGCAATTTAGATACAAAAATTATTTCCTAGTTCTAAAATTTGCTTTGTTTATGAACCATTTTTGATACTTTAGATCAAAAAAGACTTTTCAACTTTCCAAAAAATAACCTGACTCTACTGTAGGTGTTGAGGACTACAAATTCTAATGAACTTTGGAAAAATAAATGAAATAACAGACATCTCTGAAGAGGTGGGGCTGAGGTGAAGTGATATGAGGTGATGTCATGTGCAGTGTATATAAGGGCGACAGTACTGTAGTTGCCAAAATTGTTTTGAATATAATCATTTTGTCTACCACTGTGGGTGACTCTCCAGCCATGCCTTTATTAAATACCACACTTTACTCATTAACAAACCCTAAAAAATGCCAACTTGAGTAGAAAACTGGAAAAAAAAGCCAACCCATGTCAACCGAATTTTTATGCAATTACTCAAAACTATCCAAATTTGACATGATTACTGCCAACCTGGCAACTCTGGGGATACTGACAAAACTAGCTACAGAAGAACAAAGTTATACAGTATACAGTTGACCTCAAGGGGAAAAACACACAACATAATCTTGCACCTTACTTCTGGTCAAGAATTTTTGCAGGATTAAACAGCCTGTAGTTCCAATGACCTCACTAGACTATTGTACGTCAATCCATTTCAGCATGATGTTAGTCATTTATACAAAGATTTTTTCTATTTTTATGCATTAATAAATCAATTATGTGCAACCTTCATTGAGCTAACATAAAAAAAAGGATTCGACAATTATCTTCCAGTTAGCAGACTATCTTCGCTAACTCCTTTGTATTGAGGACGTTAGTACCGGTACATATTATTTACAATCTATTATAATTTATATTATGCTATAACAATAAAACATACAGTACAGTATATATTTCTTACTTGAGTAATCGATAAAAAGTCCATTCTCTCTTGTATGATCCTTGTTACAGAAATAACTTGTACAAGAATGTAATCTACAAATTACAACTGAATCTGTATGTGTAGCATTAAGATATGTATACCTAATGTTAGCTAAGACCTTCAAGATCATTTGATTAATATGCTGAGGGCACAATTGTACATAGTTTTAATAAAGATTGTGATATGATCCAATCAGTTATGAGCTCCAATAAGAGGAAAACACAGATTTTGTCTGTTGTGAAGTTGTCAGATCTAGAAATGTCAAAGAATCTCATATGCACTGAAGTACAGTATGTGAAATGCTGAAATCAACCAATTGTAATTATTCACTGAATGTGAAAAGTGCTCATGAATGCTCAAGTTGTTTTGTCTAACAGGAACCAATGAAGAAAGTGATTTCCAACTCGCTCCTTTAGTGATTGTTTTGCTAAACCATTGAAAGCTCAGATACTGATTATTTTAAATTTAGATGTTACAGTGTACAGTTAATGCTACTTTTAGGTGTGAATCTAGTGAAATTTATAAATAGGAGTTGGTAACTGGCAGGAATTCTGTTTCAGAGTTGTTAACACTGTTCATGCAATTTACAGGAATTTCCATTTTAACCTACAGTAAATAAAAGTGTACAATATGTAAACATACCTTCCATAAAACAAGCTACACAACAGATATAAACAAACACATTTCGTTCTGAAAACTTCTGTTTACGTTCTGGACTTGTCATGCGTATGGTACAGATGCTGGTCACTGGTGGTGGTGGGTTGGCACCAGCTAACCCTGACCAACCAGTTTGAGAGGTTTAAGCTATATCAACTAAAAATACATGAACTATCAGGTACCACACCAAACAGATTTACAAGGAAACACACCTACCTACACAAACATACACACGCAACCATAAAAAAATAATTGATAATGATTTGTTTTGTAACACATCTGCAGGCAGGTTCCACTAACTCAGGGTCACAAGGTTCTAGTTAGAGATGTACAGTTATTAATATGTTTATGGGTTCACGGCTGAGCAGCCTGGCTGTCAATGTAGCTATCCCGGCTGCATAGACTACCAGGCTATTCAACCAGTGATGATTTAACAGCCACTGCATTTTCACAATTAGGTCTAATTTACAATAAAATCTGAAAAATACTATTTACTGTAATATAAGTGAAAAATATAATGGAAAAATTAAGTTCAAAGTACTGTACCTTCTGAAAGCTTATCTTGGGTAGTCCTTCAGGGAAAAGATCTTTAACAATACTGGTGGTAGACACTGACCCAAATGGAACATCAATGGGAGGAAGATTAGCATCACGTAAATGCTCATCCTCAGGTCGCGATGAAAGAAAACCTAAACGTCCTTCACATAGCCCCTCAACCTCTCCACCTAGAGGAGGAAGACATTGGTCACTACATAAACTAGCTCTAATTCTGTTTTGTTCCCCTTTAGTTTATCATGCTTGTGGCAACTACCTAATACAATACCTATACAATCTTCCTTTTATTAATTAGACTCAAAACCTACACTCTGCGTGAAAGAGTTGTGAGTCAGCTGCTTTTTGCAAATGACATTGCTCTAGTGGGCAATCTTAAAGAAAAATTACATACCATTTATATATTGTCCATAAATTTATGTCAACAAAACTGTCATACCTAATTCAGCAAAGGTTTGGTTCAGGGTATCTGTGTCCATTATATTGGATCCTAAACCGGCCAGTATTGAGCCTACTGCTTCAGTTGCAGCATCTCGAGAACCAGATATCATTTCTGGTAAAGAAAGTTGGGGTTCATGAGATTCAATTGAGTTGATTTCAATGTTGTCCCCTGTTTTTTTCCTGAGAAAATCCAACTTTCTTTGTCGTTCCTCTTCCTCTGCCTGAAAAAAATAATAAGTCAGCAATTCAACTCTTAACCTTTTATTAACGTATGCTATAATGTACTGTACTTGGATATATTGATGAAATTTTCTGTAAATTCACCTACCTTTGCTCTCTCCAAATATGGCCTACAATCCCCAAGATAATGGATTACAGTCCTGTTTTTAATGAGAGGTGTATGATATGTAAGGCGAGCAAATTGTCCTTGAGGTTCCCACTCAATATTAAATGTAGTCTCTGTCAGTCCATAATCATTTGAAGATAATCGGATATCTCCCAAGGTTTTCCAGCGAAACAGATCAAGTTTATCTGTAAATAAAGAAACATTTATAAAAATATGGTTTAAGATCTGAGGTGGGAAGTGAAGGCACACACAAAAAAATAGAGGTATAAAAAATATCTTTATATCACAGTACTGTACTGTACCGTGTAAATGGCAATAATTAACATTTAAGTGATTCTGAAACTCTGTCATGAGACCTCCAAATTTGGTGACTGCCTTCACAGAATATACAGTATTATATACAGTGGTCCCTCGGTTAACGAGCGCCTCGGTTAACGAGTTACCTTCCATAAGATTCTTAACTTCGGTTAATAAGCAATCCCTCAATTAACGAGTTTCTTACGAGCCGACCTACAACATGTTTTAGCTTGCATTTGGCGGTCCACCAGCTGTAGTATTAGTCCGCCAATACAGTAATCGGTTCTAGGGCTTAAATTCCTTACCCTTTTAGTAAATATCAAGAAGTTTATACTATTCAATAATTTTAAAAGTTTAATGTTAAATTTTTTAGTCATTTTAACAGTTATTGAACATAGTTGAAGGTAAGGTCACTAGTTTGTGGCACGCCATCCAGCCTGCCAACACAGCATACAGGTGTCAGTCTTTGTGTCTTTTCAATGGAGGTAACATCTTGCTTGAGACTCTCTTCAACTAAATGCTCTTTTTCTGTGTTTACAAGCAAATTATTGGTCATTTTGAAATTTATTTTACATATTGACAATATATAATGCAGTGCAGTGTTGATTTAAAGAAAATAATCTTGAATTACACCAAGAGAACTAAAATTTTATGGGTGAAATGGTGCCATGGGGTGACTTCTCTTCCACCCCAATGCCTTCTCTTCTCCCTTCTCCTCCACCCTCATTCTAATTCCCATCACCATCATCATCATCAATGAGCCTTCTACATACACACCTCAAAGTAAGTGTACTTTACTACCTTTGTTGTTGAATTTAGGCTATTTTCGGTGAGCTGGAACCAATTACCCAAAACCCATTGAAACAATGGTTTCGGTTAACGAGTTTTTCGGTTAACGAGCAACCTTCTAGAACGGATTGTGCTCGCTAACCGAGGGACCACTGCTATACTTAAAAGTACTTGTTCCTGTATCTGCCTCTTTGTAGTATGGAGAGCCAAAGGAATCAGTCTTGGATCCAATCTTGTAAAGCATTTACACATTTAATCTTGTCTCTTTTATTGAAGACACACAATGCCGAGTACCTCCAGAATTTCAAAAAGTACCAGACTTTGTTACTTAAGTAAAGGTATTGTGATATTGGCAAAATGTTACACAGCATACTGTATGTACAGTCAGCCAAAGATGTACTGACCCCACCTGGGTCTCGTGCTCGCAATTTTACCTGGCAATACTTGGTAAAGGAAGGCTGTATGTAAAGGTAATTGTAATTGGTGGATCTGTTTTTGGCTGTATCACTGTCAAGATAATTATTAAACAAACCAAAGGCAGAATTTGTATAATAATAAACTACTCATTGTTATTTAAGGTCATGAGAAGTTTCCAATTTTTTGTATAGTATTTGCTTAAATGATGAAGAAAATTATATTAATGAATTGGCAACTCAACTACACCACAGCTGCCACAACATTCTATCAACAAATTTTCTTCATTATTTAAACAAATATATACAAACATTTGGAAACTTCTCATGACCTTAAATAACAATGAATGGTTTATTATAAATATGTTACCTTTGGTTTGTCTAAAATTTATCCCGACAGTGATACAGCCGAAACAGGTCCACCAATCACAATTACCTTTACATACAGCCTTCCTCTACCAAGTATTGCCAAATAAAACTGCGAGCACGAGACCCAAGGTAGGGTCGGTACATCTTTGGTTGACTGTACATGGGCAACACTATCTACTGTATATAGTATTTTGAAAACAGAGCAAAATCACAATTGGCCATAAAATCTTAACATAGTACTGTATGTAATAATTCTATATGACTTACCTTTAGCACAAAGATTAATTACATAAACACCCCCTGGCTGTGGCTCTGAGAGAGGAACTGTAAGTCCTCCTCCAGCATTAAGTAATTCCCATATGTGGCTAGGAGGTAAGGGGCTATTAGTTAGAAGCTGTGAGTGCTGTCCAAAGTTTACGTCTCCCATTGACAACAAAGTATGTGTCTGGGTTCTCACCTGTGGTAGAAGAAACATACAGTATGTACAGTATTGCATTAAATAACCATATCGTTCAATCCATGGTTGTCCTCTGAAGAAAATTCAATTAGCTACAATAAATTATCAAACACTGGGAGTTGGCATTTGTAAATGATTCATGGAACTTATAATTGAAGATAATTTTGCATGGAGCATAATACTTTAAATAGAAAATAGGATAATGAGTATTAAAAATAACCATACAGTTGTACCCCACTTAACGCGGTCAATTGAACCCAGAGGGTCCCGCGTTAAGTGAAATCCGCGTTAAGTGAACAACAGAACATATGGGATTAATTCCAATAGAAACCGGCCCGACCCCCAAACTCCACTTTTTGAAGGCACATACCTATGTTGTAGTAAAAATAACATCTTAATTTTATGATGGTACATGCACACAATTAATACTTATGAGAAATAGAGAAATACAGTCGCCAAGTTAATGTCCATTCAAATAATGGACTCAACTCCCTCCCCCTCTCACACTACACAGCCGGCTAACAGATGGTCGGTCGGTCCCTCCCTCCCCCCCCACCCCCCACCAACCGTCCCAAGGAGATGTGTGGGATAACCTCAAACTAAAGTTAGGAAAATATAATTGACATTGCTGGATTCCTTGTAAGACCAGGAATATTTTGAATATAAATGTCATATATTTTGCACAAAAGATAACATAGTTACCTAGAGAAAAATTTTTATCTAAAAATTGTAAGTTTAAAGCAAAATATATGATGTTTATATTCAAAATGATCACCAAATTATAAGAATTCCAGCAATGTAAATTATATTCTGACCGGGTAATTTGTATGAATTTTATGAGCTAAAACAAATATCTTCAGTTAATAAAAAAAAAAATCTTCACGACACTATCTGTCAATCAAAGTACCCCACCTTGCCTCCCCCCCTCTTCCAACCGCGCGGTCAGTCCCAACCCTCCCCCCCACCCCCCACCAATCCTCCCTTCCAGAGTTTTTAACATTTAGTATTAAATAATACCTCAGATTAAAGTTAGGATAATATAATTGACATTGCTGGATTCCTTGTAAGACCAGGAATATTTTGAATATAAATGTCATATATTTTGCACAAAAGATACCATAGTTACCTAGAGAAAAATTTTTATCTAAAAATTGTAAGTTTAAAGCAAAATATATGATGTTTATATTCAAAATGATCACCAAATTATAAGAATTCCAGCAATGTAAATTATATTCTGACCGGGTAATTTGTATGAATTTTATGAGCTAAAACAAATATCTTCAGTTAATAAAAAAAAATAATAATTCTTCACAGGGTAACAGATGGTCGGTTGGTCCCTCCCTCCCCCCCACCCCCCACCAACCGTCCCAAGGAGATGTGTGGGATAACCACTAAATTTTAATAAATAATACCTCAAACTAAAGTTAGGATAATATAATTGACATTGCTGGATTCCTTGTAAGACCAGGAATATTTTGAATATAAATGTCATATATTTTGCACAAAAGATACCATAGTTACCTAGAGAAAAATTTTTATCTAAAAATTGTAAGTTTAAAGCAAAATATATGATGTTTATATTCAAAATGATCACCAAATTATAAGAATTCCAGCAATGTAAATTATATTCTGGCCTGGTAATTTGTATGAATTTTATGAGCTAAAACAGGCAGTCAGGCAGGGTGGCGGGTGGGGCAAATCTAAAAATAGCGTCTCGGACACTCACCGCGTATATGTGGAAAAAATCCGCGTTAAGTGAAAGTTCAGCTTTGGCAAGGCACCGCGTATATGCGAAAACGCGTTAAGTGAAACCGCGTTAGGCGGGGTAAAACTGTACTTTAAAAATCAATCTTGGATAAGCCATGACTATCTCTAACTGCTTATTTCTTATTGCCTGCTAATGCAGAAAGATATGCAAAGACCTAGAAATCCCAATCACCATAATGTCATTTTTGTCAAGTTTATCCTCTTTAAACACGAACCTCTAATAAAGCTCCAAGAAGTGGAGAAGGAGCCCATTCTTTTATTTACCAATTAATATTCTAGTCACTCTCACTCTGCAGCTCCACTTGCTCTGCCTTACTGTTCAACCTCTGTATTGTTCTTTCTAACACTGTATTGTTGTTGTTTCATTTTAATATCTCATACAAGTGCCTATCTGTTTTTCTCTTATTCTTTCCAACTACTAACCCACTCATAAAATCTTGGTAAATGCACACCACTGCTTTCCAATGTGTGTGCTTTGTTTTTTTCAGTGTCCCTTAAATCATTTAGGATGACCAAAAATTTAATAAAGATTCTACATATGGCCACACCTCAGGGAAGGTGGTGTTAAAGAAAGTATATAATGTACAAAAGTATAAACAAGTATTCTTCATATCTTTTCTTATTTACTACACTTCATTCCACCAGGAAGTTCCCCTCTGAGGGGTGAACCATGACAGAAGAGCCACCAGGCTGCTACTACACATCTCCTTTGCTCTCTATCATTTCACAACCCATCATACCCTTCTTAATATTCCTCTTAAAATCTTAAAGTCTTTAAACTCCTCCACTGACCCATTCCTCATCAAAGCTTTGTATTTTAATTTATAATCTTTTCATATTCAATATGTTAACCAAAATTCACCATGCCAAACTCCTTCCTCTCAAAAACCGTCATTTTATAATAATATCCCACACCACTTAGCCTCCTCACTACCACACACTAACTTACAAATATTAAAGGAGTTTTACCTAAAAATCTTGTAAAGTTACATTAAAAATTATAAATACCCATACAGTATTTTGAAACAAACTATTTTAAAAATCATCCAAAAAAAAATACCTTATTACATGTACACTAAAAACTGTCCAAGTACAAAACAATATATACTGTACAGTATTTACATTGGTAACTAAACTAACCCAGTTTTCCTCCCTCTTCCTACTGGAGCGAGTGTATTACTGAAACTACCATGAGAAAGTAAGGAAAGGCTTGGTTACTCTTCTTAAGCAGTGACCTACACAGATGTACTGCCAGACTTCTCTTATTTGCTTAGTTCGTCCCTCCCTAGAAAAAAGCAGCAACAGCATAAAACACAAAATTTATAATTTTCAAAAGCAATAACTTAATTGTTATGATACTGTCACACAGTAAAATTACTCATAGTGATGAAAATACTTTGGAATATTGACAACTTTGTGTCCATATTTCAACACCTGTACCTAAGTGATTTAATAACAAGCCCTTAGACCCAGAGTTCAACTGTAACAGCATACCTCTCAGAGAATGCTGCTTCTTTGAATTTTCTTTCATTATTTCATTCATTGTTATGGGGGAAATTTTTGCTATAAAAAAGATTTAAATCTATAAAATGGTTTAAAAGTTCCACAATAGACCATGCAACATGCAATGCTCTCATCTTTTCTCTGAGCTGCATGTTTAAACCATAAGAGTGATGTCCACTCAAATCTACTCAGTTAATCAGTGTTGTCAATGTATTTACTCTGCATTGAATGTAAAACTTCAAGTCATATAATATGTGGAGGCAGTTGATACTGGATATGGCTGGGGTTTGGTTACATCAACCATAGAACCATTGTCAAGAATGCAGATAAGGGCTTCTGCCTAATCCACCAATTCATTAACAGCAAACAAGACAATTTATTAAAGGAGCATTTTATTAGAGAAGATGGTTAGGCAGTTGGGTTCCATATAGGAGGATGATCGTGTTAGCAGTGACAGCAGATGGTGATCAGTCATAAGGAAGCTCTGACTGAATGCACCAGTATGTACTTCGCTTATTGTATTTTTATGATGTCCATTAGCTTATAAAATTATTTTCTTTATTTATTAAATGTTTTAATATATTTATTAAGGTGCTCCTCTACTTACGAACGAGTTACGTTCCTGAGGCTCGTTTGTAAGTTCAATTGTTTGTAAGTCCAGCTTTACTCTTGTAGATACCAAACATATTGTAAAAAATTAAAAGATTATGGATATTTAGTACAGCTATACCTTTTAATACAGCCTTAAAACCTGGCTCACTCTTCTCCTCTTAGGTAATGTTTGATCTATCTGGAATTTTCTTCAAAATAATCCAGTTTCATCCACATTAAACACCTGTTCTGGCATGTAACCCCCCCTCAGTGATGATGTTTGTATCTCTGAAAGTTTGTAAGTTGAACGTTCTTAAGTAGAGGAGCACCTGTATAAATAATCACTATTACTGATAGCCAATGAAGTCCACATAAATCACTCATAGGTTAATACAGTGGTCCCTCAGTTAACGAACGGTTCGATTAATGAAATTTCGGTTAACGAATTACCTCCCATAAGGATCTTCAATTCGGTTAACGAACACAACTTCGATTAACGAAATTCTTACGACAGACACGTTTTGTTGTGAGCATCAGCTAATCAGCTGATGGGCTAGTCTGCCAATTCAGTAATCTGTTCTATGTTTACATTTGTTTCCAGTGGAGTAAATATCAAAAAAGTTGTGCTCTTTAATATTTGTGCATTTTTTATATTAAAATTATAAGTCATTTTAAAATTTAGTTAACATATTGATAATATATGCAGTACAGGGAACTAGTTTTTTGTGCACCCATCAGCCGCTTGACTCACCCATCAGGCGTCAGTGTGGCTTTGTTTACAGTGGAGTGCACATCGATTTTGTTGGTGTGTTGAATATTTTTGCATTTTTACATTAAAATTATTGGTCATTCTGAAATTTAGTTAACATATTGATAATATATAGCACAGTGCAGTGTTGATTTAAATAAAATAATCTTGAATTATACCTAGTGAACTTAAAATTTTATTGGTGAAATGATGGCATCAAGCATGGGTCCCCTGAAAGGTGATTTCTCCTTCATCCCCACTTCCTTCTCTTATGCCTTCTCCTCCACACCTACTTCTAATTCCCATCATCATCAACCAGGAGCCTTCTACATACACACCTAAAAGTAAGTGTACTTTACTGCATTTTTTTTTTTACTTTGTATGTACTTTTCTGTGAGCTGGAACCAACTACTCAATATCCCATTGAAACAATGGATTTGGTTAACGAAATTTTCGGTTAACGAACGACTCTGTGGAACGAATTGTGTTCGTTAACCGAGGGACCATTGTATTAGTGCTGCCATGAACATGTCTCTAATGGAACTACAGTACAGTAATATCTCCGTTAGCTGGAATCTCTCAAACCCGGAACTCTCCGATAGCCGGAAATGAAATTTTCCGAGGGGCACATTTTCTGGAAAATTCTAAGAAAATTTTCCTGATACCCAGAAAATTCCGGGATGGGGGATATTTTTCCGGCTTTGATAGAGTCGTCTCGTTACCCAAAAATCTCTCATTCCTGGAAGTGCTCTGCACAAATTTTTCCGGCTAATGGTGATATCACTTGTATATTACTTTAACTTCTAATAGAGCTCTTTCTTATAGTACTCAGTTGGTTAGGAGTGCCTGTATATCTGTAGTTGACCAAAAGATGGTGGTATGTTCTAATCTCTCACCAATTCCACTTTTCATTACATTTCAATAAATATAAAAAACTACCCTTAACAGATACAACTGTACAGTACAGTAAAACCCCGCTTTACACGGTTTCACTTTACGTATTTCCACGTTTACGCGGTACCCTGCCAAACACGGAATGCTCACTTTACACAGTGCATGTACTCTTCTACGTGGGAAGCGGCGCGGGCAGAGTGCGCACAAGGTCGCCCAGTCATCAAACATTACCAAGTTCTTCACCCGCCACCCACCACAGCCAGCCCAAGTCAGTGATAGTGATAATGATAGTGAGGATATGGACTTATATGGACTTTGAGGGGTTTGACAAAGAGGCCCTGCAAGCCTCTGTGGTGGATAGTGATACAATTGATACAAGTGATACAGGTGAGGGCCAATAATCTGCCCTCTGCCTCGGAACCAACCCCCCATCCCCGTGTGCCCAGCCATCTTTTCTAGTAATGTAAGTGTTAATAAATCTAATATTATTGATATTTCTCTTAATTATTAATTGTGTGTGCATACCATCATAAGTTACGGAGTTATTTTTACTACAACGTAGGTATTGTGTCTGAAGAAGTGGAGTTTGGGGGTCGCCCCGGTCTCTATTTCAATTAATCCCATATGTTATGTTGTTCACTTTACGCGTTTCTCGCTTTACGCGGGCCGCCGTAGGTTCAATTGACCGCGTAAAGTGAGGGTTTACTGTAATTATGAAAGAGAACTAATAATTTTCAGTAAATAATACAATTTAATAAAATGAAGTAACAAATAAAAAAAAATTATGCTTACAGTTACAACAGCACTCCTAATCTCAAGCATCATTTCATTATCCTTTGTAGGTATATAATGCACAAGCATGAGATCTGTGTTGACTTTGAGGTGGGTATAGTCAATTCTAATAAGAGGTGGAGCCCAGGTCTGCTTCTTGTGTCTAAGGAGCCCCCACTTCCATAGTACCACAGGGTCTTTTCTTGGGATGGGCTGCCAACCTTTTTGTGTCCATTTGTAGGAGTCAATGGGTGCCTTGGCTGTAATGGCATGGTGATTTTTACTACACAAAGAATAAAAATTGATAAGAAATGTTTGAGATATATAATAGGAAAACAATATTTAGGATGGATGTTGTAATAATTCCGATTTAATTTTTGTTTCATAAATATTTTTTTTATCTACCTGTACTGGAATATTTTAAACCTGTAACTGTACTGAGGCAGTTTTATTTTTCCTCAGCGTGGCAAAAATCTTATACAGGTACAGTACTGGAAATACAGTACCGTATATGTTATTTATGAGATCATGATTACAACTGGTGACATCATGCTTGAAGCCCAGTTTGATAAATTTCTTTTGATTGCTTTTTATTAAGATGAGCTAAAACTAAGGCAAGAAAAGCAAACATATTCAAGCTTTTATCCTCTTCATGATAAGTGCTAACAAGAGATGAGGTCTGGAGTTGTCTCTTAAGGAGGTTTTGAGTTATGGTCAGACTCAAATCCCCAAACCTCAATATAGTACAAGGCACCCTGCATCAACTAGGCCAAAGGTAGGAAATATATATATTGATTTAACTCCTTTTATTTTATGAAGATGGAAAGGGTCAACATGGGTGTTTTCTCTGGCTGGCACAAAAAAAATTAACAAACTTGACCAAGAACAATCTGCCCAAATATGTAATACAGTACTATTACATTCATCAGAACAGTACATAAAAACATTAGTTACAATTCAGAAAAAAAAATGTTAAGAGGCAGATAATGACATACCATTATAAGCTTTGATTAGTGAATGTACAGTAAATAAAAAACTTACTATTGGAGGGTTTTGTCACCAGATATGCCTCCCCGGCCTCAGGGGTCTTTATGGGCAGTTGGGTCTTCCGACTTCTGTCCAAATTTTCTGAAATGGAACCAATTACCCCTGTATTAATAAAATCCTTTATCAATCTGAGAATTAAAATATCAACAACAAATAAGCATCCATGTAAAAAACATACACTGAAGACAAGTTTATACCTGCTTGTAAATCTGTCATAAAGACACAAAGTTAATACAGTACTTAAATTTGAATTCATTCCTTACACACTTCCATAAAAAAAAATATTGTAATAAATAGACATAGCTAGAGCATGTGAGTTATTCTTATTTCTACAAACATGGGACTAATCCAAGTAGGGTTGCCAACACCCAGTATATTTATACATATTTGGATTCCTCAACATTAAGTTCATGGAAGAAAAAAATCATTTGATAAAATTCAATAAATATAAGTATTAAGCTCACTAACATTGTTTTTTCTTTGTTATAGCAACATTACAGGATTATATTACCTGTTTGTCTTTTTATTTACTCCCAACTTATTCCACTACGTATTCACTGCCTCCAACATAAACTTATGTCGTTTACTGAAGCCAGAAACATAAACAAGGGTACGCCTATGTAGAGTCAGATAGGTACAAAAGGGTACACTAAGTTACAAGAATGCAACAAAGGTGTACCAAAGTACACCAAGGCATTGTAACATCACACAGTTACACCAGTGCACTCTTTGGTACAACAAGGTATACCAAGGTATAAAAAAGTACATTTGGTTACACTTAAGTACAGTGACCCCTCGTTTAACGAACGCCTCGGTTAACGAAATTTCGGTTAACGAACTGCCTTCCATAAGGATCTCCAATTCGGTTAACGAACAAAAATTCGGTTAACGAATTTCTTACGAACCGACCTCAACATGTTTTCGCTTGCACTGACCGGGTAACCAGCTTTAGTATCAGTCCGCCAATACATTAATCGGTTCTAGGGCTTAAATTCCTTACTATTTTAGTAAATATCAAGAAGTTTATACTATTCAATAATTTTAAAAGTTTAATATTAAATTTTTTAGTCATTTTAACAATTATTGAAGGTAAAGTGACTAGTTTAATGCGCGGCATCCAGCCTCTTAACACAGCAAACAGGCGTTAGTCTCTCTCTGTTTTCACTGGAGGTAACATCTTGCTTGAGACTCTTCAACTACACGCTTTTTTTCTGTGTTTCCAAGCAAATTATTGGTCATTTTGAAATATATTTTACATATTGACAATATTTAATGCAGTGCAGTGTTGATTTAAAGAAAATAATCTTGAAATACACCAAGACAACTAAAATTTTATGGGTGAAATGGTGCCATGGGGTGACTTCTCTTCCACCCCAATGCCTTCTCTTCTTCCTTCTCCTCCACCCCCATTCTAATTCCCATCATCATCATCATCATCCAGGAGCCTTCTACATACACACCTCAAAGTAAGTGAACTTTTCTACCATTTTTGTTGAATTTAGGAAATTTTCGGTGAGCTGGAACCAATTACCCAAAAACCCATTGAAACAATGGTTTCGGTTAACGAACTTTTCGGTTAATGAACGACCTTCTGGAACGGATTGAGTTCGTTAACCGAGGGGTCACTGTATACTGTATATGGGAATACCAGCATACAGCTAGTTACACCATGGTACATCTACTAAGTACAGTAGTCACATAAATAAACAGGGATACACAGAGGAATACTTTAGTACAGTAAGGCCACAAAGGTAAATATGGATACTGTATAGTAATATCTCCATTAGCCGGAATCCCTCTTAACTGTAACCGAATCTCCGATAACTGGAATTGAAATTTTCTCAGAATTTTTGTTTTCAAAGCCGCAATTTTCCGGAAAATTCCGTCTTTGGGAATGATTTTCTGAGGGACATATTTTATGGACAATTTTGAGAATATTTTCCAGTACAGTAAGTCTGCAATCAACATCGTCCCGCTTAACGTTGTTTCGGTACTACAGTACGTTGCTAAAATTTTGAGACCAAAAATTCGTATAATGTCCCAGTGATCCGATACTAAGTCGTTTTGCGTCGTCACGGACTACTTTCTACGGCACATCATCCTCTCTCGTCTGGCTGCACTACACTCTCTCGGCTCAGCGCAGTCTCAGTGACTCGCCACCCTCCTCCGCTCCTGCTCTCCTCCTCCACTCCTGCCACACTCCTCCCCTCCCGCCACACTCCTCCCCTCCCGCCACACTCCTCCTCTACCTCACTACCTACCATACACTCGCTCTACCACCTCTGCCCATCAGTGAGTACCACTACAAACTTAGTAATGGTCCCTCGGTTAACAAACACAATTCGTTCCACAGAGTCTTTCGTTAACCAAAAATTTCGTTAACCGAATCCATTGTTTCAATGGGATATTGGGTAATTGGTTCCAGGTCACAGAAAAGTACATACAAAGTAAAAAAAAATGCAGTAAAGTACACTTACTTATGAGGTGTGTATGTAGAAGGCTCCTGGTTGATGATGATGATGGGAATTAGAAGTGGGGGTGGAGGAGGAGGGAGAAGAGAAGGAAGTGGGGATGGAGGTGAAACCACCTTTCAGGGGACCCATGCTTGATGCAGTAATTTCACCAATAAAATTTAAGTTTACTAGGTGTAATTCAAGATTATTTTATTTAAATCAACAATGCCTGCCCTATATATTATCAATATGTTAACTAAATTTCAGAATGACCAATAATTTTAATGTAAAATGCAAAAATATTCAAGACACCAACAAAATCGATGTTCACTCCACTGTAAACAAAGCCAAACTGACGCCTGGTGGGTGAGTCAAGCGGCTGAAGGGTGCACAAAAAATAGTTCCCTGTACTGTATATATTATCAATATGTTAACTAAATTTTAAAATGACTAATAATTTTAATATAAAAAATGCACAAATATTAAAGAGCACAACTTTTTTGATATTTACTCCACTGGAAACAATTGTAAACATAGAACAGATTACTGAATTGGCAGACTAGCCCATCAGCTGATGCTCACAACAAAACGTGTCTGTCGTAAGGATTTCGTTAATCGAAGTTGTGTTCATTAACCGAATTGAAAATCCTTATGGGAGGTAATTCGTTGACCAAAATTTCAATAATCGAGGGACCATTGTAGTTGTGTATGTATGCACTATTTTCTATAGAAATGGCAAAAAATTTCTGAATACCAGTAACTCCTGTATTTTATCAACAGGGGGGTATTTCTATGGGAAAATTGACCCGCATAACTTTGTTTCATGCAACGTTGCATTTTTAGTAATGCAACACCTATGTTAAGCAAGGATTTACTGTACAGTACTCAGAAAATTTCGGGGAGGGGCTATTTTTTTCAGGCTTTGAGAGATGAAATAATGCATCATTTTGAAAAATTCCAAGAAAATTCCGGTACCTGGAAGAATTCTGGGGATAAGGGATTTCTCTTGGGGTTCAAGAGATGATATAATGCGCAATTTCTGGAACTTCCGACAAAATTTTTCCGGTCCCCAGAAAATTTCGGGGATGAGGGATTTTTCTCCAACTTTGAGAAAGTCGTCTTGTTACCCGGAAACTCTCATTCCTGGAAGTGCTCTGCACCAATTGTTCCGGCTAATGGAGATATCACTTACAGCACTAGGGTACAACGAAGTACCTGCACACAAAATGCACAAGGGTACAGAAGATACAAAATGGCCAGGTACATCTAGGTATACCAAAGTACACTAGGGTCACATAATATAAGTGTGGCCAGGCTTACTGGTGTCCTTTCCTGGTATGGCAAAATCTATGCAATCCCACACATCAAGGTAGTGTTGTGTAAGGCTTATACAGGTTCTCATAATATGAAAAGATGTCTCAAAGGTGTAATAATAATAATACTGAACCAATAATATTAATTTAATTAAAAATGAAAAGTCTATTACCCATGACACGAATAATCCTTTTCTTCATCATTCTGTGGCCATACAGGTAGAGTCCAAGCTTATCTGTGAAAGTAAATTCAAATATCTAAATATATAACTCTCAAATCAATTTTTAACACTCATAAAGAGTTAATAAATTTCCTTGTGAACAAAAATTTGTTTATCTTCTGTAATAATATATTAAATTTAATAATGTCTTATTAATTAGGGGTGCAATCTTAAAACTTATTTTCTTTACAAGTCTGGAACCTCCCAATACATACAATGACATTTTCCTCTACCATTACCTCTACACCACTGCCTAAGCACCTTCACATCTCCTGTGAATTAAAGACATCATTGACCTACAAGTATGTCTGATTTGGGTAGAAACAAACTCTTTAGCTCTCTATATCACTTTATGATTTTATCATCTGTAAATCAGACACAGTTCAGTAATAATTTTTTTCAAAACTGCTGAAGCATCAGAGGGTAATGACACAAGGGAGAACAAGTCATTATATATACCAAGATGTTCAGGGTTTGTAAACCACAAATAAGTACAACTATTTAAGGAAAAATCATGTTGCTGAGCCAAATATTGTGGTAGTAGCCCTAAATATGATATTAAATAATTTAGTATAAAATAATAAAAGACATAACTCCTATAACAATACTTGATGTTATATATTGTTCTGAATTATGATTTACGAACTGACAAACATTTATCCATAAGTTTGTCAACACTATTTTGTTATTCAGAGTATTAAGCTGTCAAATTTGACTAACCTGGAGCAATAAGATCTTCTTGGTTGTCTTGCTGTAGAAGGACTTCAGTTTTAACCTCAATGTCAAGGTCTTCCAATTTTAGAGGCATGCATCCCACCTCTCGCATATGACTGGTGCTAATTTTATACAATTTTTCTTCTATTAATGAATTGTCAGCTGATAGGAAGACTCGTCTCTTGCTCTTTTTTGCTAAAAGAAAAACATATTTAATAAAATTAGAATTTTACTTCTTAGTTAGAACTAGTACTGTATTATGAGCTTCAACCAATCCTGATGGGTTTCCAGTTTGACAGGCATGTAGCCTACACCCTGCCTATGACTGGTGCTAAGTTTGTACAACTTTCCATCAAGGGTTTAATACTGTACTTATTTCAAAAAGCACAAAATTGCATTGCACCATTCTCTTTATTATTATCTAATGCATACTCACACATTATGCTTTCACACTAATTTGACTAAATAACTACCCTAAATCCCTCAGTGCACCAACATTATCCCTTAAATATGGGAAAGTGGAAGCAACAGGCACCATTCACAGGAGAAGGTCTCTTGAGCTATAACATCTATAGACTTAACTCACCTAGCACTTCAGTTGATGACTTATTATCTTAAAATTTCAATGTCTAGCCACTGCCTGTGTGAAGAAACATCTTTCTAGCCTTCATCTCCATGGAAACTAGGTACTGTAACTGCTGATTGGCCTTCATTGTAATTCATTGCTGGATAGTTGGTCCGGTTTCTGTACTTGTATTGCCATTTTAGAGACATAGTCTTAAAACTGTTATGGACTTCAATGAACTATGACCAAAAGCTCTTTATATACTGGTAAAAAAAAGTATGAAAAAAAAAAACAACAACATTCAGTTCACTCACGCATTCCTCTGGACCTATAAGATGGTTCTCCAGTATAATCATCGATGACAATTTCACATTCTTTTACTAGATATGGCCTTGTGTCTCCCAGGTAGTGGACCAGCACTCTATGTGGGATCTTCGGAGACGTGTAGCACATTCTTATAAGGTATGGTTGTGCTTCACTAATTTTCTCACACACCTCAACAATTTGATAGAGTCTTGGCTGTATTTGAAGCTTTCCTAACTCATCCCATGGTAATAGGTCAGGAGCATCATCTGTAAAAAGAGGTTTGTTTTACAATGGCACAGACTATAATGAATACTTTCAGTTCAGGAAACCTAAAACTATAAAGCAGTAGCAATATCACTTCACAAAAAGAGAGAATATTGGTATAGGGCTCAATTACCTGTATTCTATGCTCAAATGCAAGCAGTGGATGAAGGCAAACAGACTCTTCATGAAATTGAGAAAATGATAAAAAGAATGTGGTGGAGAAAAAAAGCCTAAAACTGCAGAGAAGAACACCTCAAGCCGCCAACCCCCTCAAACACACACACACAGAGCACTTCTGGGAATGAGATATTTCCGGGTAACAAAACGACTCTCTCAAAGCCAGAAAAAATCCCTCATCCCTGGAATTTTCTGGGTAACGGGAAAATTTTCTCGAAAGTTCCAGAATCTGTGCATTACATCATCTCTCGAACCCAGAAAGAAATCCCCATCCCCGGAATTTTTCTGGTTAGGTACTGGAATTTTCCCTGAATTTTCCAAAATGATGCATTATTTCATCTCTCAAGCTTGAAAAAATCCCCCATTCCCGGAATTTTACGGATACGGGAAATTTGTTTCTGAATTTCCGGAAAATGACCCTGATTTTCATCTTTCAAACACAAGATAAAATTCTCCCATTCCCGGAATTTTCCGGGCACCGGTAAACTTTCTCAGAATTTTCCAGAAAATATGCTCCTCGGAAAATTTTTCCCAAAGCCGGATTTTTCCGTAAAATTTTGGCTTTAACCCTTAAGCCCCGGGTTAGGGTGCTGGTGGCAGTACCCCCCCACCCAGGGTTAAATTGAGAAAAATCTAATTTTCGAAAAATAATTTGTAACCTTTTAAAATGATAAAACAATAAAAAATAAGTAAAAAAAAAACTAGATACTGTATTGAACCCTCGAGAAACTTCTCTGGCCACAATGAGGGAGGGAGGAGAGGGAGAGATAAGGAGACAGTGTTGGTTTGACAGCTGACGCTCGTGGTTCCTCGGCACTTAGCAGCAATTTTTAGCCCGCCTTTGTGTCCGAAGTGGCCAATAATGTATGTACTTACTGATCTTAATACATATTTTCTATAAATAATTCATTTAGAACATTTTATTTGCATAATTTTTCATAAAAAAAGTGCTTGGCAACAATCAGCAGTCAGTCGCCAGCCTGTCTGGCTGTCTTTGTGTTTGGTAGAGCAAGTAATGCATAAAATAATAATAATTCCACAAATAAAAACATTTATAACATAATCATATCATTGCTTTACAGTAATATTACCCTACAATACAACTACACAACTTTTATCAATATTACTTTGGTGTGAGAGGCAAATAGTCACACTGGAACCTGATAACCCACACTGGGCATTTAAACAGTGGTGGGAATAGGCGCGCATTCTGGAACATCACCCGGGGCGCGCTGGTCAGATGTTCTAAAACATAACCCGGGGCCTAAGGGTTAAGAATGATTTTCCGAGAAAATTTTTATTCCGGCTATCAGAGATATTACTTGTACAGTTAACCCTCACTTTACGCGGTCCCGCATTCCGCGTTTCCACGTTAACGCGGTGCCTTGCCAGAACCTCACGTGCTCACATTACGCGGTACGTGAACCCCATTACGCGGAGAGTGTCCGGCGCGACGCTATTTTTAGATTCGCCCCACCCACCACCCGCCCGCCTGCCTGCCTGCCTCTCCCTCCTCCTCCCTCCGCTTGGGCAAGCGGCGCGGTAAGGTTGCGCAGTGTGTGTCTTTGTTGCGTTATCACTGACGTCATATGACGTATCAGACCTGTGATTGGCCATGCATCCCTACCCCCCTCTGCTGCTAGCTGTAATTGGCTTAAAGTATTATGATGTGTCCACCCGGGGGAGGGAGGGAGGGAGGAAAGACGACGCTTGACCTAGCCGCGGCAGTTTCATCCCTCAAGGCCACTCCGTGTAAACGCGCATCCATTGTTCCGTAAAATGGCTTCCGCCGGACCACCACCCCCAGAGAGAAACCTTTCCTTACCTGGACCCAGCGGCACTAAACCAAAGAAGACACGACGTTCCTTAAGCTACGAGGTGAAGTATAGCATCATCCAAGAGTTGGAGAAAGGAACAAGGCAGGTTGATTTGGCGTGCCAGCATGGCGTGAACGAATCTACGATCCGGACTATAAAGAAGGATTCAGCCAAGATAAAGGAGCACATGAAGATCACAAAGTCTACAGGTGCTTCTATGATCAAGTATTTTCACAACCAGGTGCTTCTCAAGACAGAAAAATTACTTGTGAGGTACTTGGTGCGTCAGGCGCGACGGAACATGGCGGTCGACACGCGCTCTGTTAAGGACTACGCACGTGAACTGTACATGGCAGTGGCACGAAAGATGGGAACTTCAGAGCCCAAACCCTTTAATGCTTCCTCTGGGTGGTTACAGAGGTTTAAGATCCGGAACAAGATCACCAATATAAACATTGGTGGTGAAGAAGCGAGTGCTGATCATGCTGCGGCTCGGGAATTTCCTCCGTTTTTACGTGAGATTATGGAGGAAGGACAGTACAGTGACGACCAGGTGTTTAACATGGACGAATCTGGTCTTTTCTGGAAAAAACTACCTTCCAAGTCCTTCATTGTGAAGAATGCCAGCAGGATTCGGGGCCGGAAAATGCAGAAGGAACGCATCACCGTCCTGTTTACCACCAATGCCTCCGGTACCTGTAAGCTCAAGTTATCGGTGATCCACACAGCCCGCAAGCCGCACGCCTACAAGAGCATGGACATGACCAAGCTAAATGTCCACTGGCTGACAGCACGTAAGGCATGGATGTTCTCTACACTGTCCCTCTCCTGGTTTGATGACTGTTTTGTTCCCGATGTAAAGAAATTCTGTGAGCGACAGAATGTCCCATTTAATATTTTGTTGCTGCTGGACAACGCACCAGGACACTCGCCCCTACTGTTAGATCGTCACCCCAACGTAAAAGTGGTCTTCCTTCCTCCCAACACTACGTCTTTAATCCAGCCCATGGACCAGGAGTTGATTTGCAATGTGAAAGCTACATTCTCAACAAAAAAATTCCAGCTCCTGAACGACTACACCAACACCAGGGAAGAGTTGCGTAACCTGAGTGACACCACCACCGATAGCAAGAGCGAAGAAGATGAGGATCAACAGTTAGAACAGCAAAAAATACTCTTCAAACAATTCTGGAGAGTATTTAACATCAAGAAAGCTGTGGACTTCTTGGTGGAGTCATGGGATCAGCTGTCTATTGCTACAATTCGTCACGCATGGAGACATGTGTTGCATGGAATACCAGGTGAGAGGAGGAGTCAATCTGTGACTGGTGAGGTTCAGACTGTTGCAGTAGCAGTGGACCTTGCCAGAGAAGCTGCGCAGACTGTTACAGTTCCAGGCTTCTCCGAGACCACCAACGACGACATCCTGGAGGTGATAATGGAACCTGCTGTGACTGCCGACGAGATGTTGGAAGAAGAACACGTCAGTGAAGAGGAGGAAGAAGGTGCGTCAGTCTCCGAAGAACACAATTTAAGTCATAGTGATATTAAGGGTGCCATGGAGTGTGCAGAGAAGATGAAGTCCTTCCTTTCCCGCGACAATGACGATGACCGCTATGAAGTCTTCCATACCCGGCTGGTGCAGGCTATGGAGCCGTACATCAAGGTGTATCACGACAACATCAATGCCAGCCGTCAGCAAAGCATAACAGATTTCTTCGCCCGCAACCCACCACAGCCAGCCCAAGCCAGTGATAGTGACAGTGAAGGTGACTTTGAGGGATTTGTCAGGGAAGCCCTGACAACTGTAAGTGACAGTGATGGTGATTCACCTAGTAATGGTGATTCACCTGAGGGCCAGTAATCTGCCTTCTGCCTCGGAACCAGCCTCCATCCCCGTATGCCGACCCATCTCTTCTACTACCGTAAGTGTTACACCTAATTTTTAGTTTTCTAACCTTACCTTTATTTTTCCTATGTTAACCTTTATCTTTCCTAACCTAACCTCTTCTATATTACTTGTTTTTTCATACCATCATAAAGTTAAGATAAAATTTTTACTACAACATAGTTGTGTGTCGTCAAAAAGTGGAGTTTGGGGATCGGCCCGGACTCCATTTCAATTAATCCCATATGTTATGTTATTCACTTTACGCGTTTCTCACTTTCCGCGGTACCCTCCGGGTTACATTAACCGCGTAAAGTGAGGGTTAACTGTATATGCATATGAAGGGAAGTTTTAATATCCAAAATGACTACAACACTTAATATTAATTCACTGAACATCTTAAATTGAACTATCATGATATTTTATATTAACAACACATGGACACCACATTAGACATTATTCCATTGTACAGTAGTACCCCGATTTACGCGGTCAATTGAACCCACAGGGTGCCGCGTTAAGTAAAATCCGCGTAAATGGAACAACAGAACATATGGGATTAATTCCAATAGAGACTGGCCCGACCCCCAAACTCTACTTTTTCCGACACAATACCTATGTTCTAGTAAAAATAACATCTTAATTTTATGATGGTACATGCACACAATTAATACTTAAGAGAAATAGAGAAATACAGTCGCCAAGTTACTGTCCATTCAAATAATGGACTCAACTCCCTCCTCCTCTTCTCACACTACACTCCCTGGCTCTTCCCTCTCTGAGAAATTTTGGGGGGAAAACCACTAGATTTTAATAAATAATACCTCAAACTAAAGTTAGGTTAATATAATTGACATTGCTGGATTCCTTGTAAGACCAGGAATATTTTGAATATAAATGTCATATATTTTGCACAAAAGATAACATATTTACTCAGAGTAAACATTATATCTAAAATTTGTATGTCTAATGCAAAATCTATGATGTTTATATTCAAAATGATCATCAAATTGTAAGAATTCCAGCAATGTAAATTATATTCTGGCCGGGTAATTTGTATGAATTTTATGAGCTAAAACAAATATCTTCAGTTAATAAAAAAAGAAAAATATTCTTCACGACACTATCTGTCAATCAAAGTACCCCACCTTGCCTCCCCCTCTCTTCCAACCGCGCCAGATGGTCGGTCCGTCCCAACCCTCCCTACAAGAGAAATGTTGGGTGAAAAATTAGATTTTAACATTTAGTATTAAATAATACCTCAGATTAAAGTTAGGATAATATAATTGACATTGCTGGATTCCTTGTAAGACCAGGAATATTTTGAATATAAATGTCATATATTTTGCACAAAAGATAACATATTTACTCAGAGTAAACATTATATCTAAAATTTGTATGTCTAATGCAAAATCTATGATGTTTATATTCAAAATGATCATCAAATTGTAAGAATTCCAGCAATGTAAATTATATTCTGGCCCGGTAATTTGTATGAATTTTATGAGCTAAAACAAATATCTTCAGTTAATAAAAAAAAAATATTCTTCACACCGTGCCAGATGGTCGGTCGGTCCCTCCCTCCCCCCCACCCCCCACCAACCCTCCCTACCAGATGTGTGGGAAAACCAGAATATTTACCTTTTAAGTAATAAATAATACCTCAAACTAAAGTTAGGATAATATAATTGACATTGCTAGATTCCTTGTAAGACCAGGAATGTTTTGAATATAAATGTCATATATTTTGCACAAAAGATAACATATTTACTCAGAGTAAACATTATATCTAAAATTTGTATGTCTAATGCAAAATCTATGATGTTTATATTCAAAATGATCATCATATTGTAAGAATTCCAGCAATGTAAATTATATTCTGGCCGGGTAATTCGTATGAATTTTATGAGCTAAATAAAAAAAAATATATATTATACTTCACCGCGTATATGAGTAGATGAACCGCGTTAAGTGAAAGTTCGGTTCTGGCGAGGCTCAGCGTATATGAGAAATCGCGTTAAGTGAAGCCGCGTAAAGCGGGGTAATACTGTATATGAGACCGAGTCAATTTTCTATAATGAATTACAGGTACCATTCACAAAAGACAAGTGACACTTTCAGATTAGGTCAGAGAATCTGTAGTAAGTAGAAATGTGATACTGATCCTGTAATCTGAATTTATAATTGAGCCTGGATAGAATGACTTGTGAATATGCCCACTGATGGCTTGGATTTTCGAAACCCAAGGAATTCAACACCAATTCTTGCCAGCTGGGGCAGTAATCCAAAGATTAGCATTCTCCACTAAAAGTAACTCTAGCCCTTAAAGAGTGATAAGAAAGAAACTGCAAGCCCAGAGCAAATTACCCTGGGGAGGAGAGCAGGAACCAAACTGTTCTGTCGAGACTCTGTTATCAACCAGTCCCATGTTAATGATCCAAGCCAGCCTAGAATGAATTATTAATATTAAAGCCAGCTAAGAGAAAACGGAGAAGGTGCATACAAGAAACAAAAGCACACACACAAAATGAGAGAAAATATCTTACACTTTGTACTGAGATAGACTCCTCCTGGCTGAGGTGTTATAATCTCCATCCTCACAGCACCTGTAATGTTTGCATTACTGGCATCCCTGGTGAGCAAGTCCCACACCATTACAGGTTTGAGACGTGTCGATGAGACATGAAGAGGAGCTTCACTCTCAAGTTCCATATTCTCCCATCCCTCTCTTGACAATTCTGTTGTTACTTGCATCTATGAAAAAAAAAACAATAATAAAATATATGTCACTCAATCCAAACTCAGAAAGTTAGTCAGTCTGGTGGATATACTCATCATAAGAAGTTTACTCTCATAAAATACTTCATTATTTAAAAATAGGTTAGAGTGTAATGGTTCAATACTGATATACAAAAAAGGGGAGGGGGAATCTATCTTAAATTCCATCTCATAATTAGATGAGAGCAGATAGCTCATGATTATACAACTTATTAGAGAGCAAGACAGAGCCATCTGGCATTATGCCACATAAGCATAGCAGTGCTTGCTATTAATATAGAATATTACAATTACCTTCCCAATCATATTCTTATTTAGATCCATCAATACAAAACTGGCAAAAAAAGGGTCTCCAATGACATGGAAGTTATCAAATGCAGAAAGACCACAGATTTTAGCCAAGGTGGTCATCCCTGGAAAATGAACACTTGTACGCCCTGTTCTGATCACAGAAAACTGGGCCCTCAACCAATCCCAAGGGTCCCTCTACCTGAGAACAATCTAATATCCTTCCCAGTTCATAGCTTTAATGCTAAGATAAACATTGTTTTACGTGTCTTTACCAATAAGCACTAAAAGAGATAATAAGAACTAAGAGGTCACATTCTGGAGCTAAAATATAAACCTCTAACCTGTTGAGCTCGGCAGCAATCTAAAGAATAGGGATCCAATGAGATTGATTGATGTGTCCCATTTTTTACAATTAGTACAAAGAAGACAAGCATTCATCTTTCTTTTGGAGGATGACTGCCTTGGCTGTGGCCTATGTGTTTATGATAGCAAAATTCATATATTTTTTTTGCATAACCTATGGCTCTGTAATACTAGCTAGTACACTTATTTAATTATAAGTCATAGGCATGGCCCCCTGACCATAAAATATATGAATAACACACACCTGTTTTGCAGCATTTGCAATGACAATGAATTCCCTGAATTCTCTTGTAGGCATATAATGGACAACCCGTAAATCAGGAGATGCAGATGTGTGCTTAAATTCATGTCTCATTAGAGCTGTGCACATAGCACTTCGAGACATTTTCATGGGGCAGTGATAACACAGTAATTTTGTTTCAGAACTGTTTACTCCAACAGGCCAGCGTTTGTAACCCTTATCTGTCCATCTGTAGTTGTCTATAACTTCTGTCAATAAAAGAGCATATAAGTACAGTACAGTATACAATACTACTATATAATATAAGCAATGTGAATGATAATGTTAAAAGCTGAATTAAAATATAAATTTTGTAAATAATACAAACATATCACTGACAGAAAACAATCTCTTATTTGTTCTTATTCACCATTTTCTCCTTTCAAAAAATGGTATAATATTCTAAACCTACTGTGAACATTTCAGTAAGCACTCACCATCTCAACTAAGTGGTGAGTAAGTAGAAGCAATGCTCAAAATAATGAATGAAAACTATACAGTATAGTCTGGATTTACGCGGTTTTTGTTTACGCGTTTGGTCATTTACGCAGTGCCTTGCCAGAATTAAATGTTTTAATTACGCGGTAAATTTCATCATTTACGCGGGAAGCAGAGCAGGCAGGGTGCACACAAGGTCGCCCGGTCATCAAAACATTACCGAGCTCTTCACCCGCCACCCACCACAGCCGGCCCAAGTCAGTGATAGTGATAGTGATATTGAGGATATGAACTTTGAGGGGTTTGACAAAGAGGCCCTGCAAGCCTCTGTGGTGGATAGTGATACAATTGATACAAGTGATACAGGTGAGGGCCAATAATCTGACCTCTGCCTCGGAACCAGCTCCCCATCCCCGTGTGCCCAGCCATCTTTTCTACTAACTCAAGTGTTAAAAAACCTAATATTATTGATATTTCTCTTAAATATTAATTGTGTGTGCATACCATCATAAAATAAGATGTTATTTTTACTACAACATACGTATTGTGTCGGAAAAAGTGGAGTTTGGGGGTTGGCCCAGTCTCTATTTCAATTAATCCCATATGTTCTGGCATTTCGTTTACACGTTTCTCGTTTTACGCGGACCTCCACGGGATCAATTGACAGCGTAAATGCAGACTATACTGTACATTATTTTAGCTATCATTTTTTTTTTTTTCGGGCATTAGCCCGCCTAGGCACAGGTCATTTTTAATCACCCACATGAAGGCCAGGGGGGCGAAAATATAATAAAATAATAATAATGACGATGATGATAATAACAATAACTACAATAATAAAATTAATACCAAAAATAAAAATTAATTTAATTATAATTAAAGAAAGTATTAATAATACTAATAAAAATTAATAACAAATTTAAATAATAATAATAATAACAATAACAATAATAATAATAATAATGAAGAGTTAAAAATTATATATGTGTATGTTGTGTTGTCAAAGTAAAAGAAACAATTGAGACCCTGATATTGTGTGTAAATGAGGCAGAAAGTCAGATCAGCAACCTGGGACTTGGTCACAATTTTTGTGATGCCATATGGCAGCAGGGTCTACAATTAGACAATACTTTATGCTTCCAATATCTTCCCAGGTGGTAGTACCTCACTGTTTGATAGCTGCCTACTACCTACAGTAGAGTACTGTCCATGCAAGTTTGAGAGGAGGATGGTACCTCAGCATGTAGCAGTACTGTATCCAGTATAGTCTGGATTTACGCGGTCAATTGAACCCGTGGAGGTCCGCGTAAACGAAATAAGAGAATATATGGGATTAATTGAAATAGAGACTGGGCCGACCCCAGACTACCCTTTTTCCGACACAATACGTACATTGTAGTAAAAATAACATCTTAATTTTATGATGGTATGCACACACAATTAATATTTAAGAGAAATACAGTCGCCGGTTAATGTCAGTTCAAATAATGGACACAACTCCCCCCTCACCCCTCTTCTCACGCTCGCTGGCTCCCTCCCTCCCTCCCTACCCACCACCTTCCCGAGAAATGTTTGGGGAAAAGGACTAGGCTTACAGGTTTAGTAATAAATAATACCTCACACTAAAGTTAGGAGAATATAATTTACATTGCTGGATTCCTTGCAAGACAGCGAATAATTTGAATATAAACGTCATATATTTTGCACAAAAGATAAAATTTTTGCTCTCTCTAATAAAATTCTTAAATTAGATCTAAAATTTGTATGTCTAATGCTAATTTTAGCTTGTTTATATTCAAATTAATCACTATCTTATAAGAATTCCAGCAATGTAAATTATATTCTGGCCAGGTAATTTCTATGAATTTTATGAGCTAAAAACAAAAATCTTAAGTAAATAAACATATTATACTTCACCAGACACAATACGTTCGTTGTAGTAAAAATAAAATCTTAATTTTATGATGGTATGCACACACAATTAATATTTAAGAAAAATATCAATAATATTAGGTTTTTTAACACTTACGTTGGTAGAAGAGATGGCTGGGCACACGGGGATGGGGGGTTGGTTTCGAGGCAGAGGGCAGATTATTGGCCCTCACCTGTATCACTTGTATCACTATTCACCACAGAGGCATGCAGGGCCTCTTTGTCAAACCCCTCAAAGTTCATATCCTCACTATCACTGACTTGGGCTGGCTATGGTGGGTGGCGGGTGAAGAACTCGGTAATGTTTTGTTGATTGGGCGACCTAGAGCGCACCCTGCTCGCGCCGCTTCCCGCGTAATGATGAAATTTACTGCGTAATTAAAACATTTCATTCTGACAAGGCACCGCGTAAATGACCAAACGCGTAAAGAAATTCCGTGTAAATTCAGAATATACTGTACTGTACAATACAGTATACTGTACAATAATAAATAAAAACAATAGAATACTGTATTTTAACTTACTTTGAGGTGTGTATGTCGTATTACTGGCAGCTTTGTTTACATATCAAACAGTCGATGATGACATGCCATATTCTATACAGAGTGCATTGGTTCTAATGCCTTCTTCATGTTTCATAATAATTTCTGCACTGTATATTTTAATGTAATAATTTTAATGTAAAAATGCAAAAATATTCAAGAGACCAACAAAATTGATGTTCACTACACTGTAAACAAAGTTAAACTGAGAAGCGTTGTTGGGTGATTCAATCAGCTGATGGGCGCACAAAAACTGTTCCCTGTACTGTCTATATTATCAATATGTTAACTAAATTTCAGAATGACCAATAATTTTATTATAAAAATGCAGAAATATTCAAGAGACCAACTTTCTTGATATTTACTTCATTGGAAACGAATGTAAACATACAACCAATTACAGTATATATACAGCACTGTAAAAGAAAAGTTAAATACTGTACCCAGTATACTTACTTGAATTTTTTTCAGCAGGTAACCTTAGTAAATATACTTGAAAAGGCTGTGGATTCAAAATAGGAGCAGAAGCTATTCTCTTTTCATCTGGGTTAGAGAGCATGGCATCTACTAGAGAAAGAGTCAAGTTGGAGTTGGATTCAGTGTAGATCCCTAATCGACGAACACCATCTTTTGTTTCTTCAGACTTTTCAAGCTGTTAGAATTAAATTGCATATAAAATAATTAACGGTAATACTATTACAGCATTGTAGGGAAAATAATGTTGAGAAAAAATATTGATTTAGAAACAAGTATATAATTCAGATGCAGAGGATTAGTAGAGTTTGGTACCAATAAATTTAATGTCATAAGACCAAGTGTCCTTTCTACGAAATTAAAGAAAGAAGAGACAGAGCAAATATAATCGACATTCATGGCCCTTGTATGTTGTGTTGTGCCAGTTTCATGACAGCATTTTTGTCAATAAACAAAAGTCCATCTGTATAGGTTTTACACAATACTATGTAAAAAGACTTTTTCAAAAATATTTTTAACACCTTTGCAGAAAAAATCCATACGAACACATTGCTCTGACAAAATTGTGGGATTTTAAATCTGTTCACTGAATAATGTACGAGTAGATTAAACTGTACAAATTCCGATGAAAAGTAGAATATTGTACTGTATTATGCAGAGATACCTTTTAGAGCACTGATTCTTTGAATGCTCTTTCATTTTAACACGCATTGTTCTTTAGGCATTTTTACTAATAAAAAATCTAAAGTTCCATGTATGACCACACAACATACAATACTTTTTCTTTTCTCTGAGCTGAGAGATCAACCAACGAGAGTGACAAGATGATTACCACTCAGCCTCGGTCAGTTTTGATCACTTCTCAGAGACATGTGTTGGCTTCACCCGGGTACTAACTCTTTAACTTATTTTTGACCCATAATGTCTGGAAAAAAGCCTGCAAGTGATATTGCTGGAAATGTGGCCAAGCAATTAATGAAAAGTGTCAGCATGAATGTAAAAATTCAGGTAAAAAGATGTGTGGAGGCGGGTGATTGTCTAGGCCTAGGCATCTGAAATTCAAAACACAATCAGCCTCAAGGTTTTCAAATAAGGGATCCCTGACCTGTGCAGGTTCAAGAATTTGGATAATATAAGACCACATAAGTTAAATGGCTGAAATGGCACTTTCTATTTTAACTTGCTAGAATTAATATGCTGTACTGTACCTTTTGAACAGTTTTTCCACTTCCATGAGGACCCTTTTCATAATGTACAATGCAGAGAGGAAGATCATTCTCAAAGAGTGTAAAGACAGACTTGCTGGCTGGAGGTAATGGGTAGGTGAACACAGCCTTAGAGTCTCGAAGAGTAAACCGTTCCATAAGAACTGAATGTACCTTGTAGTAGTATTCTCTCACCCATGGTAGTGAGTCACTGTAGGGAACTAATAAACACATTATTATCATAATTATTACATATAATATAATAATTATTAGTATTGCTATTATTATTATTATTATAAATACAGAATGCCCTGACAATTCGCGGACCTCAATTATTAGCGGATGACACCCTGGATGTACCCAAGAATGTCTAAGGGCAGTTATAAAGATGCTGGCATTCTTGTGCCGGGACAGGGAACTCTTCGTTCTAGAGACAGTAATTTCTTTTTCCTGTATTGTATATGTGTGTGTGTGTGTGTGTAGACACACACAAAACACATACAAATAAATAATAGTGGACAAATCCTCTCACAAATAATCAGAAACAAGACAATAAAATTTAGAAAAAATGTGATTCTACCCTCAAGTCAACTCTGTGCTTTGTTATTAAAATTAACTTTAATAACAAAGCACAGAGTTGACTTAAGGGTAGAATCATATTTTTTCCAAATTTTATTGTCTTGTTTCTGATTATTTGTGAGAGGATTTTCCCATTACTATTTATTTGTATGTGTTTTGTGTGTGTCTGCACACACATACACATACAGTATATACAATACAGGTACAAGATATAATTGTTCTAAGGGCAAACACATAAAGGGAATATACATTTCTTTGCACACGAGTAAAAATGTAACCCCCCCCACCTGCACATTGTACATTGAAACAATAAAAATCATTACACATTGCAATACGTAATTGATTAGTATACAGTACAGTATACAGTATTATCCCGCTTTACGCGTTTCCACGTTTACGCGGTACCCTGCCGAACACGGAATGCTCACTTTACGCGGTGCGTGTACCCTTTTATGCGGAGAGCGGCTGGCGGTCCTCTGGCGCCGCGCCATTTTTGGATTCAAACCTCCCGCCATGTTGGGGAAGCGGCGCGAGTAGGTTGCACAGTGTATGTCTTTGTTGCGTTATCGGTGACGTCATATGACGTATCGGACTGTGATTGGGCCAAGCATCCTTACCTCCCTCCCCCGCTAGCTGTGATTGGTTTAATGTACTATGACGTGCCCAGCCGCGGGAGCGTTCAAGCCCTTTGACCTACCCGCGTCAGTTACACCCCTCCAATCTACACAGTGTATATCGGTATCCATTGTTCCATTAGAATGGCTTCCACCGGACCACCACCACAAAGAAACCTTGCATTACCTGGACCCAGCCGCCCTAAGTCAAAGAAGATACGACGTTCCCTAAGCTACGAAATTAAATACAAGATCATCCAAGAGTTGGAGAAAGGATTTGTCAGGGAGGCACTAATAAGTGTGGATGACGGTGATGAAGACTCACCTGAGGGCCAGTAGCCTGCCCTCTGCCTCGGAACCAGCCTCCATTCCCATACGCCGACCCATCTCTTCTACTCACGTAAGTGTTAACCCCAACCTTGTTTTTTTCTAACCTAACCTACAGTATATTATTCTCTTATTGATTGTTCCCTTCCATATTATGTGTGTGTGCATACCATCATAAAGTTAAGATGTTATTTTTACTAAAACGTACATATTGTGTCGGGAAAAAGTGGAGTTTGGGGGTCGGCCCGGTCTCTATTTCAATTAATTCCATATGTTATGTTGTTCACTTTACGCATTTCTCGCTTTACGCGGGCCGCCGTGGGTTCAATTGACCGCGTAAAGTGAGGGTTCACTGTACATAAAAACAACACAAAATTAGTGTACAGTTCAGCCAGTTGACCCGGCTGCCATTGTCTCTACACATCTGAACCTATTACCCCAAAACTTCTGTGTTCACTCTAATTATGGGTAGATTTTTAGATACAGTATGAAAAAATACCCAAATACAGTACAATTATGTTGACTGCAAAAATTAAACCAACAACAACTGTTTGTGACAAAAAGATGTGATGTTAGTGGTTGAGAGAAACTCATTGCCAAAGTTACTGAATGTTTCATCTACAGTACACTGCTACAATGATAAATTAAACCGACACCAAAACCTAAAGGTTTGCAGAAAACCTACACAAAATAATGTTTACAATAAAAGAGCCTTACAATTACCTTACAGTTATAATAAAGGTTATTGAATTTCACGGGTAACAGCCAATTTTAAAATTACAGTACAGGTGCTCCTCTACTTAAGAATGTTCAACTTGCAAACTTTCAGAGACACAAACATCATCACTGAGGGGGGTTACCTGCCAAAACAGGTGCTTAATGTGGATGAGACTGGATTATTTTGAAGAAAATTCCAGATAGAACACACATTACCTAAGAGGAGAAGAGTGAATAGGTTTTAAGGCTGTATTAAAGGGTATAGCTGTACTAAATATCCTTAATCTTTTAAATTTTTACAATATGTTTGGTATCTACAAGAGTAAAGTTGGACTTACAAACAAGCCTCAGGAACGTATCTCGTTCGTAAGTAGAGGAGCACCTGTACCTGTACAGTACCTGAACAGGGCCACAAATTCATATTTTACCAGCCATTTTCTTTCATTCCATATGACTGTCTTTTTTGGGAAAACAGCCCTACTGTACATAAAATTGGGATTTTACTGTAACACATAAAGCTGAATATGAAGATAACACTTACCAAAGTTTTTATCAAGGATATATATGTCTCCATACTGAGGCATTTTCACTTCATTCTTGTAAATGTCAGTTTTCTTTTTCTGTACACTTTCTGTGAAAATAAGAAGTTTTGTTTTAAATTTTAAAAAGACCTTAATAGCATCCATTTAAGAATATGACATACGTACTGTATATCTTCAAATCATCTTTTGAGCTTACCTCTGGGTGTTTAAATTATAATTTTCAAACTATACATTACAGTAATTGTAGATCTCATTACAGTAGTACTGTATGTCAAATTACCAGAAACCTACACACTAGAGTACAGTATTGTAAGACATGATTGGGGATTCTCCAGTACGTAGGTATATTTATACCTGTATCTAAACGTTTTCATGTACTGTACTTGCTCGTGGGTTTGTATTGAATACAAACACTGTACTGTACTGTAATAGAAATACTGGACAGATGTAACTCAATTTATGATTACTCTTCTCCAAATGTTAGCTTTTAAGATAGTAAATAAGTTACACCCTTTTCTATTTTAATATATTTTATGTTCTGGTTTTATATTAATTTTAAATTCCATATTTTTTTTAGGTGAAAAACATGTATACTGTATTCCCATTGTGTCTAAAGAAAATGATTGTTACATATTTTTCAATTAATTTGACTGGCAACAACATATCGTGACAAAATTGTTTATAACCCAACAGCATCTTTCAAATTCAGCTCCATAATTAGAAAGAACTCTCCAGCAATTTCTTATTTTTTCTTTGTAATTGCTAACCTAAGGCTGAGGCTTTACAAAGGTTAAAGTTTCTTGAAAACACATCTGACTTAACATTATCATACACAAAAAATAAAAAGGCAGATGATAATAGCTGAAACATTAATATACACTACATACATTAACATTAAATGCTTCTGAACACACTGTCATTACTAGTCCTGACCACTGGAGGGTAAGGACTAGTAATGCTGAAGCTGCATCCTAGGCCAAAATTTTTTACCCTTCTCCTACTCCGTTCAACCTCTCCTCTCCTCTTTACCAGGATATCAGCAAACTCCCACCAAAAGAGATAATTTCGTTTCAGAAAGGAATGGAAATATTGTTGAACAATGATGAACAGTGCTAAATTACAGAGAAATCACTGCTAAACAGTAACAACCGAAGGACACAGCCAAGTTGACCATCACACCAATCAGTAAGGTCCTAGGATACTCAGTGAGAAGTACCTTTGAAAAACAACAACTGCACAACAAGGGTTAATCCAGTCCACTCTGGGAACAGTTAAGGGTCAGGCAAATGTTTACCCTCACACCTATTTGTACTGTCCCATAACACAAAATGGCACTGAGTGAGGCACTGTGACACCAAACCACATGGTGTCCCCACGAAAGGAGTGAGTTTCTGCAACACCACTTCAAGCAAATGAGTTAATTCACCTTATATCTAATTTTTGTTACCTCAGCACATCTAGCCTATGTGACCTCACACAGAAGGGCTTAAGCCTTTACCCCTGCCATCCACTGTTAATGGTAACTTGTATGTTCACTTCATGTTCCTTTTCCTTTTCATAATGAAAGCATTTGTTAACTGACCCATTCCCCCATAGCCCTGTATGTAATAAGTCACTTATGTCTATTGTATATTTTCAGTCTTTGGCTGCTGTATCTTTTACAATTAACAGCTAATTATTATTATTATTATTATTATTACAATATTTCCTTAACATATTATAGATAAAAGAACTCATATTTGCAGTAAGGTGAGCTTTTCACATTCTGAAGGGCATTGGCAAAGCCTTCATCACACTGGAATTTCTGCTGTTCTGAACCATCCTGAGACATGCTACTACTGCAGTACCATCAGAGAAATAATTTTTATACAGTATTAGTCTCTTAAGCCTTTTTCTGCTTTATGCAAGGTGACCAGAAGCAAGAGCAAATATACACACACATAATTTTTCTTCATTCTTTGTTGTTCATTCAGTCTCTCTGCTGTTAAAGATTTGCTCTACAGTACTATACTCTCCTTTCAAAATACCTGTACTCTAATGATATACTGTAACTCAAGTTTGCCCCATTATTTCAATCAAGCCAGCATTACCCATCAGTAACATGTTCTTCCCCAAAAACGTCTCATCACCTTCCTCTCTGCTCTTCCACACACACTGGCCACTACATAAATATTTTACTATTTGTTAAGTTTTTTCAGTACTACATTGTAGTACTGTACTGTAAGATTTTTGTATATTGTAATGAATATATTGCGATATTTTTTTTAAGTACAGTAATTACAGGCGTTGTAAGAGTAAGTGCTGTACAGTATTATTATACTGATATGAATATTTTCAAAAAAATCTCACCCCAAAAATCAGTCATCAAATCCCCTTTGATTCCAAGCAATTTCGATTATCAAGGTTTTACTGTATTGTATTGTATTGTACTGTACTGTAATAATTATTTTTAATTTATATTCTACTTGCAAACAAAATATTTAGAGTAAATATTATCAACTTACGAAAAATCTCCTCAGCATCAGCATGGTAGAGCTTTCCTCGAGTGTAAATTTTAAATGGACGAGGCTCATCTGAAAATAATAATAATAATTCAATAAATGCATCTCAAACAAGAAATTGGGGTTTGATCAAGGAAATTTAATTTTATAACACGAGTTGGGACAAAGACGCTCAAGTTTTGTGATGATCACGTCAAGGGGTTGACAACCATGCTAATCCTTGACACTTAGTAATACAATACCCTCTCATCACAACAATAGCCCTTACAAAAGTGTCTTAAAGGTGAATGTTGTTGTTGAGGATTAAGAGTTGATGAATGAGCCTTAGGGCTACAGTAACTTGTGCAACCTAGCCCACCTTTGTACATACAGTACGAGGTCTGATCGAAAAGCATCCGACCTTAGCAGGTGAAAAAAAACAAGCTTACTTACTGAGTTCAGACTTTAATCCCCTTCAAAGTAGGCCCCTTGGGACTCAACACACTTAGCCCAGTGGTCCTTCCATTGCTGGAAACATTTTATAAAGTCAGTTTTTGTGATCGCCAACATGATCTTCGTCGCATTTTTCTTTATCTCATTTGTGTCCTCAAATCTCGAACCCTAGCGGCATCTTAATTTTAGAAAACAGCCAAAAGTCGCAGGGAGCCATGTCGGGAGAGTAGGGAGCCTGCCGGACCTGTGTGATCCTGTGTTTAGCCAAAAAATCCTGGACAAGATGGGATGAGTGGGCTGGAGCATTGTCATGGTAGAGCTGTCAGTCCTCCGCCTCCCACAACTCTCGCCTCTTGCGACACACTGCATCCCGTAAGTGACGGAGAACTCCTCGGTAGTACTCTTTATTGATTGTTTGGCTTTCTGGACCGCACTCATAATAAACAACACCCTGGTAGTCGAAAAAAGCTGTCAGCATGAGCTTGACCTTGCTCTGAACCTGCCATGCCTTCTTTGGCCTTGGTGATGCCGGTGACTTCCATTGGACAACTGAGCTTTCGTTTCTGGGTCGTATCCATACATCCAAGACTCATCGCCAGTTATAATAACTGGCAGGTTCCCTACTCTCCTGACATGGCTCCCTGCGACTTTTGGCTGTTTTCTAAAATTAAGATGCCGCTAGGGTTCGAGATTTGAGGACACAAATGAGATAAAGAAAAATGTGACGAAGATCATGTTGGCGATCCCAAAAACTGACTTTACAAAATGTTTCCAGCAATGGACGAACCGCTGGGCTAAGTGTGTTCAGTCCCAAGGGGCCTACTTTGAAGGGGATTAAAGTCTGAAATCAGTAAGTAAGCTTGTTTTTTTTTCACCTGCTAAAGGTCGGATACTTTTCGACCAGACCTCGTATACCTGAGTGGCTACATTGGATTTCCAGCAAGCAAGTCTTAATCCAGCTAAAATTCATGATAAATCAGTTATTGGGAAGCAGGAGTCTCCTTAACCAAATATATGCAATAACATAGCAACTTTTGTTGACCAGCCAACTAGACATAATCCTGAAAGCTCTGTCCTCTTGTTCAACCTTATTACTGTACAACCCAGGTTGTACTGCTCCCCCATTCTACTTATGTTTTTAAATACCACTCTAATTTATATACTGTATATATATATATATATATATATATATATATATATATATATATATATATATATATATATATATATATATATATATATATATATATATATATATATATTAAAATATTTGTGCCAGCGCCGTGAAATCTACATCTTCAGGGGTGAGTGGGCATGAATTACAATTTTAAAGCTTTTGGGGAACTTTTTCGTGTTTTCTTTCTTTTCCTTGTATATCAGCATATACCTAGATCACGCTACACTCTATATATATATATATATATATATATATATATATATATATATATATATATATATATATATATATATATATATATATATGTATATATATATATATATATATATATATATATATATATAGATATATATATATATATATATATATATATATATATATATATATATATATATATATATATACACACACAGTTGTACCCCACTTAACGCGGTCAATTTAACCCAGAGGGTCCCACGTTAAGTGAAATCCGCGTTAAGTGAACAACAGGACATATGGGATTAATTCTAATAGAAACCGGCCCGACCCCCAAACTCCACTTTTTGAAGGCACATACCTATGTTGTAGTAAAAATAACATCTTAATTTTATGATGGTACATGCACACAATTAATACTTAAGAGAAATAGAGAAATACAGTCGCCAAGTTAATGTCCATTCAAATAATGGACTCAACTCCCTTCCCCTCTCACACTACACTGCCGGCTCTTCCCTCTCAGAGAAATTTTTGGGGGAAAACCACTAAATTTTAATAAATAATACCTCAAACTAAAGTTAGGATAATACAATTGACATTGCTGGATTCCTTGTAAGACCAGGAATATTTTGAATATAAATGTCATATATTTTGCACAAAAGATATCATAGTTACCTAGAGAAAAAATTTTATCTAAAATTTGTATGTTTAATGCAAAATATATGATGTTTATATTCAAAATGAACACCAAATTATAAGAATTCCAGCAATGTAAATTATATTCTGACAGGGTAATTTGTATGAATTTTATGAGCTAAAACAAATATCTTCAGTTAATAAAAAAAAAAATAATCTTCACAACACTATCTGTCAATCAAAGTACCCCACCTTGCCTCTCCCCCTCTTCCAACCGTGCGGTCAGTCCCAACCCTCCCCCCCACCCCCCACCAATCCTCCCTTCCAGGGTTTTTAACATTTAGTATTAAATAATACCTCAGATTAAAGTTAGGATAATATAATTGACATTGCTGGATTCCTTGTAAGACCAGGAATATTTTGAATATAAATGTCATATATTTTGCACAAAAGATAACATAGTTAATTTGAGAAAATTTTTTATCTAAAATTTGTATGTCTATTGCAAAATATATGATGTTTATATTCAAAATGATCATCAAATTATAAGAATTCCAGCAATGTAAATTATATTCAGACCGGGTAATTTGTATGAATTTTATGAGCTAAAACAAATATCTTCAGTTAATAAAAAAAAAAAATAATTCTTCACGGGGTAACAGATGGTCGGTCGGTCTCTCCCTCTCCCCCACCCCCCACCAACCGTCCCAAGGAGATGTGTGGGATAACCACTAAATTTTAATAAATAATACCTCAAACTAAAGTTAGGATAATATAATTGACATTGCTGGATTCCTTGTAAGACCAGGAATATTTTGAATATAAATGTCATATATTTTGCACAAAAGATAACATAGTTACTCTGAGAAAAATTTTTATCTAAAATTTGTATGTCTAATGCAAAATATATGATGTTTATATTCAAAATGATCACCAAATTATAAGAATTCCAGCAAATGTAAATTATATTCTGGCCGGTAATTTGTATGAATTTTTTTAAGGAGCCAAAAACAGTGTGTCAGGCAGGGTGGCGGTGGGGCAAATCTAAAAGTAGCTCGGTTTGACACACTCACCGCCAGATATGTGAAAAAAAAAATCCGCGGTTATGAAAAGTTCAGCTTCGGTGAGGCAAGCACCGATATGATAAAACGCTGTTATGAAAAAACCGCTATGAAGCGGGTAATATTGTGTGTGTGTATATACACATATACATATATATACATATACATATATATATACATATACATATACATATACATTACATATATATATATACATATACATATATATATATATACATATACATATACATATATATATACATATACATATACATATACATATATACATATACATATACATATACATATATATATATATATATATATATATATATATATATATATATATATATATATATATATATATATATATATATATATATATATATATATATATGCAAGTAAATCACTGTAGGTGCGCGTGATCTAGGTATATGCTGATGACCACAAGGAAAGAAGAAAACACGAAGTTCCCAAGCACTTTCGTGTAATTCACATCTTCAGGGGTGAGTACAGACTAAAGAGAAGTACAAAACAAGGTGTATATATACAGAGGAGGGTGAGACCAGGTCCACAATGGTCAGGTATTAGGTAATGACCCTACTAATCTTTATATAGCACCGCAACAGTCGGTAGTCAGGTCAGAGGGTAAGGTGACCCAACCTTCTCACCTGGTTACAAATCTTCTTAATTACAAAATTGTCCAGTTTGTACATGCCATTACTCAAATTCATGTTGAATGCTTCGGTATGTTTAATGAGACTAGATTCTATGATGTTCCTACTATCAACTGAATTACAAGGTAATATTGAGGAGGCATTATCCCAGTCAATGCAATACTTGTTATCCCTCAAATGAACAAACTTCGTGTTTTCTTCTTTCCTTGTGGTCATCAGCATATATACAGTATATATACAGTATATATATATATATATATATATATATATATATATATATATATATATATATATATATATATATATATATATATATATATATATATATATATATATATATATATATATGTGTGTGTGTATTTGTATGTGTATATGTATGTATAAATAAAAATAAAAATAATAATAATAATAAAAAATAATAAATAATAAAATAAATAAATATTGAAGTGATAACCGTGGTAACACTATGAGATGTACTTATTACTACCATGCTATTGTACTATTCCAGATGATACTAAATGTTACATAATACTTCCTTGAGATAAATGTATAGTATATATCAGGTGCCTCAAAGAGCGCTCAGGTTCTCAACGGGATCAGCCATGTTAATATTGTTATTATTATCCACTCTGTATCTGTGTTTTTCTGGCTAAATAAACTGTTTCAATTCAATTGAATTCAATTCAATTCAGTCAATATGAGTTCTGAATGGTCACACTTTTCATTACCTGACTTGCCCCCATCAATATGTCACTCTAAATAATGAAAAAAAGTTCACTAACATAATAAATCAATCCTGTACTCAATAATCAATCCAAAAATACAGTACTTACATTGCAAGAGTTATTGACAAACAATTTACAAGGCTTAATGAAAATATAAGTCTTTTAGTTTTCCTCAGGGGTGCTGGTCTGGAGAGGGCTTCTATTAAATTTTATAAGCAAAAAACAAAAACTCAATCTAAAGGACATAAATAAACAATTAAATACTTCACACCTCGGCGCCAACTGTCAAACATGTCACTGTCACCCCTCCCGCCCTACCCCCCACCTTCCCAACAAAGGTTTGGTGTTTTCAGTAGGCTTACAGTTTTTATCTTATATAATATCTCAGACTAAAGTTAGAATATAATTTGCATTGCTGGAATCCTTGCAAGACAGCAAAAATTTTGAATACAGTCAACCCTCACTTTACGTGGTCCCACATTCCGCGTTTCCATGTTTACGCGGTACCCTGCCGAAACCGGGATGCTCACATTCCGCAGTGCGTGTACCCCTTTACGCGGAGAATGTCTGGCTCGACACTTTTTTTAGATTCGCCCCTCCCACCTGCTCCCGCCTCCGCCTGGGCAAGCCACGCGGTAAGGTTGCGCAGTGCATGTCTCTGTTGCGTTGTCAGTGACGTCTTATGAAGTATCGGACTGTGATTGGCCATGCATCCCTACCTCCCTCCGCTGCTAGCTGTAATTGGTTGAAAGTAATATGACGTGTCCACCCAGGGGAGGGAGGGAGGGAGGAAAGACGACGCTTGACCTAGCCGCGGCAGTTTCATCCCTCCAGGCCACACCGTGTAATCGTGCATCCATTGTTCTGTAAAATGGCTTCCACCGGACCACCGCCCCCAGAGAGAAACCTTTCCTTACCTGGACCCAGCCACCCTAAGCCAAAGAAGACACGACGTTCCTTAAGCTATGAGGTGAAGTACAAGATCATCCAAGAGTTGGAGAAAGGAACAAGACAGGTTGATTTGGCGCGCCAGCATGGTGTGAACGAATCTACGATCCGGACGTTAAAGAAGGATGCAGCCAAGATAAAAGAGCACATGAACATCACAAAGTCTACAGGTGCTTCTATGATCAAGTATTTCCACAACCAGGTGCTTCTCAAGACGGAAAAATTACAGAGCCCAAACCCTTTAATGCATCCTCTGGGAGGTTACAGAGGTTTAAGAAGAGGAACAAGATCACCAATATCAACATTGGTGGTGAAGAAGCTAGTGCTGACCGTGTTGCGGCTAGGGAATTTCCTCCGTTTTTACGTGAGATTATGGAGGAAGGACAGTACACCGATGACCAGGGGTTTAACATGGACGAATCTGGTCTTTTTTGGAAAAAGCTACCTTACAAGACCTTCGTTGTGAAGAATGCCAGCAAGATTCTGGGCCGGAAGTTGCAGAAGGAGCGCATCACCGTCCTGTTTACCACCAATGCCTCCGGTACCTGTAAGCTCAAGTTATCGGTGATCCACACAGCACGCAAGACGCACGCCTACAAGAGCTTGGACATGACCAAGCTAAATGTTCACTGGCTGACCGCACTTAAGGCGTGGATGTTCTCTACACTGTCTCTCTCCTGGTTTGATGACTGTTTCGTTCCCGATGTGAAGAAATTCTGTGAGCAACAGAATGTGCCATTCAAGATTTTGTTGCTGCTGGACAACGCACCAGGACACTCGCCCCAACTGTTAGATCGTCACCCCAACGTAAAAGTGGTCTTCCTTCCTCCCAACACTACGTCTATATTACAGCCCATGGACCAAGAGTTAATCCGTAATGTAAAAGCTGCATTCTCTACTAAAAAATTCAAGCTCCTGAACGACTACACCAACACCAGGGAAGAGTTGCGTAACCTGAGTGACACCACCACCGATAGCAAGAGCGAAGACGACGAGGATCAACAGTTGGCAGAGCAACAAGTACTTTTAAAACAATTCTGGAGAATATTCAACATCAAGAAAGCTGTGGACCTCTTGGTGGAGGCATGGGATCAGCTGTCTGTAGCAACTGTTCGTCACGCATGGAGACATGTGTTGCAAGGCATTCCGGCCGTTAGGCAGAGTCAATCTGTGACTGGTGAGGTTCAAACTGTTGCAGTAGCAGTGGACCTTGCCAGAGAAGCTGCGCAGAGTGTTACAGCTGCAGGCTTCTCCGAGACCACCAACGACGACATCCTGGAGGTGATAAGGGATCCTGATGTGACTACCGACGAGATGGTAGATGATGATGACGTCAGTGAAGAAGCAGGTGGTGCGTCATCCCAAGAAGAACACCGCTTATCCCATAGTAATGTTAGGGGTGCCATCGAGTGTATCGAGAAAGTCAAGCTCCTCCTTTCCGACGACCCTGACGCAAACAGGTATGAAATCTTCACTACCCAGCTGTTGCAGACTATGGAGCCCTACATCAAGGTTTATCATGACAACATAAACACCAGTCGTCAGCAAAGCATAACAGAGTTCTTCGCCCGCAACCCACCACAGCCAGCCCAAGCCAGTGATAGTGACAGAGGTAGAGACAGTGATGATGACTTTGAGGGATTTGTCAGGGAGGCCCTGACAAGTGTGGATGACAGTGATGGTGACTCACCTGAGGGCCAGTAGCCTGCCCTCTGCCTCGGAACCAGCCTCCATTCTCGTACGCCGACCCATCTCTTCTACTAACGTAAGTGTTAACCCCAACCTTTATTTTTCCTAACCTATATTAATTGTGTGTGCATACCATCATAAAGTTAAGATAATATTTTTACTACAACATAGTTGTGTGTCGTCAAAAAGTGGAGTTTGGGGGTCGGCCCGGTCTCTATTTCAATTAATCCCATATGTTATGTTGTTCACTTTACGCGTTTCTCACTTTCCGCGGTACCCTGTGGGTTGAATTAACCGCGTAAAGTGAGGGTTCACTGTATAAATGTCATATATTATGCACAAGAGATAAAATTAATCACCTGTATCACATTACAATAGTGATTTAAGAGTTCTAGTGTGTGAATATATATATATATATATATATATATATATATATATATATATATATATATATATATATATATATATATATATATATATATATATATATATATATATATATATATATATATATATATATTTGTGATTTAAGGACGATTTAGGGGAATTTTAGGAGTGTTTCTGACTTCATGCATTTTTGGCTTTACTTTGTATATACAGTACAGTACTTTTCTGTGAGCTGGAACCAATTACCCAATATCCCACTGAAACAATGGTTTCGGTTAACGAACGACCCTCTGGAACGAATTGAGTTAGTTAACCGAGGGACCACTGTATGTATGTGTATGTGTATATATATATATATATATATATATATATATATATATATATATATATATATATATATATATATATATATATATATATATATATATATATATATATATATATATATATATATATATATAAAACAATCTTACCACAAGCATAATCTTGTTTCCTCCCTTTCTCAAGTCCCTCTTCATAAGTATCCATTTTGTTCTTCTCATATTCATTATCTATCATTAATCCTCTATTCCGTGGTCGTCCAGTTTTCCCTTTTCTTTCTGGAAGCATTTTGTCTCCACTTTCTGGTTTTATGAATTCATTTTGAAAACCTGGGATATCGTCATGTTTTCCATAATTCTCAGATATTGAATCCTCCACAGAATCATCTGATAAATGTAGATGGAAGTCATTTTCAGAGTTTGGGATGCTCTTATCACACAGGACAATCGGTTGTTCCACACCAGCTGATCCAGTAGAAAGATAGTGGACTAAACAGAACTGAGGATGCAGATTTGCTTTGTAGATTAACTGAAAGCAGTAAAAATTTATGCATAAATATCAACAGCAACAAACATCACACTGGATTAATATGTGAGTGTGTATGTGAGTGTGTATGTGAGTGCATATGAGAGTGTATGTTTGTATGTGGGAATATATGTCAGCATGTACTGTACCTTGTGTATGAATGTACATGTGTGTATGTGAGCAGGGGTCTATGTGTTTAATTTGAGTGTTTATGTGAATGAGTCAATTAGAAAAGAACAAAAAATGAATGGATTAGAAAACAACAACAAGTGAGAATGCAATGTAAATGTCATATATAAGAGGGAAGACATTAAATGTTTGAGATGCTGTAAGTGAAAGAACAAATTAAAAATGAGTCCAGGTTCTTCATCATTGTGTTGCCTAGTCTATAAAAATACAGTAGTACAGTATCTTACTCATAAGAACAAGGCAATATTTTTCATATTCAAAATTGAGTGATGAATAACACTCATTATTAAAATTCGAATATGATAGTATTTTTCTATCTGTAATATTGATTTTACAACTCATTGTACACAACAGTGACTCACTTTACCAATCATTTCAATTACACTGGGGTTTACAATACAATACAGTATACAGTACAATACATACTTGGCACAGGAACAAGAGCAGCTACTGTACTTGAATGAGGTCACACTCCCTACGTCTCCCTCCCCTCGGATATAAAGCATTTCTATGTGAATGTTCCTAAGATGATTTTCCTTTCACTTTAGTAGTGCAAAATTTTCTTACAAAAATTATATATAATACTGTACTAATTATCAATTAAAACAATTAAAAACTAAAAAAAAAATAAAGAAAAAATCAGCGTGTCACAACAAAGTAGAATTTTTTTAATACAGTACAGGTACAGTATCCCACGTTTAGCATTAATTCACTTTATTTTCATTCAGTTTAGTGATAAATACACCCTTTCTCACTTAACGTTAGGTCAAAATTTGGTTTAGCGATAGCATGACTCACTGGGAAGGGGAAAAAACTGGGCCTGTGAGATGGCATGTTGCCATTGTTATGCATAAAGAAACTCTAAAAATTGTGGAAAAATCATTACAATACTCTAATGTGGCTCATAAATAAAGAAAATATAATACAAAACTATAAGAAAAATGAAAAGCATGGGTGTGTATGTGTGTGAAGTGAATGTATTGGTGGAGAGAGTGGGCTGTAACTGCATAGAGTGCCCAGCCGTGCTTCCTGAAACTGTCATTGCATACACAAGGCACATCACTGCAGCAGCCACATATCTCTGAGTCGACTGGGTGACTGCCTGGTTGAATTGTGTTGAATTCACCCAGAGAATGGTTTGAGGTGGGAAGAGCTATTTTTTGTACATAAAATATGCTATTGTATTATATGTTCTGCTATACAGTATATCAATTTTATTGTTTATCATTGAATTTTTTTTCATTTTTGATGTTTGCAATTAAAAATTACCTGTAGTTCGAATTAGGCTCACCTTTTGCTCAATAAATCTTTTAACTCTGAGCCATATCATTTACATAGAAGTTTGGTGTTAATAAATCAACCTGCTGTCATATGGCATCATGAAAATTGTGACCAAGTCCCAGGTTGCTGATCTGACTTTCTGCCTCATTTACACACAATTGCAGTGTCTCAATTGTTTCTCTTACCATTGACAACACAACATACATATATTGTCTCTCACTCTTGATCTTTTTTTAATTTTCGTATTTCTTTATGGTTTTTTATTATTATTATTACTACTATTATTATAATTATTACATTTTTGCACCCCAGGCCCTGATGTGGGTCAGTGAGCTGTGCCCAGGTGGGCTAATTCCCGCAAAAAAAATAAATAAAAAAGAAAAAAATAAATAAAAAATGAAACTGTTTATAACAAACTCGTTTATTATTTTATTCAGGAGTACAGTACTGTACTCAGTGTTTACTGCCCTGCCATTTGAACCTGTTGTTCACGCTCCGTACTTTGCTGTTATCCCTCGTTTAGCAATAATTTTGCTTAATATTATGTTTTCAAGAAGGCAACCCCATCGTTATATGAGGAATATCTGTGCCTGTACAGTAAACTCCTCCATATTTGCATGCTTGGCCTTTGCAAGTTCATTAAGTCAGAGTGATGTAACCAGCATGTCAGCTTCACTGAGTTTGCCTCACATGTAAATACCGGTAAGGTGCCTTGTTAATTATCTTTTAATATAATTAGTCTTTTTCTTATTCAATAAATTCTTTAACAAACAAAACTTTCAACTCGTATATAAATAAGATATCTTTTTTGTCATATAGTACTTGATAGAGTATAAATGGATAAATGACTTGGCTGGCTTACAAGGGTTAGAACACACTGCTATATACCATAAGTTAAACATATTTTTGTACAATACTATTGTACATGTATGTCAATTTACTAGATTAATTATTGCATAGAATGGACTGAACACCAAAAATTCTGGTGACGATATCCCCCATTACTTAGCAATTCCCAAGTTTGCAAAGTTTAATTTACCCATATTTTCATGACATACAACAATGCTCCAAACCTTAAGAGAAGCATCATGTTTTCTTTAATCTTAACTGGGTTAACCCAATCTAATAGGTGACAAGCCCCAGCCTTCTAATAGTTTTGCAAATGCCTAGGTAAGACCTCAAGACAATGATAAATGATGGGTATTACATGATTCATTCCCCGAAGAAGAACATGAAAACCTACCTCTCCTAGCTTCCACACCATCAGCAATGAGTGCTTTGAGTATCTGATCCTCAACAAATGCTGCTACTGATGTGCAGCCAGATGATGTATTTTAGTTAGGAAAATTAATTTTTGTTTTGTGGACAAATCTGCTAATTGTCATAAAATAATAGAAAAAATAGAAAGAAAAGTACTGCATATCTTTGATATTTTATTTTGTTTTTATTTTATTTATTTATTTTTTAAAATGGGTTTGGGGCAAAAGTTATGGGTTTCATAAAATGTACAGCAATGTAACTAAACTTTTCCCTTAAGAAGTAATATTCATAAGTTTAATTTTTTGTACTATTCCTGAGGCCTTTTGAGCATATTCTCAGTGTCATAGAAGGGGTAGCTGTAAAACAAGGCTTTTACCACTGTGGTAGTTTCAATACCCTCCCAGTGAAGTTTAACCTCACTGACTCCAACTACCAGTTCATCACTGTATATGAGTCAGACACTTGAGAATAAGAAATGTTTGACTCTGCAAACTACTGTATATACAGTACAGTACTGTGTTACTGTATCTGAAATATATTCTCAGGTAGTATTAAAGTTTTCACAAACATTTAAAGTTAATACAGTGCAGGAAAATCCCCACATTTTAAATTATTCTAACTCCAAAATACAAAAATAAAATAAAAAGTAAAGTTTTAGTAAAAATTAATTAATTCAATAAAATCTGGCTACAGTATTATAAAACCCTAGCTCACCATAGTTTCACTTTTTTGCCGGGAGTTCCTCACATCACTGCCAATACCAACACATTCGTATTGCTAGTTTTCAAAGGAGTCACTTTTCTGAGATTCCAGAATAACTGGTTTCCAAGGTTCTATTGTAGTGCGCATTTTCATTCTCTATACTGTACAGTATATCATCTTACTCTATTTCATACTAAATGAAGTAGAAGAAAACCATCAAGCCTAATTACAAAAACAGAATACAGTACAGTATACTATACAGTATATGTACTGGAAGCAGTTATAAAGAGAGAATTTACTGCACTCAGTATGCAGGTTGAGGATACAGTGGTCCCTCGGTTAACGAACGCCTCGGTTAACGAACGCCTCGGTTAACGAATGACCTTCCATAAGAATCTTCATTTCAGTGAACAAACAAAAATTCGGTTAACGAAATTCTTACGAAAATGTTTCAACATGTTTTGGCTTGCTCATATGCTGGAAGATTAGTCCGCCAATACAGAAATCGGTTCTTGGGCTTACATTCGTTAAAATTGGAGTAAATATCAAGAAGGTTGTACTATTCAATAATTTTCCAAGTTTTATATTAAAATTTTTAGTCATTTTAACACTTATTTAACATAATTGCAGTACAGGGAATCAGTTTTTGGTGCGCCCATCAGCCACTCCACTCCACTCACCTACCAAGGCCTCAGTTTGTATCTCTGTTCAGTGGAGGAAACATCTTGCTTGTGGGTCTCTTGAACAGAGAGTATTTTTACGTTTTTACAGTACAGTAATACCCCGCTTAACGCGTTTCAGTTTTACGCGTTTCTACATTTACGCGGTACCCCGCCAGAACCGGAATTCCCACTTTACACGGTGCATCTACTCATATACGCGGGAAGCGGCGCGGGCAGTCATCAAAACATTACCGAGTTCTTCACCCGCCACCCACCACAGCCGGCCCAAGTCAGTGATAGTGAGGATATGGACTTATATGGACTTTGAGGGATTTGACAAAGAGGCCCTGCAAGCCTCTGTGGTGGATAGTGATACAATTGATACAAGTGATACAGGTGAGGGCCAATAATCTGCCCTCTGCCTCGGAACCAACCCTTCATCCCCGTGTGCCCAGTCATCTTTTCTACTAATGTAAGTGTTAAAAAACCTCATATTATTGATATATTTTAATTATTAATTGTATGTGCATACCATCATAAAATTAAGATGTTATTTTTACTACAATGTAGGTATTGTGTCTGAAAAAGTGGAGTTTGGGGGTCGGCCCAGTCTCTATTTCAATTAATCCCATATGTTCTGTTGTTCCGTTTACGCGTTTCCCGCTTTACGTGGGCCTCCGTGGGTTCAACTGACCATGTAAAGCGGGGTTACACTGTACAATTATTGGTCATTCTGAAATTTATTTAACATATTGACAATATATAGTGCAGTGCAGTGTTGATTTAAAGAAAATAATCTTGAATTACACCTAGTGAACTTAAAATTTTATTGGTGAAATGACGGCAACAAGCATGGGGTGATTTCTCTTCCACCCCCCACTTCCTTCTCTTCTCCCTTCTCCTCCACCCCCACTTCTAATTCCCATCATCATCATCATCATCATCAACCAGGAGCCTTCTACATACACACCTCAAAGTAAGTGTACTTTACTACATTTTTTTTTTACTTTGTATGTAATTTTCAGTGAGCTGGAACCAATTACCCAAAATCCCATTGAAACAATGGTTTCGGTTAACGAACGACCTTCTGGAACAAATTGTGTTCGTTAACCGGGGGACCACTGTATAAGCGTGTGTGGAGTAATTTGGTTTGTTGTCTTAGCCCTTTCCCAATACTTCTCAAAACTGTCTTGTACAGTATGTATCTCCCTCATCAGTCTCCTGTCCCCTTTCTTTGGGGTTTCTCCATTTCTGTATCCCTTGATCAATCCATACATGAGTGGAAGGGAATAAAAATAATACAATTGGTAGATTGAGAGATGACTCAATTCATGATCAGGATACATGGAGTGAGAGACTGTGAATCAAAAATTGATACAATTTAAAAAAAAAAAAAACACTTATTTGAGAGGTTATTATTGAAGAATTTATTCCATCTATACTTACTTTCACATCCGGATCTTTACCATCAAGGTTGTGGCAAATTTCAACTGATCTGGTTCTTTCATACCAGGTGATTGACAAGTGTGTTCCTTGAGGATAGTTACTACTGGGTATCCACATCTCACCATCATCCGCACCTAAAAATTTTTTTTTAGCATATTCATCGATATCGATAATATGCCATATATAGTGCAGTATATATTAATAATTTCAAAATACATTCTATTGCATTGTTTAATTGGCATACTTTACTCATAAAACATCAACATTTTAATTCAAAATACCTGGATATACCATGAGTAAAAAAATTGTATCTTATTGATATACAGGGGCCGGATACTCAAAACACCTCATAAGTTACGTCTTTTAGCATGATACAGTACCATATATTGTCGAATTTTTACAGTACCATAAATTTAGCATATTCAAAATTTAATTACAGTTCCGTAAGCCTATCGTAAGTTTTCAGAACTCTAGTGTTTACCCTGTAAATTAAGTTCTCTTGTCGGAAGGTAGATGTCAGTGCAGGAGCTAGTTGGCCAATCAGCGCTCAGTTAACAAAATCATCGACCAATCACAAGAGAAGGAGAAATCAGCTGAGAGCAACGCACATAATATTATTTTGTAAACATGGAAGGACCACCAGCCAAGAAGAGACGGCCTAATTTCAGTGAGGCTGAAGTATACGCTATTCTGGGCAAATTCAAATAAATTGGTTATTGATAGCATAGCCTCGCCGAACCTAAATGACAAATCACTTCTCTTAAATTACTCATTTAGCCTAGACCCTGGTGTTTTCCTTTCAATGTTGGGGACATTTGGTCTGAATTGTCTTCAAGTTCATACAAAAAACAACAATTTAAAACCTGAAAATATATCGGATTAGCCGTAAAGTTTCTTAAATTAATACTCTACCTATGATAATGTTCAAGGAAAGTCTGGAACTAGGCCTAAGGTAGCTGCTAGACAAAGTGTTTCACTGATGGCCTGACACTCACCAAAAAACCATGTACACAGTCTCTAACCTAAACTAACATACCATAACATAACATAACCAAACAATACCAAACCTATCTAAACTATAACCTATTGGTATAATTTCTTATTTAAATAATCCTCATGTTCTAACTAAATTAAGTAGGCCCCACGTTTAAACATTTATTTGCCAAAGACTGAAAAAGCAGTTATATAGGCCCCTATTAATCAAGTTAATTGCAATCCATATTTTACGCCTAATATCATTTAATTTTGGCTAGCCTATGGAAATTTATAGCCTTTCATGTTATCATAAGCCATATACATAAGAAAATAGGCTAAGGCTATTGGTTGAATATTAGAAAAACAAGGCGAAGTCTTGGCAGGAATGTTCACTTGACCTCATATTTGGCTTTCATTACTGAGGAATATTTATGGCTATACAACATTAATAAGTTCTATCTGCAAGTTTACTCAGTCATAAAACATATTTTTACCCTAAGTGTGAACAATACAAACCTTCTGTTTTGGTAAAAAATACTTTATAATTTGTAAGAAGACAAAAGATGAGTCTCTTCCAAACTGAGACCAATACAAACACTCAAGCCGCTTATTATGGCAATAAAAAGTTACGAAAAAGACAAAGTGAAATATTATATTTCAGTATGTTGAAGTACAAAACATTTTCTTCATTATTCTATGATAAAACAAGTCGAACAAGCATTATTACAACATATATTATTATTATTTTTTTTTATACAATCGGGAATTAGTCACTACTACATCAGGGTTGAGTGTTACACAACCTCAGGAGCTGGTGTAAGTTACGCACTTTAACTTACGGAGTTCGATGTCAAATATTTGTTTTGAGTATACCATCTGTGTTTTGAGTATGCCAATCTGAGACTGTAAGTCCAGTTACGGGGTACACAACGACATACAGTCCCATAAATGTTTTTGAGCATCCGGCCCCAGGACAGTATAGTACTGAGACATTCATATGCATTCAAAATTATTTATTACCAACCCCTAAAAGTTATACAGTGTCGTAGAAGTACAGTATTTCCATACAGTACTTACCAATATCATCCTTTAGCACAAACAAGTCTCCCACTTTTGGCAACAAAGCAGCAGAAGTATGAATGCATAATTTGCCATGCAGAATCCTATCTGGAATACAAGTTAATATGATAATACTATATGAAGAAAAAAATTTACAACTTAAGATAGGACAACTCATGTATGCCCGGAGAGACTTAAGGGGTGAAAACTTAGGCTTCTAAGACCACTTGTTGTCTGAAAATAATTTTTGAAGAAATCTAGAAATTAGCTATCCTTCCTAACCATATGGGTTTCCTCAAGCGAAGACAATGAGTATGGCAATTCCCCAATGAGAGACAGATGGGAGTCTTTGCCACCATGTGCTCAGTGACCTCTATTTATTGCTTAATTATAAGACCAGGCAACAAGGCCAACACCTCAATAGAACAAAAGGGAGGAGAAAAATAATCTGAGTGACCCAAAATTTTTCAGTTTTAAATGGGATTTCAATATCAATCCTCAAATTATAACCAGATGCAAGTTTTGGGGATATCATGTACAGAGTGCAGGTATAACAAATCCAGCTACAAATTCAAGTCAGGAGGCACTAAGAAGCTCCAAGTGCTATACATACACAGAATGTATCTCAATGGGACCCATTCAGCCCAACCAAGCAAGATTGAAAGAATGAAAGGAACCAGCCTTTAGTTTCGTATGGCCACGTAGTTTTAAGTTTGTATGGACTGCAATTAAGCTGGGAGAGATCTTATCTCTAATTTTCTAGTTTTACTGGATATCTGGAGCATAGCCCAGTCACACAAGTGAAGGGTTTCCAGAAACTCTTGGACCTAACCCACAAGCTTGCTGACATTGTACAATACACAAATTGTTTGATAAAACTACATTCATAACAAAAATATACTTTAGACATACATATGAATTAGACAAAACTCTTTTGCACAAATACGAACATAAACATAGTACTATTCACACTTTTAAACACTCTTACACCTCTCTCTCTTCTTTGGCACGACCCTACTCCACACACTGAAGTTACCGTACAGTTTCATGGAGGTAGCCGGTGTGACCTAAAGACACTTAACTTCACTTCAAGGATAAGATGAAATTAGCTCATTTGGGGCACTACCATGACCAAAGTTACCACACTGCTGAAGCTGTCCTATACTTTTCAACACAGCACCACCTGATTGTACCTAACTGTACTCAGATAGACCTCACTCCCCCTTCCTCAACCATTCATCCTTCTCATCTGAAGGCAAGAAGTTGATGAGTCTGCTGACTTTATGGGCACAAAGAGAAAAGGCAACAGTACTCTTACTTCTGCACCCCTTCTCAGACAGTGTAGTCAAAGTGGTAGTGAAATTTATAGTACTACACTAGCCAGAGAGGGGAGTTAAGCAATCTTTATTTTCTGTATGCATTTACATTATACAATACTATTCTTTGTATTTTGCCAATGCAGTTACAGACTGCTATATAAAACAGACACTGATAGAAAATAGTGTAAGGAGCACAAGCAATGTGTGGTTGTGGGGCACCACATAATACTATACAGGCACATACAACTTAGTGCTCAGAATGCAATTCTATAGAATCAACGAAGAAAGGGATCAGAGCAATTCAGGGTCATTATAACATAATATTGTACATATGGAGAGGAGATGCATTTCTGACAGCATTTATCTCATGTAGAAACCATATAAAAGGCCTACATTGGATAATATGAGGCCCCCGCATCGTAAGGGTAACTCAGACCACCCGGGCAAAACACGTTTTTTGTTGGAAAGCACTATTTTCAGCCTAGGTAGTGGATAAAATCTCCTTACTAGACTGTAAATAAGGTTGCAAGCCCTTTGAAAATAGGGTGTAACAGGAAAGTATGGGATTGGTTTTCGCGTCGTCAGGTGCTCTCGTCCCATCAGTTAGTGAGTGAGAGGAGCAGGCGGCCAATCACAGCAGCCAGCCTACAGCCTCATCCCCCGTCTCAGCCAATAACAGTGAGCGTCTGCTATCTATGTCACGGCCCCTCCAGCCAATGAGGCGGAATCCCTCTCTCCTTCTCCCTCAGTTCTCCTTTGTTGTGGCGGGATCTACACTCTGATATCGATTAAAGTAAAAAAAGCCATGAGCGGGTGGGAGTTTTGTTGCTTCAAGTCAACATTGCAACAACCCAGTACATTACCTCATGACAAGCGACCTACTATCTGCAATTACAGTCTTTTAGCTTATTAATGCATAAAAAATGAATGCTGTATCACAAAAAAAGAAGAAAAAGTTATGCTTGTTAGAAGTTGGAAAAACTTTAAACGTGGTTTTCTCGGTTTCAAATTTTGGTTCGAGTAACCCATATGATGCAGGGTCCTCATATACTGAAGATGGTAAAAATATAATAATCTCAAGGAAAGCATAAATTCAAGGAAAACATCACTCGAGGAGTTAATGTAAATTTAGGTCACCACTCACAGCTGGGTGTCCTAGAGCTGCCCAAGGTGTAAACCAGGAACTTTAGTTTAAGACAATAAGAAAGTGTTGTATTCACTCAATGCCATACCTTTGCCTTACTTGTAATGCACAACCAAGTCAGAAAAGAGTAATTGCTATTTACAATCTTACCAATTAAATCTGTTATTTCTGCAACACTCAAAACAGATTCTGATGTTGTAACTGGAGAAGGAATATCCATTGAATAACCTGCAAAGAATAAATAATAATTATTAACCAAAAGCAGTTTACTGTAAAACATTTTATTAACAAAATGACTAAAGATGGTACAGTAATCCCTCACCAACCTAGGGTTTACCATCTATAGTTTTGAGTACAGTGGTCCCTCGGTTAACGAACACAATTCGTTCCAGAAGGTCGTTCGTTAACCGAAAATTTCGTAAACCGAAACCATTGTTTCAATGGGATATTGGGTAATTGGTTCCAACTCACAGAAAAGTACTGTATATACAAAGTAAAGCCAAAAATGCATAAAGTCAGAAACACTCCTAAAATTCCCCTAAATCGCCCTTAAATCACTATATATATCGTACATATACACTAGAACTCTTAAATCACTACTGTAAAGTGATACAGGTGATTAATTTTATCTCTTGTGCAAAATATATGAAGTTCATATTCAAATTATTCGCTGTCTTGCAAGGATTTCAGCAATGCAAATTATATTCTCCTAACTTTAGTCAGAGATATTATAAAAGATAAACACTTTAAAGCCTAAAGAAAACACGAAACTTTTGTCTGGGAGGGAGGGAGGGAGGGAGGGAGGGAGGGAGGGAGGGAGGGAAGGTGGGGAGCAGGGGGGGAACGGGAGGTGAGGTGTATTTTGATTGACAGATAGTGTCTGGGTGAAGTATAATTTGTTTATTTACTTGAGATTTTTGTTTTTAGCTCATAAAATTCATAGAAATTACCCGGCCAGAATATAATTTACATTGCTGGAATTCTTATAAGATAGTGATTAATATGAATATAAACAAGCAATAATTTGCATTAGACATACAAATTTTAGATCTAATTTAAGAATTTTATTAGAGAGAGCAAAAATTTTATCTTTTGTGCAAAATATATGACGTTTATATTCAAATTATTTGCTGTCTTGCAAGGAATCCAGCAATGCCAATTATATTCTCCTAACTATAGTCTGAGATATTATTTATTATTAAACCTGTAAGCCTAGTGCTTTTCCCCAAACGTTTCTCGGGAAGGTGAGGGGTAGGGAGGGAGGGGGGTAGGGAGGGACGGAGGTAGGGAGGGGTGACAGTGATATGTTTGACAGTTGGCACCGAGGTGTGAAGTATTTAATTGTTAATTTATGTCCTTTAGATTGAGTTTTTGCTGTTTGCTTATAAAATTTAATAGAAGTGACCGGGGTGAATTTAATTTGCATTGCTGGAATTCTTATAAGACAGTGATTAATTTGAATGTAAACATAGAAGAGATCACCGAGTTGGCTGAGTACCTCCTCAGCTTATCAGCTGATGTTCAAAACAAAACGTGATTTTCGTAAGGATTTCGTTAATCAATTTTTTTTCGTTAACCGAATTGAAGATTCTTATGTAAGGTAATTCGTCAACCGAAATTTCGTTAACCGAGGGACCACTGTACTGTATCCACTTTTCATATTTTGTATACCATTTTGCCAACCATGGTATCCAATTTTAAGTAACTGTGAGTTCCACAGTTACTATGGGAGATTCCTAGCTCAGCACAGTGGGACTGCAGGAGGCAAGGATCCTGTCACCAGCCTCGATGCTCATGACAGAAATGTAACAATGCACATAGCTGTGTATCAGTGAGTTTACAGCATCCTTTTGCCCTTATCATGCTTGCTCAGCCTCTTTCGCTCTTTCTCACATTGTCTCTCATTCTGTGACCTTCCCAAGAGTTGACAACCTTGCTCCAAAGGAGTTAACTCTGACAGTTTTCTGTATACAGAGAATGTTGTGAAAGCACCAAGTGTGAGCTAATTTAAGACAAGACTTGACCAATACTGACACATAGCTAGGTGCAAACAAGAGCCTGTACATGTCTAGTACTTGCCAACAGTACATAAGAGGAAACTGAACAGTTGCCTAACTAGCTAATAAGATGACAAATGGAAAAGATGATATGTAAGAATGAACATGCTACATAATGCCTAATACTTGAATATTTCATACAGGTTCAGAGATATGTGGTAACACCTTTTAGTTTTAAATTGGTCAATGGATACACAAAGAGTGATGTGAAGTATTTATACCATAAACTTACTGATTAATTGCCAAAGATCTTCGTTCTCATTTTCTTCGCACTTCATCTCAATATCACTATTCCCATCTCGTCTTTCAATATCTCTGTCAAATTCATAAGAGTCAACTTCAATGTTGATTCCTTCAATGATTTCATCATCATCTTGCTCATCATCATCATCGCACATTCTGAACAAAGACGAACTCTTTGGTTTGGTTTTCTCTAAGCCATACCCAGCCATCCAAATTTTATTCCTATGCCTAGATCCCCTTCCTCTTCCCTTGGGAGGTCTACCTCTTCGTCCTCTTAAAAATCCTCTTGTGCTACTCATTCCAGGAGTATCAAATGATTCTCCATAAGAATCCTCTTCATTTTCATCCTCTTCCTCATAATCATTTTCAGATTTTTCTTCATCAGAGATATGATGTTTTTCTGTTGATAATTCAACTTTGTAAAGATCTAGATAACGACTATTTGGTTTTCTTCGCCTGCCAAAGCTACTAGCAGCTATCTGTGACTCCTGAGCTTCCTTTTCTGCCAGTTCTGCATCTTTTTCTTTCTTTATCATTTCCTCTACTTTCTTAAGCTTTGCATTCTGCATTTCCTGATCTTGCTTAATTTTTTCTTCAAGATCATTTGGTAATTTTTCCATATACTGAACAACATGAAATCCTGCATCTGACTTAACTTTATATCTTACTCTTATATTTCTTTCATGACATTTCATATCATGAAATGCAGCATCAGTTTTAAATTTATAAACTATTCTAACAGCACCATCACAAAGATTGGTGTGACTTCCACGTTTCTTGTTGTAACGAACTTCAATCATGTCTCCAAATGAATCTTCCATCCCATCAGGAAACAAAGCCCCCAATCCATCATGTTTGTGGTAGGAAGTCCAACGGTGTACATCATATCGAGCAAAACGCGCACCTGCAAAGGAAAAGATCATAAAAATACAATGATTATATCAGAGAAGTAATACTATGCAAAAAAGTCAGAAATGGTGTTAAACATCTAGCCTAAGGCTCTAGCATTATTCAAAGTTCATTCTCTTTTTCAAAATTCCTTAACATATGCACATGCATGAATTTCAACCCCACAGAAATAATATGCATATTTAAGATGGTTCCCAAACTTTAGCCTAAAGATTTTATCTTAAAAATGTAACCCTGACATGGTTATACTGTATATGGTGTTTTCATTAATAAATAACTTGTATAATAATGTTTTACTAACACTAAACTTGTACTGTACACTTACATTTTTTCTGGGGTCATATGAAGACAAAATGTCCCACCTCTATACTGTACAGTGAACCCTAACCCAACGGTGGTTTGTCCAAAGCGATTTTGACGATACGCGTTTTAATATACAGTTTTACCCCGCCTAACGCGGTTTCACTTAACGCGTTTTCGCATATACGCGGTGCCTTGCCAAAGCTGAACTTTCACTTAACGCGGATTTTTTCCACATATACGCGGTGAGTGTCCGAGACGCTATTTTTAGATTTGCCCCACCCGCCACCCTGCCTGACTGCCTGTTTTAGCTCATAAAATTCATACAAATTACCAGGCCAGAATATAATTTACATTGCTGGAATTCTTATAATTTGGTGATCATTTTGAATATAAACATCATATATTTTGCTTTAAACTTACAATTTTTAGATAAAAATTTTTCTCTAGGTAACTATGGTATCTTTTGTGCAAAATATATGACATTTATATTCAAAATATTCCTGGTCTTACAAGGAATCCAGCAATGTCAATTATATTATCCTAACTTTAGTTTGAGGTATTATTTATTAAAATTTAGTGGTTATCCCACACATCTCCTTGGGACGGTTGGTGGGGGGTGGGGGGGAGGGAGGGACCGACCGACCATCTGTTACCCTGTGAAGAATTATTATTTTTTTTTATTAACTGAAGATATTTGTTTTAGCTCATAAAATTCATACAAATTACCCGGTCAGAATATAATTTACATTGCTGGAATTCTTATAATTTGGTGATCATTTTGAATATAAACATCATATATTTTGCTTTAAACTTACAATTTTTAGATAAAAATTTTTCTCTAGGTAACTATGGTATCTTTTGTGCAAAATATATGACATTTATATTCAAAATATTCCTGGTCTTACAAGGAATCCAGCAATGTCAATTATATTATCCTAACTTTAATCTGAGGTATTATTTAATACTAAATGTTAAAAACTCTGGAAGGGAGGATTGGTGGGGGGTGGGGGGGAGGGTTGGGACTGACCGCGCGGTTGGAAGAGGGGGGGAGGCAAGGTGGGGTACTTTGATTGACAGATAGTGTCGTGAAGATTATTTTTTTTTTATTAACTGAAGATATTTGTTTTAGCTCATAAAATTCATACAAATTACCCGGTCAGAATATAATTTACATTGCTGGAATTCTTATAATTTGGTGATCATTTTGAATATAAACATCATATATTTTGCTTTAAACTTACAATTTTTAGATAAAATTTTTTCTCTAGGTAACTATGTTATCTTTTGTGCAAAATATATGACATTTATATTCAAAATATTCCTGGTCTTACAAGGAATCCAGCAATGTCAATTATATTTTCCTAACTTTAGTTTGAGGTTATCCCACACATCTCCTTGGGACGGTTGGTGGGGGGTGGGGGGGGAGGGAGGGACCGACCGACCATCTGTTAGCCGGCTGTGTAGTGTGAGAGGGGGAGGGAGTTGAGTCCATTATTTGAATGGACATTAACTTGGCGACTGTATTTCTCTATTTCTCTTAAGTATTAATTGTGTGCATGTACCATCATAAAATTAAGATGTTATTTTTACTACAACATAGGTATGTGCCTTCAAAAAGTGGAGTTTGGGGGTCGGGCCGGTTTCTATTGGAATTAATCCCATATGTTCTGTTGTTCACTTAACGCGGATTTCACTTAACGCGGGACCCTCTGGGTTCAATTGACCGCGTTAAGTGGGGTACAACTGTATGTGACCAAATAATTTGCTCAACACTGAAAATTTTAATATAAGCAGGTTAACAACGCGCCGCCTCCGCCTTCCTCCTCCGCTCTGCCTCAGCCACGCTCCAGTTGGAGATGCCTGCCAGTCTAGCTTACACGTCAGCAGCATCAACATTGTGGTAAAGTGGTTTTGGAACTTTTTGTGTTTTTGCGTTGCTTTGTACAGTATGGCCCCCAAATGCAGAGGTGATGTTGGTGGTGGTAGCACACCCAAGAAAAGTAGAGAAGTAATGATATTAGCCGAGAAAAATAAAGATTTTAGATCGGCTACATGATGAAACACATGTAGCAATGCTTGCCCGTGAGAACTCTGTAAATGAATCCACCATACGCACAATTTGTAGTTGTGAAGACAAAATGTGTGCAAATGTGAAAGAATCCGCTTCTCTTGATGCTAAGGTGGCTCAAGTACCATAGCAGGGATCAGTACTTAGAAATTTGTTTAAACTATTAAATGTTTGGATCAGTGAACAAGTGAATGAGAAAGGATCTGTTGTTGAGAGCGTAGCAATACATGAGAAAGCACGTAGCTTGTATGTTCAAGATGTGAAAACTGAGGGGGCAGGGAGTAATGCTGCGACTGTGACTGATTTCCAAGCAAGCTAAGGATGGTTTGAAAATTTTAAACACTGCTTTGATTTACATAATGTGAAGCTTCAGGGAGAAGCTGGATCAGCAAACAAAGAAGTTGCAGAGCACTTGAATTGATAAAGGACAAAGGATATGCTCCAGAGCAAGTGTTGAACCCCTACGCCCCGGTTGACGTTCTGGAACGTGCGCCTATTCGCGGCATTGTTTGAACGCCCAGCGCGGGTTATCAGGTTCCATTGTGACTATCTGCGTGTCACGCCACACGCTCGGCCACAGGGAAGCTTCAGGAATGTAATTACCTACTTTTATTGGTTTCATTTTCATTGTTTGTCCATTTTATCATGTTGTATCAAAGTAATATTGTTAAAAATAGTATACGTAGTTGTACAGTGGAGTTTGGGGGTCGGCCCAGTCTCTATTTAAATTAATCCCACATGTTCTGTTATTTCATTTACGCGTTTCTCGTTTTACGCGGACCTCCACGGGTTCAATTGACCGCGTAAATGCAGACTACGGTATACTATATTATAAAATGTGAGGTGAGGCGATATGATTTGACATTTGGCGCTGAAGGCCTGCCTGCGTGTTTATTTATCATTCCTTAAGAGTGACTAAGCTCTTCTCATAATTTGCCACCCAAATGACCTGGGTGAATATAACTTACATTGCTGGGATTCTTGTAAGATAGTGATTTATTTGAATACCTGTATAAACAATCTATATTTGCAATAGACATAACAATTTTAGTACCGTAATCATTTAGTACATGTACAGTACAGATTTGCACTTAGGTCCATTGTTAACTGAGGGACCACTGTATTGCAGTGTACTTGTACTGTACAATATTGACTAAATTCACTAGATAACGTACACATCTAATGGTTGGTAAAACTTGTCGAGTAAGTGAGTGACAAGTCTGTCAGTATGAGTGGCACGTGTGAGTGCTTGTGTCCCCCATCATAGGAGTCCGTTTTCTCTCGCTTCAGGACCCTGAGTCCTCCGTTTTCTCTCTTAATCTTAGAGTGCACCAGAGACTTCGTTATTCCTTAGTAATGACACAGAATTTGAAATTGCAACCCCAATTGCAACTGGGGTTGCAATTATTGAGGCAACTAGAAATGTCTGATTACAGCAAATGTGTTATTGTCAATTTGTAGGTGAAAGATTTTATCCTCAATAGATGTAGGTTAATATTACATCTGGAGGCAATTGTTTACCGAAGAATAAGGAAGGATATTCCTTTAACACATAATATCTGGCCAGTATGGAAAGGATCATCGTGTCTCCGTCAGGGGGTCATGGAGTGGTGGTCCAGCAGGCGTCACGAAAGTGTTTTTTTTGGCACGGACGTATATGCGATCGGATGTTGTTTGGTTGGACGTCAACCGGCGCATGACTGTATTGTAATGTAGTATTACAGGAAAATAATACTCTGACTATGTTATAAATGTATTTATTTATGGAATTATTATTCCGAGAATTATTTATATGCATTACCTGCTCTATCAAACACAAAGACAGCCAGAGAGCCTGGCCACGGACTGTGTGTGTTGCCGAGCACTTCTTATGAAAAATAATGCAAATTAAATATTCTAAATGAATTATTTATAGCAAATAAGTATTATGATCTGTAAATATATGCATTACTGGCCAACCCGGACACAAAGGCAAGCAAAAAATGGCCGCTAAGTGCGTAGTGACTACGAGTGCTAGCCGTCAAAACAACAGTCCCCTTATCTCCCTCGCCACTTCGACCCCAGCATAGAGGGTCAAAATATAGTTTTTATTACTTTTTTTTATTGCTTTATCATTTAAAAAGGTTAAAAATTAATTTTGGGAAAGGTAATTTTTCTCGATTTACCCTACGTGGGGGAAATGACCAGTGGCACCCTAGCCCAGGATGTAGGGGCTAATGAGACTGGCCTCTTTTATAAATGTATGGAGAGAAGTTTACAGTTCAAAAGGGCTCTTGATGATATTTGTGAGCCATACAGAGAAATTTTTGAAAGATTTGCATAGACAAAGCAAACAACAGAAAATAATAGACTTCTTCTTGAGGCTGCGGTCACCGCACCTATCAACATCATCTGCCAAACCAGAACTCTATGAACCCCAACCACCAACATCATCTGCCAATCTGGAGCCTGAAGCCGATGATCCAATCGACTCCAAGAAATAAAAATCATTCCGGTTTCATCATCATCGAAGTTTTCTTCATCAATCACCGTCATCAGAAGGCTTCATAACATCTACGATATTATCGTCATCATAGTTACGCAACAATCAACTAACCATGGATCGGTGAGTACAGTAATATGATTTTATAATGCCTATCATTAATATTTTTTATTTTTTATTTATGTTAGTTCTATTATTATTATATTTGTGCATTAGTGTATGTAAATGTTTAAAAGATATGCATTTCACGTGATAAGAGCCCATACACGGCCACGATCCCGCCACCCCATTTCTCTTATAAGAAGTTAAGTTGCCAAATTTGATTTTGCCTAACAAGCCGTTTTCGAGGAACCTAACCACCGCATTGGGAGAGAGTTTACTGTATTTCCTTAATGTCCTGAAGCTCACGCAATGTGAATTCACAAAATGCATCATTCTTCAAGAATGTAACCCTCACATTGAGCATTATCTGGCTGTACAATACTACCTGTACAGTAAATCAAGTTTCTTATTCTTCAACTAAAGGAAATCTCCATATTGTAATCATAAATTTCAAATGCATGGAATGTAACAAAGATAGTGAGAGGTGGGGTGACAGATGTTGACTCAAAGGCATGAATGTCTTTGTCTAATAATACATGTTTCAAATTGCAGCAATACTGTATTGTGAGAAAGATATAAAAATGTAAAGTGCGGGATGAATTTCTGTGATTTTATACGAATCAATCTGCAATGAAGTTGTGAAATGGTAAATGCAATTCAAATCTCGATATAGAATAATAATTCACAATTACAAATACTAAAGTCAAGCAAAGTACTTAAAGAACAAACAGATTATTTACCAAACTAGAAAGATACCCTATACTAGTGCAAACGCATCAAGGGAAATAAAATGTTCAATTAATATAAGACTACTGATATGTACAATAAACAAGTAACAGTGTACTATACTGTACTGTACAGTACAGTATAGTTGCCAATTTTATTGACTTTGGAAAGATACATTTACCTGGACTGTATATCTGAACATACAATAGGTAAAGAGAGGGGCTTTGGCACTGTGTACCATATTTTACATTACAGGTATGGATTACTGGGCAAAGACATACAGTATACAGTATAGTCTTCATTTACGCGGTCAATTGAACCCGTGGAGGTCCAGGTAAAACGAGAAACGCGTAAACGAAATAACAGAACATATGGGATTAATTGAAATAGAGACTGGGCCAACCCCCAAACTACACTTTTTCCGACACAATAGTACGTTGTAGCAAAAATAACATCCTAATTTTATAATGGTATGCACACACAATTAATATTTAAGAGAAATACAGTCGCTCTCTCTAATAAAATTCTTAAATTAGATCTAAAATTTGTATGTCTAATGCAAATTTTAGCTTGTTTATATTAAAATTAATCAATATCTTATAAGAATTCCAGCAATGTAAATTATATTCTGGCTGGGTAATTTCTATGAATTTTATGAGCTAAAAACAAATATCTTCAGTAAATAAACAAATTATACTTCACCCAGACACTATCTGTCAATCAAAATACCCCACCTCCCGCTCCCCCCCCTCTTCCCACGCTCGCTGGCTCCCTGAGAAATGTTTGGGAGAGAAGACTAGGTTTTTAGGTTTAGTAATAAATAATACCCCAGACTATGTTTAGGATAATATAATTGACATTGCTGGATTCCTTGCAAGACTGCGAATAATTTGAATATAAACGTCATATATTTTGCAGAAAAGATACAATTTTTGCTCTCTAATAAAATTCTTAAATTAGATCTAAAATTTGGATGTCTAATGCAAATTTTAACTTGTTTATATTAAAATTAATCTCTATCTTATAAGAATTTCAGCAATGTAAATTATATTCTGGCCGGGTAATTTCTATGAATTTTATGAGCTAAAAACGAATATCTTCAATAAATAAACAAATTATACTTCACCCAGACACATTACTTTACGTACGTTGTAGTAAAAATAACATCTTAATTTTATGATGGTATGCACACACAGTTAATATTTAAGAGAAATATCAATAATATTAGGTTTTTTAACACTTACTTAGTAGAAGAGATGGCTGGGTACATGGGGATTGGGGTTGGTTCTGAGGCAGAGGGCAGATTATTGGCCCTCACCTGTATCACTTGTATCACCTGTATCACTATCCACCACAGAGACTTGCAGGGCCTCTTTGTCAAACCCCTCAAAGTCCATATCCTCACTACAGGTTGTACCTCTCTAGTCCGGCAACCTCGGGACCTGACCGGTGCCGGACCATGGAAATTCACCCTATTCCTGGATAGATAGTGACTTGTGCTTATGCCTGGAAGCAATAGCACCACTTTCTCTGCGTCATGGTCTCTTTGAAGACATATTGAAGGGTTAAATGTCGTATAGTAGCTTCTCAAATTTCGCGAGTTTTTAATTCTTAACGTATTTTATTGGAACACACAAAAAAATAAATAAATAAAAATTTTGACGGCGGAAACTTGAATTTCGACGGGTTTGAACGGCCCGCCAACGTGCAGACGACGTGCATAATCGTGTAAACAGCGTCATTTCTCTTATGTACAAAAGATTCATTATTGTTTATTACTGAATGTCTTTTTTATTGAATTAATGTTTATGTGTGCAAAATGAGCAATACAATTCATTAATAATACGTAGAATATTAAAACACACGAGGAAATGACACAGCATTGTTTTCGTTGATTACAAAACCAGTGACTGACTGATTCTACATATAAAACTGAAGAAAATAAGACCTTGGTTGTAGCTGTAGTAAAATTAATATGGTTGTTTTAAGTAATGTTACTTAATGTTAATAAATGGAACAATAGAAGTAGCTAACGATAATGGTAAAGAAAAAGAGAGATCGCATATGTAAGTGCGCATGCGCACACGTGAAAACATATCGTCATTACTTTACATAAGAATATGAAAGCAACACTTATTTACTGTTCATATATATTTTAATTAATGTTTCTGAATTTGTTTTTATTGAATTAATGTACGTGTGTGCAAAATTAACAATACAATTTATTAATAATATGTGGAATATTAGAGGAGACGAGACGGCTGCCGGCATTGTTTATGTTAAAGCTTACGAAACCAGTGACTGATTGGTTCTACATATAAAACTGAAGAAAATAAGACCCTGAGTTTAGCTGTAGTAAAATTAATGTAAAAAATGAATATGGTTGTTTGAAGTACCTGTAATGTTATTTAATGTTAATAAATGGAACAATATAAGTAGCTAACCATTAATGGTAAAAAAAAAAGTGAGACTGCTCGTATGTAAGTGCGCACATGTGAAAATATATCGTCATTACTCTACATAAGAATATGAAAGCAACACTTATTTACTGCTCATATATATTGAAGGGTTAAATGTTGTACTCTGTATAGACAAGCAGAGAGAGAGAGAGAGCAGCCAAACTGCCGGATGTAAACAAACCTTAATTTCCCGCGGCTTTTTTTTTTTTAAGGGGATTAGCCCACCCGGGCATAGGTCACTGACCCACATTGGGGCCTGAGGGGCAAAAATTTAATACTCCTGTAATAATAATAATAATTCAGATAAGTAAAAAAAAAAAAAACTGCCTATCTACCTATTGGACAAACTAAAATCGTTCCGGACCACGGGAGTTTCCGGACCACAGAATGCCGGACTAGAGAGGTACAACCTGTATCACTAATACTATCACTGACTTGGGCTGGCTGTGGTGGGTGAAGAACTCGGTTATGTTTGTTGACTGGGCGACTTTGTATGCACCCTGCCCGCACCGCTTCCCACATAAATGATGGAATGAACCGCGTAAATAAAAATTGTCGGTCTGGCAAGGTGCCGCCTGAATGACCAAACGCGTAAACCAAATCCGCGTAAATCGAGACTATACTGCACAATACATTAATTAATATAAAAATGAATATACTTTTACCTGCACATTCAACCAAGAACACTTGTCCTGCTTTGGGTGATGTTACATGAGACACTACAGCTCTGGGTACAGCCTCATCATCACTATCTGAAGGAGTAAGATAAATTAGGGAACAGTGTTTAATAACAGTCTACCATATACTATCTAGTAATCTGATGACATAAAAAGTCTCTGATACTAAATATAACTGTTAAATGATCTTAGAAATAAATACTGTATACTGTAATGAGTAGCACAACCATAAAACTGGAGGAATGAGGTTCAACCTCACTCCTCCAGTTGTTAAAATGAGGCCTTTTTCCTTCAGGTTTCCCTTCTTTCACTGGCAGTTATATGAATTATTTTTTTTATGTTGTTTAGAAAGTCTAATCCAAAAATGGAATAAAAATTTCCAAGCACAGTTTCATAAATAATATTACAATGTATTTTCTGATATTCAAGATACAGTATTCTATTTTATCCAAATTTACATTTACCCATCAAGGTACTGTATTCTAAATACCAATGAACACCATTCTTCACTTAAGTTATGACCAAGACCAAACTAATGTTCATTGAAGACACATAAAGTATTAAATAAAATAATGTCATTTCAAAATACTGTAGTTGTCTGTATGTATGTACAGTATTGTATGTGTGTGTTTTCCCAAAATACCAAAATAACTTCAAAATGAGTATACAGATTTGCACCAAACTTAATAAGTTTGATCAACATGTGACAAGGTCCACACAATAAACTTTTGGTATATATATTGTGCCAAAATTGACCAAGTGTTGAGGGTTTAAAAAATTATGGGGTTTACTAGGAGTAAAGAAAAAAAAATTCTTGGGGTTTAAAGAAAGCAATCCATGAAAAGTATATTTAAATATGCAAGAGTCTACAAGTTTGGAGAAAGCCCTACAAATTACAGCACTGTACTATGATACTGTACAGCAGTTATGGATACTAAGATAATGAACAACTGGTGCATATAAAGCACTGTACAGTATGTTTATTTATTTCAAGAATTTTGAAGCACAACACACTCACAACTAGGGAATAGATTGTCTCTAGATTTGTGCACCCTTTGTAAAGAACTATAGTATACTGTACTATATTAATCAGAGTGTACAGTACAGTAAGGGAAGTTATTGCCAATTGGTTACAGAAATCATCCCTGTCCTAAGGGTTGCTGGTTTAATAGTGGGGTACTCACAGTCCACCCAGCTAAAAATGGGTGCTGTACCTAGCTTTATAGATGGAGAAGCGAAAGTGGTTGAGTGTAGTGTCAGCCACACTGCCTCATTACACACTGAGAGCTTAGTACAGTATACAGTGTGTTGTATCCACACTGCCAGTAACAGTCAGTTATGCCTATGGGATCTTCTATTAAACATATCAAGGTACTGCACTGTACACATTTTAAAGAAACAAATGAGTAACATACCAAAAATTCTACTCAGTTGTTCTACTGAGAGAGGTTCATGTTGTACAAGATAGGGTTCAGGATCCTTCCCAAGTTTCCTCTTCCTTCCCATTTTTAACTGTAAAGAGAAAAATAAATACAGTATAATTATTTTATCTAAAACTTTCATACACTCACCTTCTACATCCAGCTATTTTCTGACCATTTTTTTTCATTGCAAGTTTTTGCATGCACAGGTAACTAAGTGGCCTTTGGAAGGCTGGAGACACTCAACACTGGAGATATATTTCTGGAATGTGTAAATGAGTTTTGCTACCTGCGTGACATAATCAGTGCTGGAGTCAGAAGTGGTTGGAAGTCCAGGGAGTTGCTGTCTAATGGAATAGTTGTCTGAGTAATCATTACTGCCTAGTTTATACATAATAGTGATTGGCAATACAATATCAGCCAAGCAGTGACCTCTGCTCTTTATATACAGTACTGTACAGTACACAGGGAAAAAATACATTCTAAATGGACCCCATTCATTGACAAATCATAAAAATAAAAAGCATAATACAAGTTAGATATACTTTACAGACATTAAATAAGAATAATGTCATACTTGACAAGAGTAGTCCAGCCTTAGTACCATTTTGAGGAAATTTCACCATGCAAGATAAAAAAAAATTACTTCCAGAAACTGACAAAAAATGTAGGATGAATGCATTTTGTATAATTTCACTTTTACAAATGTTTCCTTTTCCATCTCTGGAGGATCTACCTGTCTGCCAAGTAAACTTTCTGCAATCGAGTGTTGATGTTTTCACAGGTTGTTTAGGGAAACAGCTACATTCTATAATTCATAATTCATAATTCATAAAATGAAGAAAACTAACCTGCTAAACATAACCAAAATACTATAGTCATTTTATATCTTATTCATTTAAAATAATAAATAATATTAAATTACTTTCTGGAAATAAATAATCTTAATCTAAACATGGTGTTCATGGGAGCCATATGTGACTGTTTTCCCCTGTCAATTTCAGCCCTAAAATTTTTAGGTACAGTATTACACAAAACACATTCCTCGTGTACTTTTAGTAATTTTCTCAAGGTAATAAAGCTCTTATTGGTAAAGGTGGAGGAGACAGCACATGAATAACTTACGGAATTAAACATGAAAATGTTAAAGAGAATGCAAAGAAACTATTAGAATCTGACCTAACCTCACCTAACTTTCTAACCTGTGCTTTGTCATTTCGATTTTATGAATTAACTATCATCCAAGCAACATCTCTAGAAAAAAATTAATGAATTCAATTCAATATAAATTATAATAAACATACCCAATGAGATCGTCGTTAGTTTCTTGACATGTAAGCAAAGACTATGGACGCTTCCATATAGTATATGATGTGAACCAAAACATGGTCGCCACGAAAGATCCGATGGCACCATAATTGCAGTAATTTTTTTTCACCAATAAAGCACATAGAGACGTGAAATTACTGCCATATGATAAGTGTAAGCAATATTTTTACCACGTTATTTCCCTCTTCTTTCATGCCCTGCCCACTGACAAGTAATTTATGATTGAAAGATAGGTAAAAAAAATATATGGTGCTACTACCTGACCTGACCTAACCAGACCTGACCTATCTTAACCTAACCAAGCCTAACCTAACCTAAATATCTTGTAGACCGCATGTTATAGTAGCACCGAATACATACAGTATACAAAATACTGTACAGTTCTACAATGTTGTCATTTCACTTTTATCAATCTGTGTCATCCAAACAGCATCTCCTGAAATTTTGGTGTACAGTAATTTCACAAAGTCCTTCTTTTTTCTTCTTTTATCCTCTTCATCAAATGATCGGTTCGTTAGCCGCTTGGGCGATCGGTCACGTTTCTGTTACGCACTGTTGGCAAGTACTGGGCATGCACCGGCTCCTGAGTGCCATCCATCTCCTCCACCATTACCATTTTATCTGGACCACTCTCGTTACATATTACCCTAAACAATACTGTACTGTATTACAAGTTCACAAAGGATTTTTTTATGGGGATTAGCCCCCCCCCCCCCGGTACGGGTCAATGACCCACATCAGTATCTAAGACGTGAAGCAAGGTTGTATCACTGACTGTGGAGTCGGGATAACTGTGTGTGGGCCAGAGTAACATATATCCCCAAGTGTGGAGAGTACTAATAGTGTACAGTACATGAACAATCTTGTGATGGGTGTTTGAGAAGTACTATGAAGTGTTAGTAATGTAATAATACTGAAGTGCGGATGACCAGTCCTTGTGTGTCACTGTCATAGAATGTTACCTAAAACCCTATAGTACTTTTGACTGGTACATTGGTCCTGTTAACGTGAATATCTGCGGCTGACGGAGAAGTGAGGCCAAGTGGTTTTTGAAGCCTGCATAAGTGTTAACGTAAATTTGGCCAAGTCTTGAGTGAACAGTAAGGGGTGGTTCAAAGGTGTATGCTCTGATAAAGTATCCTGTGTTCAACTTAATATTAAATAAATTATTTTTATTGAGTGTTGGGGGTATCATCCTCCTACAGTATTTACCTTTGTTTCTTCCCAATACCTTGACACCATGAATACAAACAAATCCACGTGCACCAGCCCTGGCCACGTTGATACCACCCAAGTGTCCTGTTACTATCGCCTTAGGTAAGTGATTAGTGTTATATTATACAGTATGTTCTGATAGAAAAACCTGGGTGATGGCAGCTACCGTGAGCATTGAAGAGTGTAACATAACAAGGGGTTTCCCAGGTAAACCCAAGGTCAGAATATAACAAGATACGAGAACAGTAACAGACAGAAATAGTTTGATTAGTTAAAGAAAGAAAAGAATAAAAGAACTAATGCAAAATTGAGAGAAGTAAATTTAGCTATATAAAATGGTTAGCAGCAGTTGGATAAATAATAGAAAAAATCCGCCCCTACAACAATATTAGATAATTTCATAAATTTTCTCTCCAAACAAAGCTGCTTTGGACTAGTTAACAAGATCAATTTGCCAGCAACCATATTGCCATGAAAACATAATCTTTATCCGGTCCGACTAATTACCCAAATGTAGCCGCAATGAAGTCAAATAATGGTCCTACATGAATAAATCGGACTGCTAATCACTTCTCGACTAGTATTTGGTGTCACAAAGTCACAAAAAATTGGAAAACTTAATTTAATCTGAGTTGTGTTGTGTTAGGTTAGGTTAGGTTAGGTTAGGTTAGGTTAGGTTAGGTTAGGTTAGGTTAGGTTAGATTAGGTTAGGTTAGGTTAGGTACATGCACTCGATCTATTAACTCAGATTAAATTAAGTTTACCAATTTTTTGTGACTTTATGACACCAAATAATAATCGAGAAGTGATTCACAGTCCGATTTACGCTTGTAGGACCATCATTTGACTTCATTGCGGCTACATTTGGGTAATTAGTCGGACCCCCCATGGGGATGACCATTTTTTTTTTATCTTTGGGAAATCAGTTAGACATAACTGAGAGCTATCTATTATATATATATATATATATATATATATATATATATATATATATATATATATATATATATATATATATATATATATATATATATATATATATAATACAGTACTGTGTAAGAAGCAAGAAACATCTTGGCCCTTGTGGGATCTATCCCAAGCAAGCTCTAAAGATGAAGTAGCCTCCGATATTAACATTTATTTGCATCACTTATGTTATATGAAAGTAACCAGGAGCTTCGTGACAAATTGTGTCATTCGTGTATAAATTTTATCAACAATAAATACATTGACTACAACGAAATTAGTATTCGGCCATTTTAGAAGAGGTTTAACTATCAACTTCTGTCACCGCTAAATCTTTATTGGTGTTTAAAAGAATAACGATGCAAGTTATAGGTCACAACCAGTTCTAAAAACATTAATAATTATAATAGCCACATTTCTTACCTGTTAACATTCATTCAAAGAGATATATCTAAAATGAAAATAGGAGTTGTAATTCTGGCAATGTGGGAAGGGTTACAGTTGACGTTGTGTATCTTCAGGAAATTGAACTTCAACAGCTTCTATACAACTCTATCCAAAAATACCCTCTTGTTATCCATTTATATAACCTGAATAGACATTATATTGACATTGAAAGATTATTTTATAAGATTGATTAAGTATATGGATGGTAATTTTCGAATTTCATTTTGTTATTTCATTTTTTTTAATTAAATGTAATATTCCTGATAATGCTGGTGTACCATCTCTCCTGTGCTGCTGTAGAAGTTGTTTGAGGGAAGAAGAAAAGTAAGAAAACTTCAATAAGCAGCAAGTGTCAACCTATATAGAGTGTATATTTAAAGATGTAATTATGATTCACTGTCATTGAATTTATAAAGGAACTCTTGTTTATAAACGTTGTTGCTGCTATGTGTAGACAACCTCTGCCTCACCTCAGGACTCGGGATAGTGACAGACATGGCTGGTTTTTTAACTCGGTTGTTTTCCAGTAAAATATCGTAAATTTGGTTGTTATCCGGTTTGGCATATCTTCAAATCGCATAGAAGTACTTTTAGGCAAGTTCTACCACATGTATACATTCCTTAACCCTTAAACCCTCTTGGAAACGTGTTTCTTTCAAAAAAATCGCACAAGTGAGGAACGCCTATGAAATTAGATCAATAAATCTCTACCTGCCATTTCTTGTCAAACTACGAGCTATCTGGATTCGTGAGGCATGTCACACTGCCTGCCTCCGCTCCCTTCTCATGTTTTCTACCCCGCAGGGGTTAGGTTAGGTAGGTAGGTTAATTTAGTGAAAGTTATGGGTCTAGATGTTTGGTTTCTGGGTAAGTTTTTATGGTGAAATTTCAGTCATGCACCGGTCTTTCTTTTGCTGTTATTAATATGTTTGGTTAATATATAGGACTAACCCGCCGGGCTGCATAGTGCCGATGCAGCCATATCATCTGACGTCCAGAAATGCCTCAAATTTCACCATATCATAGTAAGTTCTATCTGTTTAATATACCGGGGAAGTTAGGTAAGGTTAGGAAGGTTTGGTTGGTTAAGTCTGTTCTTCATAACCACAAATGTTAAGTGACTATCTCCTCTGGGTCCTGAATATGTTGCAAAATCACTCAACAGTTGTACTATCTGAGGTTAATATTGACCACTGACTGGCCAGCGAGTTATTTGTTTTGGTGTTTATTTTCTTACCGGTACTATAGTTTCATCAGTGAGTGCTGATGTTTCGTTTGGTAGATATTTAGGCGCCTAAGGTGTGAACTACTTGTCTTCTTGGTATTAATGTGGCAGGTGTTAAGTTATGCTAGGTTTTATGTTAATTTTAGGTTGGGTTAAAAAAAATTGCACAAACTACGACAGTGTCCTCTATAAAACACAGTGAAATTGCGGCGTTTTTATAATTGTTTACTATGCAAAATCGGCGGTGGGTCAGTCGTCGGTAGTTACCTTACTAAGTTGCTGACTTGGTTAATGTTCATTTGTATACCAGTATGTATTTCCGATTCTTTACCATCATCACTAGGATTCTTATTTAGTTAGGAATCGATTTTCTTCTATGTCAGTAGTAGGTTAGGTTAGCTCAGGGCAGGTGAGGTTATCTCAGGGTAGGTTAGGTTAGCTCAGGGTAGGTCAGGTTAGGTTAGCTTGTCTGGTTAATATTCGTTTAAAAAAAAATTACCGCCGACTTCACTATCATAGAACTGTATCCATTTAAAAATTTTAAAATCTCTTTCATATCCCCCTTATTTGTCTGTCTCTAAGACTAGACAGCTTCATTTCCTTAACCTCTCAGGGTATGATAGGTGTTGCATCCCAGTTGTTTTATAGTTCTCCATTGGGCTGCATCGATCTTCTCATTAGGTTTTTTTTTTCCATAGGGACTTCATACAGAGTTAGCAAAGTCGAAGTATGACCTTATCATTGATATGTACAGTAGTATGAATGTTTCAGGATCACGAAATTGGATCGTTCTTATGATCTCCATCATTTAATATGCTTTCTTAGCTTTCTCAAATATTGTATACAATATGTTCTTTAAATTTCAGCTTGTCTATTATTTCTCTTATATCTTTCTCTAATGATACTTATACTTGTTGCAGCTGTCTGATATCTTTCATAGGTCCTTGTTCCTATGCTTCTCTGCCTGTATGCATTTATATTTAAGAAGTCAATTCTCCCTCCTTTCTCCCATCTCCTGGTCTTCTTGGCTGCTTATTAGATTAAAATTTTTGTATCTTCAACAGATGGATACAGTATACTGTATGTTTGTATTGATTATTTCTGGGAGATCATTTATTTATACTGTGCAGTACAGTACTGTATTATAAAAAGCAGGGGTCCTAAAACTGACAACTGTGGGAAACCTGATACAGTATCACCTTTTGCCATTTACATTTTGCATTCCCAGCAAATTTCTTGTTGACCTACAATACCGTATGCTAACAATTTTCTTTGAAGACTTTGGTGTGACCCCATATTGATTGCTTTTTGGAAGTCAAGATATATTACGCTGGCAGACATTCCAATGTCCAAGGCCTCAGTCCATGTGTCTAATACAGTGGGGTATGCTATAACGAATCTAATTGGTTCTAGAACCTCGTTCGTTATAGGATTAATCCGTCCCAGGCCCCCAAATACAACCACTTAACACTGAAAATTTTCTGTGGAAAATGTAAAAAATATTGTACTTTATCTTACCTTAGTGTTGTTCAGCATGCGGGACAGGAGGCAGAGGGGGAGGGGGGAGGAGAGAATTATGGAGAAGAGGTGGAAGGAGAGGAGTCATCCTTCCTAGCCCTCTTTGGTGACTGTCTCACAGGCACTTTGTCTGTAGGGTCTTTTGCTACTTTTTTAAAGAAGGAATCCAGGGTTGGATGCTTCAACCTTGATTTCTGGACCTTCCAAAAGTAGTTCATCACATTGTCATTAAACACACTTATGGCCTTTTCCACAGAACCAACATCAGGATGATAATCCTCAGCAAGCTTAGACAGTTTGCTCCAGCAAAAGAACACATCCTTGAGATCTTTGGCTGGAATGATGCGGCTTTCCTCCTTGTCCTCATCCTCCCCTGACTCCTCAGAAGTTAAGCTCTGCTTCAGTGTCTCATTTTCTTCTTTGTGAAGCTCAAGCAGCTTCTCAGTGGACAGCTCCTTACTGTGCTCTTCCACCAACTCCTCAACATCATCATCATCCACTTCCAGGCCCATGGAATTGCCCAGAGACACAATTTCATGTACAACAGCCTCTTCCTCTAACTCTTCGAAGCCTTCAAAGTCTCTTTGAAGCACACATTAAGGCCACAATGGCCTCCAAGCAGCACAAAGACACCTCATAGTAACTTCTTTCCAGGCTGACGCAATTATAAACACAGCGTCTGCTATATTGAAGTGACTCTTCCAAAATTCCTTCAAACTAACATCACTGGAAGAAGTGGACGCAAAACATTTTCTAAACAGTGCCTTTGTGTACAGCTTCTTAAAGTTAGAAATTACCTGTTGATCCATGGGCTGGATGAGAGGTGTTGTGTTGGGTGGCAAGAAGTGCACAGTGATGAAGTTGAACTCCTCTGGCAATTCAACCATCAAATTAGGAGGGTGGGCTGGTGCATTGTCCATCACCAACAAAGCTTTCAGTGGAAGATTATTCTCCCTGAGGTATTCTCGAACACCGGGTCCAAACACCTCAATCACCCACTCAGAGAAAAGACTTCTGGTCACCCAAGCCTTTGGGTTTGACCGCCACATAACACCAAGGCGGTTCTTCCTAATGTTTTTGAAAGCTCTGGGGTTTTCTGCATGATACACAAGGAGTGGTTTTATTTTGCAGTCACCAGAAGCATTAGCACAAAGGAGGGTAAGCCTGTCTTTCATTGGCTTATGGCCAGGGACAGAAGTTTCCTCCCTGGTAATGTATGTACGGCGAGGCATTTTTTTCAAAAAAAGTCCAGTTTCATCACAGTTGAGTACCTGCTGAGAAACGAAGCCTCCCTCTTTAATCACATGCAAAAAAATGTCTTGGTGTTCCTTAGCTGCTTCCTTATCTGCACTAGCAGCATCACCATGTTTCACAACACTATGTAATTTATTTCTCCTTCTGAAACCAGTAAACCACCCCTTGGTACCCCTAAACACTGGCACATCACTATCACTTGCACTGGGAGTCTTGGCTTTAAGGTCCTCAAACAATTGTCTGGCCTTCTCACAAATTATAGCTTCACTAATGCTATCACCTGCCATTTCTTTCTCCTTTATCCTCACTAAGAGTAAATTTTCCGTCTCCTCAATCACAAGACACCTTGCTTTGCTAGGTCTAGAGATTCCCTTAGCCACTTGCACAGTTTTCAACTCCTCTTTATTCTTCAAAATCGTACATATAGTCGATTTAGCCATCCCATACTCATCACTAAGTTTCGCAATGCTTGTTCCATTCTCACGTTTCTTTATGATTTCTTTCTTAGTTTCAAGACTTATGAGCTTTCTCACTCGCTTTGGACGATTCATTGTTACAACTGTACACTTGTTTAACAAAATATTTATACAAATAACTCGTATTTCCACATCAAAAGACGAAATTTCAACAATAACTGTGGTGCACTGGCTACACAATGAGACAAAGATGGCGCCTGACTCTCTTGTTGTGGGTCGCGGTACAACAATATTCATGCGTCAGACAAAATAGTCCCGTATTCATCCTCGTTCGTTGTAGGAGTTGCGTTCGTTATAGCATTCTCAATTTTATAGGTAAAACCGTTCGTTATAGCATACCCCACTGTACAGGTACAGTACTTTTAAAAGGTTGTAGAGCAGTGGATCTTCCTGCTAAGAATCCAGATTGCTTTTTTGATAGGACTGTACTAGTTTTCATATGTGATATGTTCTCTTATAATTTTGGTAAACGTTTACTTTTAAGTGCTGCGAGCAATTTCGCTAGAAAAAAAATTCCTGCATGAATTTTATTTTGCTGCTTTTTTTATTGGAGATAGGTTTTTTCTCTGGAAAAATTTTTTTTTTCAATCACTGTCAAACATTAGCCTGGCCTAACCTCCTAGCATGGGGTGACTTCACCCCCCCCCCCCCCCCGAGTGGTTATATAATGTCCGTATTTTACTTATCCTTATTTAACCTAAAGTAACGTATTCCCCTATTGGGGAAACGTTATTTTTTCAGAGTTGGGTCATGTATTATATAGCATGGTAATGCGATTCAGACGACCCGTGCACTACGCACTCCCCCTCCCATAGCTTGACGATGGTATTATAGTATAAATTTAAAAAGAAACACATCCCCAAAAGAGAACACTGTCACTAGCAATTAACAACAAAAATTATGGTGGAAGAGCAGTGTGTTCTTGCTAGATCGTTGGCAGCATTAATCTACACGTTATCCATAATTTTTTCTAGTATCTTGCATACATTGCTATCAAGTTCACTGGACGATAATTGATGCTTTTTTCTATTCCTCAGGTATTGTTCACTTACTCAATAATTGTTCAAATAATATTGCCAATGGCTCCATTATAATACTGTACTGTATTTGCTGTAACTCATCTACTCCAGGAGATAAATTTACAGTATTTTTAATTTCTTTAACAATGTTTAAACCTTTTCCTCTTTTATAGTTAAGTTCCAAAGAATATTGTGTTACTGTGTTTTCTATTATAGGAGCCCCCTTGCAACTCATTGACTCATTTATATAATATTCAATTACAATTGATATATTGTAAATAAATCCATATATAACTGTTAATGATGCTCAATTCTGGCTCACTTAAATGCTAATTTTATTGTATGTAAAGTTATAACTGCTTGAAAACATTAATTTTCAAGATGTGAGTGGGAAAAAGTTTGAATTAAAGAATATTACCATCGAAGGCACATTGGCTTCCAGTTAAAGCTAGGATAGAGTTCAAACTCTGTCTATTCACTTTTAAGACAATAATGTTTGGTAAGCCTTAGTATTTGGCAAACCTACTACAGTAATTCCATTGACTACACATTCTGAAATGATTTTGCATAGTAGTGATGATTCTTAATGCCTTGAGAAGCTTAGAGCAGTATAGGAATGTTTTTGTGCTGCTCGATCCTTTTCCTATACAGCATCCAGATTCTACAATTGGTTGCCTGCTTCCCTGAAGCAGCTGACTTCTGTGGAGGCCTTTGAGAAACAACTTTAGACCTTTTTTTTTTAAGCTTATGATCTGAACAGGGTATGGTGATGGTGAATCACAGGGTTGAGAAAGCAAGTCATAGCCATGAGGTTGATCACTTTGTAGCTTAGTTTGCTTACAAATAAAAGTAATGATGGCGGCCACAACCACCAACTTGTGTTTGTTCTGTAAATCCCCTTTTTTTTCAAATGATTATGTCAAAGACTGAAATGATTTATGTAGAAACAACTAATTATCTGTGGGTTTTTGTACCAGACTGAAAATACCATGATGTTAGAGGTGGTACAGCGGTAACATGCATCTCTCACCACTATGTCATTATTGTCATGGGTTCGAGTCCTTGTCTCAGACATGTGAGAAGGTGTTAGCCATTGTGAGTCTACAAAACTTCATTGGTTTACTCCAGTACTATCACCAGAAAAATAAAGAACGGACCAACTGCCCAAGCGGCAGCCAAGCTGATAAGTGGTGAAATGAGAATTAATTTAAAAAATTTACCACTTGGTGGGAAAATGAAACACCAGCAGCTATTTAACAAGTTATATTCAGCTTTGCCATTTTGTTTGCTTATGTATTCCAGAGATAAGGTGATTGACCATTCACCACACCCTCTAGCTGACCGCAAGTTACCTGGTACATAGCGTATAGTATTACACAAGTGAATGCAGGGCTGTTCTTAGCTGAGTGGGCTGGGGGTGCCCAGGGTGTGAAGCAGCAAGTCTTAAGGACAGGAAGCAAACTCTGTACATATTCACTCAGCCAAAGGGTCTTTCAAGGCAGCGTCATTGTCTATTCTAAAACAGTTTTTTATTACCATTTCAGTGTAGTAATTGCAAGTTAATAATACAGTACCTGTATTTTTAATAATATACTTTTATTTTAATTATATTTGTATAATTTTCAGGTGCTCTTTGTCTCATGGCAAGTAGCAATAGGGGACAAGTGTTATCCTTGTATAGACGAATTCTACGTGTTGGCTGGTCATGGAAAGCTCAGAATCCCTCAGAAACAAAGACAGAGCGGGATTACATCATAAATGAAACACAGCAATTGTTTAGAGCAAATAAGAACATTACAAACATGAAAAATATTAAGGAACATGTTGCTGAAGGAGAGGCTAGGCTAGAAATGGGTAAGTCATTCTCTTAACATTTATACAGTACAGTGTTAATGATTTGATCTAATATTTACAGTACAAATGTTTTATTTATCTTTCAATTATTTATTCCACTCTTAACCCTTTGAGTGAATCATAGAATATCAAGACCATTCTCTAAAAGTTCAACTTCCCCATCAAAAATTAAAATACTCCAGTGTTTTGAATTTTAAAATTACTTTATCATCACAAGAAAAGCATGAGGGTTCCACATCTGGCATTGAATCCCTTAGAAATCCAAATACATTACAGGTATGCTTCGTTATAAATACAGTACAGCATGTTTATCTGAAAATTGTATACTTACACCCCTTTTTTACTATCCATAAGATGGCCAGATAAAACATTCAAATACAGCAGTGTTTCAGTTTATGAAAGGGATACATTCCTACAAAAAAGTCCCCCAAATGTAAAAATATAAAATTTCAAGCAAAATTTCTGTGGGAAACAATACTGTACTTCTAAGTATAGCTATGTATTAATTATAATACAGTATCGTTATAGCAGTACAGTGCAGTATCAAGTTTATTTAATCCATATTAGAATATATTCTACTTATGGGAAACTGGAGGTGGCCGGTGCTTTGGGTGATCAGTTATAAATTTCTGCCTCTTATTTGGTGGTCGGTTAGATCGGTATACAGGTGCTACTCTACTTACGAACGAGATATGTTCTTGAGGCTTGTTTGTAAGTCCAACTTTACTCTTGTAGATACCAAACATATTGTAAAAAATTAAAAGATTATGGATATTTAGTACAGCTATACCTTTTAATACAGCCTTAAAACCTGGCTCACTCTTCTCCTCTTAGGTAATGTTTGTTCTATCTGGAATTTTCTTCAAAACAATCCAGTCTCATCCACATTAAGCACTTGTTCTGGCAGGTAACCCCCCCCTCAGTGATGATGTTTGTATCTCTAAAAGTTTGTAAGTTGAACGCTCTTAAGTAGAGGAGCACCTGTACAGTAGTACCTTCATATGACTTATAGGTAATAAATAAATAAGATATAATTAAATGTATAACATTTAATGAAAAAAATCCACAAATGTGCACAGAGCTTGGCAGGCTTCTGATCCGATTCTGCCGATACTCTCAGTAAATACTTGCTGTTCAGCTTGGTTTTCATAGAGACGCTTCTGACGAAGATAAGGGAAACACTTTCTTTGTGGTCTACTATGGTATTATTGTACCCCATTCAATAGTAAATGTAAGGAATACATAAATACTGTATAATGTTAATAAATACAGGAAAAGAAAAATTATTGCATTGCCATTTGGCAATCGTTTCACTACACAAGGGACATTTGAGACGGCGAACAGCCGAGATCCCCCACATTATTCCCCCCTCCCCCAATCTGTGTGCTAACTCCTGCACACAAAATGTTTACAATGCAGGGATCCTTGTTATAAGTGTTCATTATAAGTGGTTTTGCACTTTAGTTGTCAAATAATAATGGACCTCCACGTAAAAATTCCCCACAGTTAAGAGGATTCTGAGGCTGAAATCCATCAATCTTTGGGAGCACAAGTGTTTGGGTGATTGAAATTCCCACCCGCTTCCCATTCTCTTAAAGGTCATCCTTCTCACCCGCACTATGCATGCTCAGTACCAGTCACCTGTGTCCACAGGCATTATTTTGAAGTGCTCCAAGAACTATAATTATCAACTTTGTTGTGTCTTTGGTGACATTGGTTGGCTATTTTGTAGCCATCAGTTCCAAACCGAAGCAAGGTGGTGTAGTGACTAAAAGGATGCATACAGTAGTAGCAATGGGATGGACGTGAAATTGGAAATTACATGTCATAAGAAAAGTGGTGAGCATGTCTCAATGAACCACTTTCACTGAAATGAGTGTGTGGTTAGGTAGCTGGATATGCATCGACACATCAACCCCAAATGACTTTAAGTACCTTAAATAAGTTGTAAAGTTAATTAATTTCATAAAATAATGTATAATAAAATGTTTAACAAATGTCTCTAAGCTATATATATATACAGTCAGTCCCCGACTTACGACAGGGTTAGGGACTGACGACCAGGTCGAAAATGCGAAAATAATACACTGGTCCCTCGATTAACAAATACAGTTGGTTCCAACTCACAGAAAAAGTACATACAGTGGTCCCTCGGTTAATGAACGCTTCGGTTAACGAATTATCTTCCATAAAAATTTTCAATTCGGTTAACGAAAAAAAATTCGATTAACGAAATCCTTACGAAAATCACGTATTGTTTTGAACATCAGCTGATAAGCTGAGGGGGTACTCAGCCAATTCAGTAATCTCTTCTATGTTTACATTCCAATGGAGTAAATATCAAGAAAATTGTGCTCTTTAATATTTGTGCATTTTTTATACAGTATTAAAATTATTGGTCATTCTAAAATTTTGTCATCCAAGCTCTGTCTACATAAAGCTTTTCAACTAATATTTTGGGCTCAATATATGTGCTAACTTTATTCATTTATTGAAACTCATTTACATGCACACACTGTCCTAAGGGCAAAGCTGAACTGTACATGTAATCAAAGTAATGTACAAAATGATTACTAAAAATTTTGTCTAGTGCAAACTATGGCATGATTACATTCAAATTAATCACTATCTTATAAGAATTCCAGCAATGTAAATTATATTCTCCCTTGTCACTTCTATGAAATTTTATAAGCAAAATACAAAAACTCAATCTAAAGGACAAATAAACAAATAAATACTTCACTAGACCTTCGGCACTAACTGTCAAACATGTCACTGTCACTCCTTCCTCCCTCCCAACCACCCCAGCAAAGGTTTCATGGTTGTACAGTAGGCCTTAAGTTTTTATCTTATATAATATCACAGACTAAAGTTGGGAGAATATAAATTGCATTGCTGGAATCCTTGTAAGACAGCGAATAATTTGAAAATAAACGTCATATATTTTGCACAAGATTTAAGAGTAAGAGTGTATACGTACGTATATATATACTGTATATATACAGGCATCCCCCGCATTACGGAAGGGTTCCGTTCCCGGAAAATTGACCGTATCGCGAAATTCCGTAACGCGAAACCTATTTTCCCATTGACTTCCATTATAAAACGAGATGCATTTCTAAGGAATTTTTTCGGCCCCAAAAAAGTAATTCAAGTACTTTTATTAATGAAAATAAACATTTATAAACACATACAATACAGTACTGTACATTAAATAATTTATGATATACCTTCTTAAAACCAATTTAGGGGTTAATATTGCATAATATTGCATTATACAGCTATGTATATGTTTATTTGAGTGCCCCGTCATAGGAGTCCGTTTTCTCTCACTTCAGCACTCCTGAGTCGTCCGTTTTCTCTCACTTCAGCACTCCTGAGTCGTCCGTTTTCTCTCACTTCAGCACTCCTGAGTCGTCCGTTTTCTCTCACTTCAGCACTCCTGAGTCGTCCGTTTTCTCTCACTTCAGCACTCCTGAGTCTCACTTCAGCACTCCTGAGTCTTCCGCTCTCACTTCAGCACTCTGAGTCGTCCGTTTTCTCTCACTTCAGCACTCCTGAGTCGTCCGTTTTCTCTCACTTCAGCACTCCTGAGTCGTCCGTTTTCTCTCACTTCAGCACTCCTGAGTCGTCTTTTCTCACTTCAGCACTCCTGAGTCGTCTGGTCACTTCAGCACTCCTGAAGCACTCCTGAATCGTCCGTTTTCTCTCACTTCAGCACTCCTGAGTCATCCGTTTTCTCTCACTTCAGCACTCCTGAGTCGTCCGTTTTCTCTCACTTCAGCACTCCTGAGTCGTCCGTTTTCTCTCACTTCAGCACTCCTGAGTCGTCCGTTTTCTCTCACTTCAGCACTCCTGAGTTGTCCATTTTCTCTTAATCTTAAGAGTGCACCAGGGACTATTATTTTTTAGTAGTGACACAGAATTTGATATTGCAACTGGGGTTGCAATTGTTGAGGCAACTTAGGTATGTCTGATTACAGTTGGAATATTCAAGATCCATTGTGAGTGATGTTTAGAGCTTCAACTGTCTTTATGGTTGGTAAAACTTGCCAAGTCTGTCAGTCTGAATGGCATGTGTGAGGCCTTGTGTTTGTTAAAATTTACCCCAATTTCCGTAAGGGCGGATTTACGGGTTGTAACGCGAAATTATTGGTCATAATTTACAAATTCCGTAACCCGGGCTTCCGTAACGCGGGGGATGCCTGTATAGTGATTTAAGGGCATGTGTAACTGACAATGTGTTTAGAGCAAATGGGAAGTTTTACAAGCAAATATTTGGCATGAGCATGGGTAATTGTCTTTCTGCTCCTCTATCCTGTATTTATATGGAATTTTTTGAGGCTAGATTACTACCCAATATAGGGGACTTTATTCCTCCATGGTATAGATATGTAGATGATGTTCTTTGTCTTTTGCCTAGAAACAGTGACCCATTGGAATTTTTAGACAAGCTTAATGATATTGTCCCAAGTATCACATTGAAAATTGAAAGAGAAATAAATGGATCCCTTCCATTCCTTGATATGCTTATCATTAGAAATGGCCAAAACTACAAATTTAAGGTGTACAGAAAGCCTACACAGGTAGACAGTTTCATACATTTTTTATCGAATCACCTGGAGTCTACCAAAATGTCAGTTTTGTCTGCTATGTTCTTGAGATGTTTGCGTATTTGTGACGCTGAATTTATTGATGAAGAATTGAAACACATTCGTTCCATTGCACAAAAACTTGGGTACCCTTCTGTGTTTGTTGATCATTGTTTCAATAGGGCTAAAAAATCCTTTCATTCTACTCAAACCAGGCAAATTCCTACACTTAAGAATATGTTGACTGCCCTATCGCAATGAATTTGTCCCGTTAGTTCGGTCCCTTAAATTATTAAATATTAATGTTGTTTTCAAGTATGACTCAACCATTATCAATATGTTAATCAAAAATAGCCCAAGTTTGAATGTCAATGGAAGTGTTTATTGTATTCCATGTAGCAAATGTGATGGTAATTATGTAGGACAGACAGGGAAAACATTGCAGCTTAGAATCAAACAACATAAGTACAATATCAGAACAGCATCTGAAAGCAGTGCCGTGTTCGTTCATGTTAGGAATAATAATCATCCCATTGCTTGGAAAAAAGCTTAGAAATATTCAAATCATCTTGTGTCACAGAAAGACTTCTGGTTGAAGCTAGTTTGATTAAGGAATTAATATCAATAAACCTTAGTGATGGTCAGTTCAAAACTGATATTATGTTACATGAATTTATTTGTCAGTGGCTCAAGGTTAAAAATGCTTTGAAAATCTTGGAGCTAGATGTAGGATAGCTATTTAGTGGGTCCTTTATTTTTGATCTGACCTGACCAGTCACATAGCCCCCTTTCTCTTAAGCTCCTCTACGTGTGTGTTGGTGTGGGGATTAGTGGATGACATCATTATGACCTGACCTCATGTATATTTAAGCCATAACCACCCGTGACTAGCTTCGAAATTCTCGATACCCATATGACTTGCTAGCTTAACAGCAGCAGCTTGTATTTCTACACTACGGACGACATTACCACAGGATCGTTGCTGCACAAACCACTTCGTCACTGCCTCCTCAAGATTTGTATCTTTTGCCACTCTCATACGCTTCCTTACACCAACAGATGATGATTTAGAAGTTGCATCAACATAATATTTCAAAGAAAATGCAACGAGTTTGTCCTTAGCCTTGCATATGTCCGAAACTGTTTGCTTTTTAACACCATACTCGTCACAAACTCTAGACACCGAAGCACTAGCCTCTAACTTCCTTATAAGTTCCAGTTTCTGGTTCACAGAAAGGGTCACATACTTCCTCTTCGGCATTTTACTCCCCCTTGAAGACATGATGTAAAATATAAGGCTGAAAGATGCCTAATCACTGAAATATCAACGAAAATTGCAGGGCATCACAACACTGATACTCGAATGTGGCGCTAGGTCAACAATGACTGGCGTGACTCACGCGCGCACAAGGCCGCCGCGTGACCCATCTATCGGACAATCCCAGAACCATAAATTTGGTATGGACTCGTCCATAACCCTCCCTCGTTTATAGGTCGACCCTGATTTTTTGACCAAAAAATCGTTTATTTATGATATTCCTTGTTTATAGGTCGACCCAAGTTTTTGAGGGTATTGGAACAACAAAACCTTCAGTAAAAACACTCTACGTCCTATAAACTGAGGCTCGCCGTGCCTGAAACACAGAGTGCCGAAGGCAAATTGTTTACCATTTATTATTACGACACTTTACACTGAAACGCGGGTAGTATTTATTCAAGTCAATTAGGAGGGAATATTATTGTATACAACAGATTTTTAACTGAAAACTATTCGAAAAGCAATTACGGTAAAATCTTTTGAACAACGAAAGAAAGCGCAAGTCATTGTTTTCGTCATGATTTTATCCCACTTTCCACTGTAATACGTACGCCATTTCAGCAAAAATATTACATTTCCATATTTATTTCTGATAATATATTCATTTAGTCACAGTTAAGGTAAAATATACTTGTGATGTAATATTTTAATGAAAATACCCGGTACAGGTATTTAGAAATACGGTATCATAGTTTTCTTTTGTTTCAAATTTAATTAACAAAGATTGATGTTTCAAATGCAATGAACAAAAATTTATGTATCTATAAATAAACTTTAAAAATGAATACTTTATGTTTTACATAGTCCTGTGCTACCATACCATGCATTTGGCTACTTTGGGCTTGCTATGATGACGTAAGAGATCTGCCCTGGCAACTGTACCGACACTCACAGCTGGTGGTGCGTCGTTTCCATTGTTTACTGGTAGTTACTGGTAAATAATTTTCAACCTAACGAAACTATTACCCGTATGGAGATGTTGACCCCCAATTTTTTGCCAAAAAATTTGGGGTCCACAAAACATGTAGCTATGTGTATGTATGTTTATTTGAGTGCCCAGTCATAGGAGTCCGTTTTCTCTCGCTTCAGGACGCCTGAGTCTTCCGTTTTCTCTTAATCTTAGAGTGCACTGCACCAGAGACTTCGTTATTCCATAGTAATGACACAGAATTTGAAATTGCAACCCCAATTGCAACTGGGACAATCCCAGAACCAGAAATTTGATACGGACAGTTCAGATTTCGTCCGATTTATCCGAAATCCGGATTAAAGGGGTCCGAATTAACGAGGGTCGACTGTGCTGTACTAGATTACAGTAGGTGGGGTTTTTTTGTGAAACAATTAAAAAATTGAGGTTTACGGACTTTGGGAACCAAATCCTATTTTCCTATTTCTATTATTCACTATCCAAATGGCTTTCAAGGAACCTACTAATTCGGATAAAGAGAGATAACTGTACCTGTATTAGTATTATAATTAGTATTAGTACTGTATTATAAAGACAAATAGTGTACTATATCTTACAAGGTATACACATGTCACTACTTGTAATTCCCACTTTTGAGACCTAGATCAACCCTATTTGTGCAGTGATAGCACAATAATCATAGTAAAGATTCAGACATGTAATTTAATATGCATATTTTTCTCCTCAGCGATACACTACAAGACCCCATACCCAAGACCAGTGAATATGCCACCCAACACCATAACAAAAGGTTGGGGTAGAGGCAACATAAGAAGGCAGAATGTTTCCAGACCTGTCTATATAAAATCCATTGATAATACTTCTTGAAATAGGTGCAGTACATAGTATAATTTGTAAATAATGTAGATGTTGAATGTTGCATCACTTAAAGTTGTATATTTTCATCATCATATATCATTGAACAGGCTTGTTTTTGTGTTTTTATTGCCTAACACCTCGCTCTGGGTACTCGTATAGTATTACCCAACTGAGTCTACTGGTTGAAAATCCAGGTTAACAACTCTCAACATCAGTGGCTGGAACTACAGTATATCATTACTAATTTATACATATTTGATTGCCTTAAGATACAACAGTCACCAATCCAAGTTGAAAGCAATGAGTCTAACCATCACATTAGCATGTGTGCTTTGTGACCCTCATTTGGTTTCTGCTGCAATTTGTCATTTTCCAGGTCAATCTTCAGTTCCAGCCACTGGTCCTCCAGGAATAGCAAATGTTTTCTGCTTTTCTTCATCAATTAGGAGCTAAGTGCATCTCCTAACCCAATTAATATGATAGTTTTTATCTGTAGCCACAATCCTGAGCATTAGTGTCAATAAAGATTTTGTTATTTTAAATTTGTAATTGTTAATTATTGCTTAAAAAACTTAGTTTGAGGCTAGCTGGAGTGTTACCATACAGAGCCAACACAACCTAGCTCTGTGTCAGAGGGATCTTAATTTCATGGTGTATAGCTTAGCCTGTTGTATGAAAGCCCTTTATCTTTACTCCAGGTGCAGTTGTGGTTGAAATTGGAATTGCAGGATGTTCGGTTTTGGAAGTTTGAAGTTGAATAAGGGATTGTTAGACCTGAACATGATATTTCCTTTTTGTGATTTAGGTGTGTATTTCCAAGTTCTTGACATGCTTTTGAGGACTTAAAGGAACCCATTTTGGGTTCTGACAGCCAGTTAATGCTGTATTGGGTCATGCAGTAAGAACACTCAGGACTTTGACCTATATCTCATAAAGCCTTAGCTACATCCCAGAGAAGGACTTACATTTAGGTTTGCTTCAAGGCACTGTATGACAGTGAGGGTTATGCAAAGTCAGCTTCTTGTGTGCTACAGTTATTTTAGTAGGGTGACTCACAAAGTGGTATACTTGTTGTAATTACATTTGGAGCTTTTTTCCTTTAAAACTCTTTAGTATTTGAGTTGCCTGAGACAGATGTTAAGTTTAGAAAAAGTAGAATGTTGTTCCTGAAATTCCATAGTATAAATTAACCTGGATTAAGTGATTCACTCACTCTTCTTCCCAGTGGGTAAAGCCAAATTGGACTGGAACTGGGAAATGTCAGTTTGTAGTGTGTACCATTTAAGTGTTTAAGATAATCATTATCTTTGACCTTGATTGATGACTGCTGTAGCCTCAATTCTCTTTTTAGATACTCAAATGTGCAAGGAAAGTGTCAACTAATTAATTAATTGTTTCCAGCTGCTAATGTTGAACATTATCCTGGGTTTTTAAACTGTTGACTTAGTTGAGTAATAGTGTACAGCATGTAAGTCACCTAATTTAGGCTTAACTGTACAGTGGGATTTCTGGAACAATCCTCTTGTTATTTTTAAGAAACAGCATTATATTCATCAAAAACACAAACAAAAAAGTTTAAGTTAAATAAAATGATCTTGCCATCTATTAAGGTTAATTTATTGTTTGTTTTATTGTAATATGTCAACAGTAAAATATTTAAAAAATTTCATAACCGTGTTTCTTTTTTCATTACTCAAGTGACTTAAACCTATTGCTTAGAATATTTTTCTTGAAATGATAGGCAAGTAAGTCCTTTCCAATATACAGTACAGTATACTGTACTCTCAATTTAACAGAATCTAATATAACGAACTCTTGATTTAGCGGAAAGAATTTTTTCCTTTATTTTTCGCTCGATTTAGTGAACTAGTTCGCTAAATGGAGATTAATTCCGTTAATATGCTCACACCTATAGAGACACCTCAGACACATGATATTGTACAGTTGCCCGCAAAAGTTCTCCCACAGCCCTGTGTAGCAAGTTTGTGGGAGGACTTTTACTGGCAACTGTACAAAGAAACATTATTCATGGCTTACCTTAAACTAGGGGGTTCAGTGTTTGTTTTCAAATTTTTCTATTATTTCCAAACTTTGTTTCCAATTGATAGCCACACTAATTTGACTTTCTCCCCCACACCACTTCCTTTCTGAGACTTCCGAGAGACTTTTTGCGGAATTTAACGGAATCACGCTCGATTTAGTGAACTACAGTATAGTCTCGATTTACGCGTTTGGTGTTTGGTCATTTACGCGGCACCTGGCCAGACCGGCAATTATTAGTTACGCGGTACATTCCATCATTTACGCGGGAAGCAGTGCGGACATGGTGCGCACTAGGTCGCCCAGTCAACAAAACATTACCGAGTTCTTCACCCACCACAGCCAACCCAAGTCAGTGATAGTGAGGATATGGACTTTGAGGGGTTTGACAAAGAGGCCATGCAAGCCTCTGCGGTGGATAGTGATACAGGTGATACAAGTGATACAGGCAAGGGCCAATAATCTGCCCTCTGCCTCGGAACCAATCCTTCATCCCCGTGTGCCCAGCCATCTCTTCTACTAACGTAAGTGTTAAAAAACCTAATATTATTGGTATTTCTCTTAAATATTAATTGTGTGTGCATACCATCATAAAATTAAGATGTTATTTTTACTACAACATACGCATTGTGTCGAAAAAAGGGTAGTCTGGGGGTCGGCCCAGTCTCTTTTTCAATTAATCCCATATGTTCTGTTATTTCGTTTACGCGTTTCTCGTTTTACGCGGACCTCCACGGGTTTAATTGACTGCGTAAACCGAGACTATACTGTAGTTCGCTAAATCAAGCAAAAATAACGGAAATTTGATTTAGCGGAAATTTTGATTCAATCAAAAGGGATGGCTCAAATTAGTTGGTTAAATCAAGAAAATACTGTACTGAAGTATAGACTGTACAGTGACCAGTGCTAAAATACAGTGAGGAAACTAATGTTTGGGACAGTGATATCCTGAATAATTAAAACAATAGCAAATGAAAACATCACTTATGAAAATCAGATGATCACAGGGCACAGTGTTTAGGTAGTGCTTTATATATACAGCTCCTCCCCGACTTACAACGGGGTTAGGGACCCAAATCCAGGTCGTAAGTCCGAATGGTTGTAAGCCCGACATAGATAAAAAAAATAAAAAAATAAAAATAATAATAAAAAAAAATCTACAATGAAATACAGTACAGTAAAAGTAATAAATAATGATGAATGGATACAGTACAGTAAAAGTAATAAACAATGAGGAATGGATACAGTGTGACTGAGCATTTACCTTTAATGTAGTCAGCTGAATGCACACGGGGCCCCCATAATTTTCTAATTATACATGGAGACTACATTAACTGGAAACGTTTCGGTATAGAAAATGCGTGCGTCATTTGAAAAAAATTAAATAAAAATTGGTCACAACTGCGGCGGTCGTATGTCCCGACAGTCGTAAGTCAGAGCAGGTCGTAAGTACCGATGGACGTAAGTCCAAGCAGTCGTAAGTCGGGGACTACCTGAATATATATATATATATATATATATATATATATATATATATATATATATATATATATATATATATATGTTTATTTATTTATATACAATATTACTCCTGTGCTAAATTTTCTGACTCCTTCACTTAACCACCATATTTGCCAGCATATATGCTGGCTTTTGAAGCTCAAAAAAATTTCCCCAAAAATAGGAGTTGTCTAATTTGTCAAATACAAAATATGAGCCTTAAATTCCAAGCAAGTTTCAAGGTAAAAGACATCAAAGTTGGTGAAGGTGAAAATTCTCCAGTGTAAGTGATTGCCATTCTGAATCCACTGTTTCTGTGTTCTTATTATTGATACCAGTGCTATAACTTTTAATTTGAAGGCACATTTGTCCAGTATTTCATTCCCTTTGCTTGGTGTTCCATGAGGAGATAATGATAGGGTCAGTCTGGCAGGGTCATGATAAATGAGAAACCTGACTGTATGAAGATTGTGGAAGGCTGGAGGTTAGATTATGTTGGCCAAATCACAGCTACCTGTACCTCTGACTAGAGTAGCTTGGGGCCAGACCTGAGTCAAGTAAAGTTCCTGGTAAATTACCTGACTCAGGGTACTTCAAATTAGCTTGCATCACTATGCTGCATCCCATGTCATCTTATTACAGTGTTTTATTACCAGTATTTATTTCAACATTGCTAAGATAGTGAGTCCTGAGCCAATGGATGTTCAGGGTTTAGGGATGAATTTATAGGGCAAATGCATCATAGTTCTAAACATGATTTTTTTGGCTGAAATTTTAAGGTTAACTTCTATGCCAGCAAATGTGGTAAATATTAAAGAGACAAACAACTCAATATGAAACAAATGAAATACTGTACACTGTTTATAAATAGACAAATGAACACAGATACAAGGGGATAGTCACTTAAATAAAACAAAGATTGCATACATCTTGGTGGGTGTACTTGCAGGATTTTCTCCACTCATGGTTATGGATCTTTTGAAAGATTGGTGCAAGAATAATCATTGCCAGTTTAAATGCTCCTTTGCCAGCAACATTGCCACATGGCCTTAACTCAGCCCTTAACGATGTCCATCATTTTTCCCCTTTCCAACTGGTCTTTAGTTAAGCTCCTGCCTTCCCTATTGACATTCACTTTTCTCGTCCACCCTCACAGCCTTCTCAAACCACTCAACCATCGTATGTCCATGGCCTCCGTGCTTCATTGAAAGGTTGTCATGATTCCCTCCAACCTGTACCCTCTATTAGAAATCCTTTTTCTATCAGCGACTCCATTCTTGTCACTATCACTCCCTATGATTTTATTAGCAAACTCTGCCCCAAGTGGTCTGGCCCATTTGTTGTCACCCATATCCCCAACCAATTTCAGGTCTCATATTAGAGAGAAAACAATATATGCACAGTCCATGTCAATCATGTTAAGAAATATTGTGCTACTCCCCCTGCTCTCCCTCCTCAGTCTCGCATCATCCTAGGTCTACCTCCATGTCCTCCACCTCAGGCCCATCCACCTGCTCCTGCCCAGTGGCCATGTCCCAGCCAACCAATGCTCTATGCCATGTCCAACCCGACTCCAGGTACCTGCCAAACACAGCCATCCTATCTGGCACCAACCCAACCTCACCTTGCTTATAAACTGGGTCATCTCATCACCACCATCCACTCCGGTCAAGTCGGCAAGCTTTCTCCTTATCACATCCACCACATCATGGAGCAGCCACGCCCATTGCCACACAACATCATGAGGGTTTCTATGTTCCTCTTTGACAGATGACATAATGTGTAAGTAGCAGTCAAAACCAACACCTGTGCTTGCCTTTCTCAACTGGGGGAAGCTTATTTGTGCTGCAGTTGACCTCAGTCTGTGGTTTGTCAACACCCACCGCCAGTCTTGGTGTGCCATTGCCCCCGCTGTGGCTAGCGGTACCTGAAGGAGGGGACAGTTGTGATGCCAGCAGTAAATGCATCGGCAGCACGAGCAGCCATCACAGGCCTTAAAACCCTTGTTGAACCTGCCACTAACCCTTAGGCTGAAGTGGTGTTCAGCCTGCACCAAAGATTGGGCAAAGCCACAGTCAGCACCCAGCAAGCATAGGTCAAGAGAGAGTGGTGAGAGGGGGAGCCTACCAGGGTTACCACTGCACATGCATGGTCTGTATAAAAGGTCACACCTGACCCCTGGAATGTCAGTCTGCTCTTGACTCATTCTTCCAAAGGTGACTCAACCCCTCTGTCAGGCACTTCTGTACCCCCTAACCCATCTATTGGTATGGACAGGTTATCCATATCTCCACCAGCTGCAGGCATCTAGACCTATCCGTTTGGATCCTCCCTAACCCCAGAGCTGCCCAATGTTCCACCCTCTCTTACTATTGGCACTGTCCCTCCTTCACCAGTGTCCCCGCCAGTTGCCCTTCAGGCAAGCAGCTGGCATGAGAGGCCAACCCAGGATATTCAGGCCCAAGCTTCAGAGATTGATGACCACCAAAGAAGCAACATCAGCAGAAGAGATGTCGTCCTGACTACTGGCTGTGATAGAGAGCAATGTCAAGAGCATTGTCTTGTACTGTATATATTATTGTATTTATTGTGTGTCCTCAGCATGTAGTATTATTGGTTTGTTTGCCTGTCTGTGTTACCAGGCTGAGTAGATATAAGTGTAATGGCTCTATAAAGAGAGAGAAAGCGAGTCATGTCAGGAACATTATCTTTGAGTTATTATTCTGTCCTAGTAAGTATTGTTGTATGTACCTGTCGCTCTCAGCGTCTCGTAGTGCTGGCCTTATAACTCCTGCGTTATTCTTATACTGCATTAATGTTCTTGTGTCTGTATTGTATGTGCTCAGAAGCAGTTTGTCTATTGTAATAAATATTCTTTGTTTACTCCTTGAGTTTTCCTTACCCCATGGAATATCAAATCTGTACCATAATATTAATTACAGTAACATTGAGAGTGAATCTACATGTTCACAAGTAACCGAACACAAGTGTGTAGCTGATGTTGCATAGCCTTGGATGTTGTTAAGGTGTTTTGTTGATACACATGGATTTGCTGTCATGTAGAGTATGGCCTGTTGTACTGAAGTTATTTTGGCATAACTTTGAGTAAATTTTAAAATATCCATGATGTGCATTATAGTAGCAAGTACTGTACTGTACTGGTTGCTACTAGCATGGCTGTTCAACCAATAAAAATCACGCTTATTTACGAGTACGGTATTAGCCTTTTGCATACCTAAATAACTGTTCTAAGCTTTTCCAGCAAAAAAGCAAGATAGGAAATGTGTGTGATGTTTCACAATAATTATACAGTATTATTAACCTTTTTGTAAGCTTGAACACCTGCCTTTCAAGTGCAATCAGTGACAAATTGAGATTGAAGTGTAGAGCATCATAAGAGTGAGTCTCATACGTGTCATGTCAATTGCCGATGTGCCCTCACCTTGTGTCACCTGGTGCACCAGGTCAATGGCCTGATTATCTCATTATCCTGCTTGCAACATAGGGGCAGAGTCTTGTTTTTGGTCCTGTCCCAAAAATAATTAAAGGGGTTTTCTGATTTGAATCAAATTTTGTAGGTTTGATTGTGACAAGGTCCATATGATAAACTACAGTACTGTACAGTCTCGTTCAAGATTCTTTGAACATTGCTGAGTGCTGGAGACACCTGACAACTCGAGGCCGTTTGTTTACTATAGTATGTAGTAAAAATTGTGAATGAATGTAAAAGGTTATGGGTGATTGGTTACTTAATTCCCTGTTGCTTAATTAATGGTTGGGCTTTGTTGTTTCGTATTATATTATACTACGTACTATAGTAGACAAACGGCCTTGAGTTGCCAGCTGTCTCCAGCAGTTCGAAGAATCTTGAACGAGACTACATGTAGTGGTGAAAATAAAGTTGACCAAATATCCCTATGGTAATACAGTAGTTCACATAATAGTAACGGTGGTTAACAAAAACGATGTCATGAGCAGTGCCTACATTTGTTTACAGTAACAGCATCCCAATTTCAATACTACAGGTAATGGTTTACAGATAGGTTTACATCTGATAATTTGTTTCTGCTGAGACTTGTCCCATACAAATAATTGGTGAGAGGCAAGTGCGTCATCGCTGTACAAGACAATGCCATTAAACTTAAGGTTATCTTTATGGGCCGTTTTTCTTAAATGCCATATGATAATAACCAGGGCCGTCCCTAGGAGGGTGCGGGGCCCGGGGCAACTCAGCCATTGCGGGGCCCCACGCTAGTGTCAGATTATGCGGTCAGAGGAACCCACCCCCACCAACCCCAATGGGACTGTCGCTATGGATGGTAAGGTTGTAGTGGATTCCTCCCCTACAAGCACCGAACCTTCTCGAATTCCCCAGCCTACGTCTCCAGCGCCGCCCACGGAGCGGGGGTCAACTATCTACCCACGCCTATCCCCGCCTTATAAGGCCTGACACTGCTGTGACCACCCTCTTTCTACTCAGTGCCACCAGCAAGCAACACCTCCTTCTCCGCGCCAGCCGTGCGGCTGCCACTCCCACCAGCGACCTTGGCGTCCCTCAAGCCGTGTGCCCTCACTCTGGGCACCCTCACCACCCAGCTCTCTCTACTCAACGCTTATTACCATGCTACCTACCCAGCAACAAGCTGCATTGTACATCCAATACAATATGTATACAGTGAGCACATTGTGAGTTTCCTTTCTCCATCCCATCCTGAGTGTGAACCAATATCGCATACCCCTACAAATGGTGACCCCGGAGTGACCACTCATACAGGATGGAGGAGAAACCGATCACTCTCTCAGTCTTCAAGCAACATGGAAGACTGGCTTATCCACACAGAGGCAGCTCTCATCAGCTCTACAACTACTGTCTCTATACCACAGGTTAGACACCCTAGAGCAGCTCTGCTACTCTAAGCAGACAGCCGCTCCTCTTCCTGCCCCAAGCACCACGTCCTACCGACCCCAACACACCCGTCCTGCCTCAGACGCCGGCCCCGGCCCAGCAGTACCCCCTGCCGCTCCTCCTGATGCAGCCCCTGCTCCCGACGCGGCCCATGCGCCTGAGTGCGGACCCACACCCCTCTTTTCTCCCTCAGGTACCCCCTGCTACTGTCCTGCACCCTGCTGCTGTTGTGGGCCCTGCTGCTGTCATGCACCCTGCTGCTGTCATGGACACTCTTCCTAACACAGCCCCTGCTCCTGACCCAGGCCCACACACCCCAGCAGGCGTATCTGAGGACTCTGTACCTGTCGCGAGTGAAGCACAACATTCATCGCCTCCACAACCCTCCTTCTCCTCCTTTTCTCCCACAGATCCCGAGTATCTAGACAGAGTTGCCCCCCCCCCAGCGGCCGGCTCATCCACGCCCTCGCCGTTCTGCCTCACATGTGGCACGCACCGCCCGTTCTGCCTCACATGTGGCACGCACCGCCCGTTCTGCCTCACATGTGGCACGCAACTCTGCCAACCTCCAGCCTCCTGCCGCGCCCAGAGGGGAAGGGGAGCATTGTAGTGGATTCCTCCCCTACAAGCACTGAACCTTCTCGAATTTCCCAGCCTACACCTCCAGCGCCGCCCACGGAGCGGGGGTCAACTATCTACCCACGCCTACCCCCGCCTTATTAGGCCTGACACCGCTGTGACCACCCTCTTTCTACTCAGTGCCACCAGCAAGCAACACCTCCTTCTCCGCGCCAGCCGTGCGGCTGCCACTCCCACCAGCGACCTTGGCGTCCCTCAAGCCGCGTGCCCTCACTCTGGGCACCCTCACCACCCAGCTCTCTCTACTCAACGCTTATTACCATGCTACCTACCCAGCAACAAGCTGCATTGTACATCCAATACAATATGTATACAGTGAGCACATTGTGAGTTTCCTTTCTCCATCCCATCCTGAGTGTGAACCAATATCGCATACCCCTACAAGGTCACGGTTGCGATGGTGGCGTAAGCCCTCAGGTCAGATTAACCAGTCAACAGGTAATGAGTCCGAGGTCACTGGGTCTAGTGCTGGGCCCCGCGGGGCCCCCACACGCGCGGGGCCCCGGGCTGTCGCCCCTGTTCGCCTCCCCCCGCTAAAGGACGGGCCTGATAATAACAATAGATTATACAATATTTATCTATACCAGACTGATATATAATATATACTACCATTATTTTATAAATACTGTATATACATGTGGATACTTATCTGATAATTTCTTCAAGCAACAAAAAATAATAACAAAAAATACCCTGTACATCTCTTTTGAAATAAAGAATACAAAAGTGAAAGGACCGCACTGGAAATAAGCATCTATTTTTGAGGACTATTCTATTTATCAAATTTCTGTTTAATATCGTTGTATACCTGCACTGTCTAGATACATGCCAAACCAATTGTAAATTTATATTATATTTATAATAAATTTTAATTATTATTACTATTATTGTTATGTAGGTACATTGGAAATTATGTACCTTGCACGATCTATGTAAACTGTATACCTGCATTGTATATGTATATGTTGAACCAATTGTAAACTTGCATGACGATTTTACCGAATAAATTATATAAATCTATCTGTTATTTAAACTTGGCGCGCCCATCACCATCATCTCGTCCCCAAAAGCCGTGAGCGGCAGCGACCGCATGGTGAATTTTTGGGTGTGAGACAGGCGGGTGCGCGCTCGCCATTACGCACCACCACAAACAGCCATATTACACCAGCAATATACGTCATCTATTTAAGCAAATCTCTACTCACTCGTAAAGTACGTAAGTTATTGTGAGTTAAAGACTGTCAGGTTGTAGTTGAGAGATTGGAGTGAACTAGTGTTAGTAAATTTTAGGAGTAAATTCTCAAATAAGGACAAAATAAACATAACAAGTTACCGGTGTCCCTATCGATGGAGCAAAGTGTCAAGTCTTGCACCAAGTTCCTTTGTGTTTCACATCTTCCACAGGTCATTCAGGTATTTATTATTTGGCTAAAAAAAAATTAAGGTGTCGACTGGACTCATCTTACGTGTACTGGTTGAAAATGAATCAATGTGGAACGTATATTTTCTTTATAAACAAGGGGGGATAGAGCATCAGGTTGTGCTAGGTGGTGTCCTTATCATCCGGTCCACATCAAAGTTCGTGATCGGCTATTTTTTTTTTATAAATGATTGTAGGGCGTGAGTTAGTGGTTCCCCAAAATTAATTAAAGAGGCAAGTGATATGAAGATAATGAAAGTTAAAGGAAGTGTTGCGTGATGCGTGTTAGAGGAAGAGAACGTGTGCAGTACCTGACAAATATTCCTCTCGAGACAAAGTTATTTAGCTTTGGCTAAACAGCGTGCGGGATACCAAGTATTAAGTAATATTGAATTTGAAATACTGAAAATGCAATTCGGTGATTTTTTTTTTATTAACTACCGTTAAAGTGCAGTACTGGACAATGATCTTGACGTAGAATCTACAGTGAGTCACTGGGAAACTGAAGGAATTCTCAGTAATGCAGAGGGTCCTCACTTTTTCTCATGGGATTTTTTGGAGGCGGCTTCATTTGATTGTATATGTGTACTTAAGCATAGAATGGAAGTGAGTGTAAATTTGAAAAATAACATCTTACTAGATTACTTTTGGCATGGTTAATGGGTTTAAAAAAAATTTTCAAAACAAAAAAATCTTTATTTGGCCTCGGTATCTTTGTATAGATCATTGTTCTGTGTTGAATCACAATTTAAATACTTTTCATTTTTTGTTAGATTGTTTTTGGGAAGGCGAATGAAAATTTGATTTTTTTTATTATGGCAGTGGATATTTTGCCATGACTGGCTAAGTTCCTACTAATGCTATTTTATCGTGAGTGTGCTCTGATTGGTTAATCGTCCATTACCGGCTAACAATGCGAGAATGATAGGTGACCGTGACTGGCGGCATTTGGCATTTATTTTGCCGAGTCGATCTTTGTGTGGCTATAAACATACTTTACCATAAGGAGTTGTTTGATTAGTTAATTTTTTCCGCAAATGTTCTTATTATAAAAGGCGACATTTGCTAGAACTTAATAGCACCTGACCTAACCAACCAAAGAAACCTACCTAACCTTACCTAAATTCCTAGCCAGGAGGCGAACTCCGTCATATTAAACGTAAAGTAATTAACCAATCGGAGCGCACGCATGGTAAAATAACGTGAGGAGGAACTTGGCCACTCATGGCAAAATATTCACGACAAAATTTTTAAAGTGGACTCTTAGCGATTTTAAATTGAAACAACATCTTACTGATGTGTTAAGAATAATTTTCACTGACTTCTATTGGAAATGAGCCGTCTTTTTTTTTTTTTTTTTAATATATCTCTTCCCCCATACGCTTGGGGAACTTACATGAAGTTGGGGGGTGGGGGAGAGGAAAAACGATTGATATGTGATATAAATGCAAAGTTGACTTTGAAAATGTAATGTAACCAAACCTTCTTTTGTTTTGGGGGCTTTGGTAAATTTGCATGTCACCTGGTATTTAATTTTGTGCTTTTTTTTATTGCAATCAATAGGTTAATCAATTCTAAGACACTTTTCTTCCATGGCAATTCTCATGTAAATGCACAAATGACCTAACCTAACCGGCTGGGACCCCACCAGCATATTTAGGTCATTTGCAAAGAAAACATCGTAGAAGAAAATGCTCTACATTGGATGAGTTGATTGTCGGAATTTTTTCGTAAGGTGGCAGGTCAATGGGTAAAGAAAATGCTTAAACTCACTATGGTAATGATATTTTAAAATAAATTGGGTGAAAATTTTTTCTAAAACAAGGGTTAAAGTTGCTAAAAAGTCACGTGACTGCGAAAAGCTCTGTGATTGGTTGTGACGTCACTGGCTGGGGTGAGCTTCCCAGCGGGAGGCAGCCAGCTGTAGTTGTCCAACCTTCTCGGCTGATCGGCTCAGTAAATAAATAATATTAGATTATTAATTGTGCTTTACTGTGCAGCATAGTAATACTATTTTGAATATATAAATATTAATAAGCACATAAACTAATTCAATGGATATTAGCTGCCCATACAAATTTCATAGCACAGTACTGTATACAGGTAGTCCCCGACTTACGACGGGGCTAGGGACCCAATTCCAGGTCATAAGTTGAATTGGTCGAAAATGCGAAAATAATACTGTACATAGAAAATCTAAAATGGGTGTCTCTTTCTTCTCGGCACCACAAAACTCTCACTTTTAAGCTTGCCAGCCATTTTAAAGGGAATTACAAACGAAAATTTTGTCAGTACACAGCACAATCACTAACTTCGGGACTCGAAAATACGTAATTTAAAAAAAATTTGGTACGACTGGGGAGGTCGTAAGTCGAGGAGTAGCTGTAAACATTCCAAACAATATTGGTATTATTTTGGTTTTGGTCATTTGGGGAACCTTAAGATTCTAACTATGGGATTAAGTACTTTAAACAATAAGACACATTATATGTACAGGATTTCTGTTGCAAAACATATTTTGATCACATAAAATACAGGTCATATGTTAGGTTAGGGTATGATGAGTTGTATGTCGGTAAGGGGTGGGTGGGGGGGTAGTAACATAAAACTAGTGATAAATTCCAATAGAAATGAAGGTCTAAATCGTTCATAACATATAGCAAACCATCAGAAAAAAAAACATAGTCTGCATGTCTAAGAACAGGGATGACTTAAACTTAAAATTTACCCAATATAGCCTATCTCAAATCTAAACGTTAAAATACTTATGGTAATTAAAGTAAAACATTACCCATTAATTAATATAAGTGATGATATATCCCAGCGGTTCATTCATGAATCATCAAAACAATAACAGCACCATGTTGTCATGTTTACCTTGCATCAGGCATTATCAAAGCAAAGTCCAGACAATGTCATCACTTCTAAATTTACTCGTATCTCCATCTAGTACTGATATATTCTGTAAATGCACTGGAAAAAAAAAGTTACCAGGTAAGAGTACATGACAGCTGGGCTAGTGTGAACATGGGAATTTTGTATGTCCAAAAGAACATAAGAATGGAGGAAACTGCAGCAGGCCTATTGGCCCATACTGGGCAGTCCCATTTACACCCAACCCCTATCGCGCTCTATACCCATCCTACCTATGTTTGAAGCTGCTCTTCACTGCAAATTTCTTCACTTCCAAAATGTCCATGATTTAGACCATAAAAAAGCACCCTTAAAACTTACCTGAACGTGGCATTTGGGGTCTGAAGAGGCCATCCTTTCTACTACAGTACCTCCGACTGCAGCGATGAGTTTGAAGATAGTGACGTCATTGCAAATGGCGGCCCTGTTTCTAGAGAAAAAAATATTATCTTGACTATTATAGCAGGACTTTAAACTTTTATTACAAATTATATATACCGTATCACTACGAACATGGCAGTGTAATTCTTGTGTTTACCGAAAATTGTTAACTCGTCCATTGCCAAAATTATTGATTGCAAACATAAAATTCTCAAAATTCAATACCAGGTGGCTTATGCAATAACAACGGGACTTTGTAGTATTTATTACAGTACCAGATATGTTTGTCCTTATGGAAGAGACGGAACATGTAGGACATTGTACCACACTAAGCAAAACACCATGAGAGCGATGAAATTCCACCGAGTCTGAATTATTGTAAAACCCTGCGATCACAACCTAATAATGTAGATTGTGCCGTCACACACAAGTGCCGGCTAATATGGAGGACTTCACAGCTGCTTCCCCCGTCTCAGTAACAGTAAATTTGCCCATGACAGGTGTTAAATTATGCTAGGTTAGTTTAGCTTAACTTGAACTTTAAGTAAACACTTTTTAACACATTTGCCATAACTACAGCAGTGTCCACTATAAAACACAGTAAAATTCCATTGTTTTTAAATTCCTTTTTTATGAAAAATCAGCAGCTGTGAAGTTGTAAATAATTACCAAAGTGCCATATTGATTATGACTTAAATTTAACCACCAATGTGGTGTTAGTGGTTACACCCATACACGTGTGAAATATTTCCAAAAGCAAAGACTCAAGCCCGTTCATTGGCTCAATGAGACGGGCAGAATGTCACGGGCACCTTGCCTGAACCCCATACCAATAATGTTAAATATCTCGCTTACATGTTATTTACGATAGAAATGCTATAAAGAAAAGTAATGGAGATGGATGAGATCTACCTGTAGCAACTATTCATTTTCAAGCATCTTTTGAGAGTCCACTTGTAAAATAATGATTTGTTTTGTTTTTTACATTGGATAAATATTAATGTAGAGGTAAGTTTTATTCTATAAAAATGCAGTAAAGGTGGGGCAGGCAGCTAACACCAGGAGTTGTTAAGTTTCTTTCAGTTTTTTCCACAGATGTTTGGATGATAAGTAATAAAAACGATACAACAATGCACAGAACTTAATAGAACCTGACCTAACCAACCAGAGAAACCTACCTAATCTTACCTAACTTCCTAGCCCCCCTCCCCCCAACCCCCGGGCATATTAAAGAGAAAATACTTTGATATCTGATACGGTACCAATGACAGCAACTATTTTGAAGTGGGTTGGTAAAAGAAAATTGGGGGGGGGGGTGAGAGACTGAGAGTTGCGCTTGGACTGAGCGGCTCGGTTGGTGCACTAAAACAAAGAGCAGACATCACATGCCGACACGGCATATTTGTTGGCGGAATATTTATGGTAAATAATTAATTTCTTCGAATACAAAGCACCTAGAGACATCATTTTAGTGTCATATGATAGCTTTTCACAGTGTTTTAACCCGCAATTTCACTCGTCCTTCATGCCTTACTGTAAATTGCCATTCCTAGACTGTCTGATACACAGAATAGGTAACACTTTTAAGTTCAGTATTTATAGAAAACCAACTAATGTGTGTTCATACATTCATTATTATTCTGCCCACCATAATAAAGTCAAACAGTCAGTATTTTCAACAATGTTTTTACGTGCCTTGAGAATTTGCAGTCCGGAATTCATCGATGAGGAATACAAATATATATATAATATTGGCTCAAACCTTAAATACCCTAGATCTTTCATAGACAAATGCCTAAACATTACTAAGAAAACTTTTTATAGAACTGATCCCAAGCCCACCCATGACCATAAGAATATCTTAATATTACCATTTCACAAAAATTTCTCACACATTCCTTCACAACTAAAAACCTGGAACGTCAATGTGGCATTTAAAAACTCATGCACTGTTAAACAAATGTTAATCAAGAACTCCCCCAACAACACAATTGGTTGCATTTATAAAGTTCCTTGCAAGGAATGTAATATGTTTTACTTAGGCCAGACAGGTAAAGATCTTGCAACTAGAATTAAACAACACAAATACAGTGTTAGGACAGGCCAGGAATCCAATGCTCTGTTTGTTCATTTGAGGGATAACAAGCATTGCATTGACTGGGATAATGCCTCCTCAATATTACCATGTAATTCAATTGATAGTAGGAACATCATAGAATCTAGTCTTATTAAACATACCGAAGCATTCAACATGAATTTGAGTAACGGCATGTACAAGCTGGACAATTTTGTAATTAAGAAGATTTGTAACCAGGTGAGAAGGCCGGGTCACCTGACCATCTGACCTGACCACCAACCGTTGTGTGCTATTTAAAGATTAGTAGGGTCATTACCTAATACCTGACCATTGTGGACCTGGTCTCACCCTCCTCTGTATATAATACACCTTGGTTTGTATTTCTCTCTCTAGTCTGTACTCACCCCTGAAGATGTGAATTACACGAAAGCGCTTGGGAACTTCGTGTTTTCTTCTTTCCTTGTGGTTATCAGCATATATATATATATATATATATATATATATATATATATATATATATATATATATATATATATATATATATATATATATATATATATATATATATATATATATATATATATATATACACACATACATACATACATACATATACAGTGGTCCCTCGGTTAACGAACACCTCAGTTAACGAAATTTCGGTTAACGAACTGCCTCCCATAAGATTCTTAAATTTGGTTAACGAACAAAAATTCGGTTAACGAATTTCTTACGAACCGACCTCAACATGTTTTCGCTTGCACTGACCGGGCAACCAGCTTTAGTATTAGTCCGCCAATACATTAATCGGTTTTAGGGCTTAAATTCCTTACTATTTTAGTAAATATCAAGAAGTTTATACTATTCAATAATTTTAAAAGTTTAATATTCAATTTTTTAGTCATTTTAACAATTATTGAACATAACTGAAGGTAAAGTGACAAGTTTAATGCGCGGCATCCAGCCTCTTAACACAGCAAACAGGAGTTAGTCTCTCTCTGTTTTCACTGGAGGTAACATCTTGCTTGAGACTCTCTTCAACTAAACGCTTTTTTTCTGTGTTTCCAAGCAAATTATTGGTCATTTTGAAATGTATTTTACGTATTGACAATATATAATGCAGTGCAGTGTTGATTTAAAGAAAATAATCTTGAATTATACCAAGAGAGCTAAAATTTTATGGGTGAAATGGCGCCATGGGGTGACTTCTCTTCCACCCCAATGCCTTCTCTTTTTCCTTCTCCTCCACCCCCATTCTAAATCCCATCATCATCATCATCATCCAGGAGCCTTCTACATACACACCTCAAAGTAAGTGAACTTTTCTACCATTTTTGTTGAATTTAGGCAATTTTCGGTGAGCTGGAACCAATTACCCAAAAACCCATTGAAACAATGGTTTCGGTTAACGAACTTTTCGGTTAACGAACGACCTTCTGGAACGGATTGAGTTCGTTAACGGAGGGGTCACTGTACAACCTTTGAGTTCTTTATTGATATACTGTATCTTGCATTTCAGTGTACAATCGTTTTTTGTTTTTTTTTCCCTGATTAAATTGTGAAGGTCGTGTAACCATGAAAACATTATCTAGGTTTATGTCTTCCATCCATTAAAAAATTTTGAAAATTTATGACATCTGTCTTATTGTGTCTTGTCTGAAGAGTTGTTATTCCTAAGACCTTCACTTTACTTGGATAATCAAAAATGCTTTACTTCAGAAATAACAATACAGCTCCTCCCCGACTTACGACCTACTCAACTTACGACCACCCGGACATACGACCACCTCAGTCGTACCAAAAATTTGTCAAATTACGTATTTTCGAGTCCCAACGTCAGTGATTGCTCTGTGTACTGACAAAATTTTCGTTTGTAATTCACTTTAAAATGGCTGGCAAGCTTAAAAGTGAAAGTTTTGTGGTGCTGAGAAGAAAAAGAGATGCCCATTTTAGATTTTCTATGTATTATTTAAGCATTTATGACTTACGACCTGGATTTGGGTCCTAACCCCATCGGGTAAGTCGGTGAGGAGCTGTAGTCACAGACGTTACACCTTTTTCTAGGGATGTTGTGTTTAGGAAGTACTGTACTGTATTGTTTTCATCCTGGTATTTAGTAATCCACACTGAAACATTTATGATACAGTACATACTTATGAAGATGGAGTTTTCTATTCTATGTATTTGAAGGTACACTTTATAATTCCTTGTGCTTGGTTCTTTTTATCACGGCTGCTCCTACTTCTTACACTGTCTTCAGTAATTGGCCTGTCATAAGACAGATTTTTTTCCTTATCAAGAGTTTCCAATAAATTTTTATTCACAAAATACATCACAATACAGTATTTGTGATTTGGTTGTGTCCCACATGCTGATTTATATGTTGCTATGGTACGGTATGTTAAAAAGTACTTGCCAGTTCTGCAGCCTTTTCAACAGTTCATGCCAGAGTAAAGGTTTTAAAGGGAGAATTAATCATGAAATCTCATTTTATAAATGAGTCTATAAGCAACTCTGTATCTCTCCCCCACTTCTTTTGGGTGCTGAGGGGAGCTGGATCTGTAGGGTTATTCCTGACATGATGCTTTATGCTGATATCCACAAACATACAGTACAGTATAAAGATGGAAGGATCCATGTGTATGCTTAGAAGCAAAATTTTAAAACCTTTTCCCATTTTAGTGTGCCTTGTTAAATTGCTAGTCTTCAAGAGCTTGTTCTGGAGATGTACTCTGTTTATGCAAGTTTCTTTTAACAGGCTTCTTTATATTTTCATTGCAGGAGTTATAGCAGAGGATGGTCATGGAAACTCCATCACCGCAATGCGTTGGCCTTGAATTTGTGCGCCAGTACTACACGGTGCTCAACAAGGCCCCCATGCACCTTCATCGGTAAGTACAGCATATGAATAATTTATTTAATTTATCAGTACAGTACAGTAATGAGACTAAAACTTTGCTAAAGTTTGCTTCAAAAGTAATATAAATATAATGTCACAATATTATGTATTTCTGTATATTGCTTCTCGTTCTCTCTTTCATTCCACACACACACACACACACACACACACACACACACACACACACACATCCTTTATCCTTGACCACCGAAGGGTCAAGACGTACCTGGCGCTCCTCTCGGAGCAGCCAGGTCAACTGTGAAGTTGGCCCATACCAACCCCCTCCCCTGAACCTTCCTCCCCACCGGAATATCAACAAGTTCTCGCCAGAAGTTACAATTTCATTTAGGAAGGGAACGGAACCAGTGTTAAACAGAGGTGAACAGTGGTGAACAGAGCTTAAGTCAGTGAGAACAACTCAACAGTAACAGTCGTACCCAAGTTAACCTTCACACAGTGAGGTCCCAGGTACCCAGTGATAACGGCCCGTGAGACCCAACAACAACCAGCGATGTGTTAATCCGTCTATGATAGGAAGGCCTAAGACCACACCTCACTCATATAACACCATCTGCGAGGGAATTACTACACCACATATCCCTCATAACACCATATGTGAGGGAATTACTACACCACGTGAGGCCCCTCATAACACCATCTGTGAGGGAATTACTACACCACGTGAGGTCCCTCATAACACCATCTGTGAGGAAATTACTACACCACGTGTGGCCCCTCATAACACCATCTGTGAGGGAATTACTACACCACGTCAGGCCCCTCATAACACCATATGTGAGGGAGTTACTACACCATGTGAGGCCCCTCATAACACCATCTGTGAGGTAATTACTACACCACGTGAGGTCCCTCAATAACACCATCTGTGAGGTAATTACTACACCACGTGAGGTCCCTCATAACACCATCTGTGAGGGAATTACTACACCACGTGAGGCCCCTCATAACACCATCTGCGAGGGAATTACACCACGCCAGGTCCCTCATAACACCATCTGAGGGAACTACTACACCACGTGAGTTCCTCCTAACACCATCTGGGAGGGAGTTACTACACTACGAGTTTGCTGTTCAACACCTACATTAATCTGTATGTTCACTGTATGTTCCTTTACCTTTCTCTAATGAAGGCTTTAATTAAACCACCAATGTATGTAATAAGTCATTTATGTCCAATGTATATTTTCAGCCTTCGGGCTGCAGAATTTTTTCAATAAACCGTTAATTATTATTATTATTATTATTATTATAATATATATATATATATATATATATATATATATATATATATATATATATATATATATATATATATATATATATATATATATATATATATATATATATATATATATATATATATATATATATATATATATATATATATATATATATATATATATATATATATATATATATATATATATATATATATATATATATATATATATATATATATATATATATATATATATATATATACTGTATATATATATATACTGTATATATATTTACTTCCTGTTGGTACTTAATTGCATTAAGAATTCTTCACCTTTCATTTACAAAATATTCACACCACAACCTTGGCAAACCCTGGTTGTCTTCCTTCAGTTCCTTGCACTTTATATTGCTCTCACACACTATTTTTTTTTACTTTTTTATTTGTTTTTTATTAAAGTTAATTAAACATTATGTTAAAGAAAGAAAACTTAGGTCTTGTTTAGCAACTGCAGTTCCTTTGCTTCCTTAGGTAGTGGTATGATAATTTTGGCTACTATGTCTTCTTAACATCTCTCTGTGCCAACAGGTTGTTTATAAACTGAAGCTTCACTTCATCATCATCATGTTTCTCTTTAATACTACTTTATATCAAAATTGTCTATTCCTTCCTGTGTTGCTTTGCATTTATGTTTGTATCTATTTATGTATGGCTAACACTCCTGCGAGTGCCAGGTACGTATATCCGGTGAATATCCTTCCACCATGGTGTTTGTAGGGTAACTAAGCAACTGAAATTTCTGAGAGTGAATTACTACTGCTGGTGACATGGCATCATTATATGGCTCATGGCTGCTTCAGGATATTTGAAGCATGGCAGGAAACATGAGCTTGTATCTTGTACAGTACTTACCATACATAGGACTCGGGTCTCAAATGTACAAAGTATATACAGGTACTGTATGTGTTGAACTGAAAAGGTTAATAAGGGAAGTTGCTTGATGTGTGTTTTGCTTTATTTCAGGTTTTTCAGTAATAATTCGTCATTCCTGCATGGGGGCCACAATTCCATGAGCGAACCGATTATCGGCCAAGCAGATATTCATAAAATGATCATGAGCCTCAACTTCCGTGACTGTCATGCCAAGATCCGAATGGTTGACGCTCAAGCCACACTCGGTGATGGAGTAGTTATTCAGGTATTTTGTCTCAAGTGTTTACAAGTGTGATACTAGCATGCTTAATTTTAATTTTGCTACTTACAGCAGCTAGTTAATTGTGCACCCCATTCTCATCCTGTGAATGGTAGCGCAAAAGCATTACAAAGTAGAGTTCATAGTGGGTCAGTTTAACTAACCCCCGTGGTCAAAATATTATGGCAATGAATTCTATATTGGTGTGTTTGTAATGCACATTATCAAGTTTTATACCCAAATCGTTTTTAGATTTTTTCTCCAGCAAATGTCGAGTACAGAGAGAGATTAGATAAGTGTTATTGTCAGGTCTACGTAATGAGATGCCCCCTTACCAAAGTCTGAAGAATGATATGGACTGATTGAGGTTATTTGACATAGGAAAAGTTATTTAAGTTTAGTTATAAATCTATACACTACATATTAGTAGCAGCTTAATTATGATGATGATCATAGTAACACAGTAAACGTAAAACATGTGGTTTTTAGTACACAGGATTTATTCACGTCGTCCCAACGTCTAGTGTCAAAGATGAACAAATCACTCCATTTACCAGTAATTTTTAGATTTATGTTTGAATACAGTATCTTAATATAAGGTGCATTTGTATGAAATGTTATAATTAAAAAAATGTGCTGAAGGGAACGTTACTGTTGTGCAATTTCCTTATATAAACTGTGGTGCTCCTGTACTTACCGAGTGTATTAAGTAGTGTAGTGAAAATAGAATGTGTATTTAAATATTTTAGAATTATAGTTGTTTTTATTCTATTTTATTACACTAAATGATAGATAAGATCCAGGTTATACAGTACAGTATAATGAAGGTGGTACAGTTCTTGACCAACACTTGTCCAGACAACTGATATTGCACTAATGTGTCTGCACAGATGTTACTGACCAAGATATAGTTATAGAAAAACATGTACAGTGTAGCAGTCAATTTTTTAATCTTGACCATATTGACTCCTGCCCTGACCTGATTGAGACCCACTCTGACTGGATTGGCCTTTGATACTATGTTTTGTCAGCACTGGTCATTGAATTCCTGATTAGTAACATTGGCGCCGACATGCTGAGTACGACAAGCTCCAATGAGTACCAGCTGACCACGTGGTCAATGGCAGACAGTGTTTCCAGATTTGTTTTGGGGGGGTGAGGGTAATTATAAGATGGGTAAGTTTCTTGTAAATCTAAACCACTTATTATTAAGAATATTGGAGAGAGGAAATTATTCTTCGATGAAATATAATTGGTAACAAAGTTGGTTTAGCAGGGTATCATTTACTTATGCACTGTACAAATTTTAATTTTGTTTTATAGTGAAGATAAAATTGGTTTTGGTATGAGGGATGGTCTGATATTATAATGTACTGTATACAGGTTTTGGTGCAGCTAATTCTTTCTTACATAGGAAATTTGAGGTTTCTTAGTGGCAGCTGGTTAATCACAGGTGAATACTATTGTCAAACAGTTCAGTATTACTTTACTTAATTGTTTTGTGAGTATTACTTGGTAATAATCATGACAAACATTTCTTTTAGGTAACTGGAGAGTTATCAAACAATGGAAATCCCATGCGACGATTCATGCAGACCTTTGTACTGGCTCCACAAACCCCCAAGAAGTACTATGTACATAATGACATCTTTCGCTACCAAGATGAGGTTAGTAATTGAAGGTTGAGAAGTTGTGATTAACCTGAGTGTTAGTTCAGGTTCTGGACTTGTGTGTTTGCTGAACAGTGCATTTCTATAAAGGTTTGAAGACTTAAATTATTATGGTAGATCACCCAGTCCATACAGTATAAGCTAATGAAGGTGAAGTTATTTGAGAATTTTGAAAGAAGTTCCTGTATTTGTTCTTGTGCTGAGGAAAGTGATGAGAAGGAAGTCTGTACACCCTTATTGTTGCAAGAGTGAATATTCCCCAGGTCTTGTAATATAGTTTTTTGGAGTGAAAAGCCAGGAATAGACTTGCCCTGGGTTTGCAATACAGTATGCTCTTTGAGTTAAAAGAATCTTACCACTATACACACGCACATGGCCGCACGTTGGCTGGTATGTGCTGGGGAGGAGGGCACGGATGGAATGTTAAGACATTTGTAAATCACATTTATCAGACAATATTGTACAGTAGTAGTAAGTAATGTTCCCCCTTCCCCCTTTTTTTTTTCTCCTGAAGTGTAATTTGGATGATCACTCACAATGACAATGTGTAAACCCATTAACCCAAACGGTAGTGTCCCTTGCTATGGTTGTTAGATCATTCAAGTTAAATGTGTTTTGGTGGGGATTTTTGACAGCAACTCACCGTCTAGTAACGGCCTGCTTACCCTCTGGCCTGTTTGTATCACGAATTCCTGATCCCGATTGTACATGTCCTTACCCGATGGCAGGAATATCACAGTGATTGACCAAAATTTAAAACACTTATGCCTAAGGCCAGATGCTCCCTTTAACCCTTTAGGTGCGTAATTAAATTTCGCGCCGGTTCCTGAAAAGTGTCAATTATCCTGCCAAAAATGAATTTCATATAATCACATTTTCTATATGTTTTTCCTAGAGAACTTTTAGTATATTTTCCAAATCTGAAACAAAAATTCACATATGTGTGCAAATTTTAGAGAAAAAATGACATTTATACCCAAAAATGCAGGAAATTGGTATAAATCAATGTCTGGTATATGGCAAATAAATTATATCAATTTGGTTACTAAACAGCAAATTTAGATATGTATTACATATTCAGATAATATCAAACAAAATAGTACAAAAATAAGCTATATTGCATTCAAGAAATACTCCTATACCTCAATACATAATATGTCCGCATGTCGTCTCATTTGGGGAAGTTTTTTCAAGGCCGTGGGATATCCCCGCTTGTCGCATTTAATTAATATAATATTTTGGGCGGGTTTACCCGCATGTCGCATCCAAAGGGTTAAGCAAGTTGTGCTGATTACTTAAGTTAATTGGTTGGCTCCTTAATTTTGTTTAATTAGGGGCAATAGAAAGTGCAAAACATATGGCTTCATACATCACCTGAAGATCACAATCCACTGGTTGTCCTTTGTTTAGTGGAAATGTCTATGGGGAAAATACTGGTAGGAAAGCTTCATAGTTAGAGGTTTTCCATTTGTAGATTTGATAGTTGCACCCCTTTTAATATAACCATATATTCATGGCTGTTGACAGGTGTTCAGTGATGAGGAGGGTGGGGATGAGGCTGGCAGTGAGATCGAAGAAGATTTGGATGCTCCAATGCCACCTCAAAATTTCACAGCTCCTTCTGCCACGGTCAACGGATCAGCTCATCCTCCTGAGCCAGAGCCAACGCCTCCTGCTGCTCCCCAGACTCCAGTTGCCCCACAAGTCCCTACACCTGTACCAGTAAGTTAATTTCTTTTAAGAATTTATTCCAAATTTCTGAGTTCTAGGATCCATTTTTCAAGTCGCTACAGCAGCCTGTTAAAAAAAAATATGAGTAGCCATGGAAAACTATGTGTTAGGATAATTAAGCCATGATGTGTTAATTCCCCCTCCCCCCCTCCCCCACTAGCTGTTTCCTAACAGTGCTGTAGGGGGCAGACATGGGGCTGAGGGGCTGAAGCCTGCCTCGGCTTCAGGAAGCTTTTTTTTTTTTTCGGCATCAAACTCACAAGCCTGGCTTACGATTTTCTTCTTTACACAGGCACACTGACGACATTTTGATGTCACAGCTTATATGATCTCTGACTTTTCTGTTCCCACAATAACCTGACCTAAGAGAGCCTAAGTATATGCTACAGCTTCTATGACATCACAGCTGATTCCTAATAGTCTTTTCTCACAATAACCTGACCTGAACCTTGGACAAGTATCACCTCTGCCTCCCTGCCTTATCAGTCCCAGGTGCTGTGCCTTTGAAAATCTTAGGTCATTCGTTTCAATGAATGAAATAACAGAAGGAAGAGAATAAAATTTATAAAGATAAATTGTTACTATAAGCAACCTTTGTCATTCTAAAGAGAATCAAAACTTATCCCAATAACAATTAACTTATCTCAAAGCTTTGCGGCAACCTAGAATATCATATGTACAGTATTTATTTTACTGTATTTATGCATTGGTAAACCAATTCTGTGCATTCCTTCATTAAGATTGGTTGAAATATTAACCTTTAAAAAGAGGGTTCGACAATTTACCGTCCAGTTAAAGGAAAACTGTCTTGATTTTGAAGGTGAATCTAAGAAGAATGCAAATGGGTCAGATGAACAGGCAAAATAAAAATTTTGCACAATATCCCTTAAATAAACTTACTTGTACTGTATACAGTATATCAGTATCCATCTAGGTTACTTGATGGCAAACTTGTCTTGTGGTTTTGTTGATGTTTAATTTCTTTGTGTGCTGAATTTGCATCAGCCAAGCACCTTTGATCACCTACCCTAACTTCAGCCCCCTTCACTATAATCTGGTGTCAGTGGCAGTAACCCTTGTCATTTGAGGTCATAACTCCTGTTACCTTACGTCTACTGTTTTACTTTGGTGGTTCCTTTGAAATGTTGACAATTTGACAATGCCTGACTAGAGGCAGATAAATACAATGTTATTGCTTAATATTGTGAAAACAGGAGATATATTCATGATAACACTCATAATTTCTTGCATAAAGTACTAAGGACAACATATTTATTATGAGGTGCTAGTGCAATTGCTTGTTTCGGCAGGGTTGATAAGATGTTAATATAGTATGCACAGACCTGACACTAGCCAGTTTGTTGCTTGTGATAAACTAACCCTTCTTGCCTGCGGATTACCACTCTATAGATTATGGGAGACGGTATAAAAATACTTTTTTATTTATATTTCAGAGCGAGTGGGGAAGCCAGACATCACAGCCTGTGAGGGAGGTGAGTGAAAAATTAAACATTTGAGTAATTACTTAGTCTTAGATAAAAATAGTGGAAGCTGAAGAAATCAGTGTTGCATTATATTAATACAAAGCTCACTCCCAAATTCCGCGTGTTTTTAATTAGCTCTGTTGGCGTTTAGTATTGACCTTATACCATCATGTTTTATCTTACGTTGTCCATCAGTCCCATGATCATTACATACCACTTTGTGTACCCTCTGAAGTCCAAATGGTTTGATGTAACCTTGCTCGCTTTATCATTTGGCAAAGCTTAAGGACTTGTTTTGTTCAGATAATGCTGGGTTTGAATCTCTATTTGGCAGCTGTCATGACATTCTCTTGGAGACTGTATTTTGTAAGCTCTACAGTACAAAGGGGTAATTTTTTTTAAGTTAAAGCTCCTTACTGGTTTGGGCAATCCTAGGAATTGATCTTGGTGAAGCAACCATCATAAATTTCGGATTTATTTAATGAACTTTGTGACATAGCTCGCTTAGAATTACTTAAATATGCTTATCTAAGGCTTGGGTCATAGGACCCAGGGAAACCCTGACCTAATGTTGGCAAAGTTAATAAAAAAATAAATAAAGATAAAACGCAGAAAAGGGAATACAGTGATCCCTCGGTTAACGAATTACCTTCCATGAAGAAAGGGAAGCAGCACGACGTTTGGAGTTTGGGAATGGCAAATTTGAACAGTCAGAAGGTTCTCAGAACAGTTCTGGGGACACAATTCCTGAATGAATACCGACTGCAGTGTGAAGCGGAAACAATAATAAATAGTCGAACCATCACATCTACGTCGAGTGACATAAGAAAATAAGGAGTCTGCAATAGGCCGGTTGGCCTGTGCATGGCAGCTCCTGTCGAGAGTTACTACCACTCTCTATCATCCATGAATCTATCTAGCCTCCTTTTGAAACTTTCCAGAGTTCCCACACTTACTACAAAGTTGCTAAGCTTGTTCCACTCGTCCACCACCCTATTTGTGAACCAGTTTCTTCCTATCTCCCTCCTAAACCTAAACTTATCCAACTTGAATCCGTTGCTCCGAGTCCTATCCTGCTCGGATATTATAAGAACTTTATCTATATCCCCTTTATTGATTCCTTTCACCCACTTAAATACTTCTATCATATCTCCCCGCACTCTTCGTCTTTCTAGGGAATGCAAGTTAAGTTTCTTTAACCTATCCTGATATGGAAGGTTTCTAAGTCCCTGAATCATTTTTGTCATTCTTCGCTGCACCGACTCTAGTGAATTTATATCCATTCTATAATAGGGGCACCAGAACTGAACCGCATAATCGAGGTGCGGCCTAACTAGCGCAAGATATAGTTGCAATAAGACCTCTGCACTCTTGTTACTTACACTTCTAGATATAAAACCCAATACTCTGTTTGCCTTATTTCGAACATTAACGCACTGTTTTCTAGGCCGTAGGTCCGGGCTTACAAGTACCCCTAGGTCTCTTTCACAAGTCGACTTCTCTAGGTTGATGTTGTTCAGGCTGTATACATTATAAGTATTTGTTCTTCCAATATTAAGTACGCTGCACTTGCTGGTGTTGAATTTCATTTGCCATTTTTCAGACCACCCCTGCAGTTTATTTAGATCCTCCTGTAATGCATTTGCATCCTGCCCTGAATTAATTTGCCGCCCTATTTTGGTGTCATCCGCAAACTTGCTTATGTCACTGCTGATCCCAGTATCTAAATCGTTTATGTAGATTATGAACAAGAGTGGGCCTAGTACTGACCCCTGGGGAACCCCACTGGTTACGGCCCCACTCAGATTTAACACCATCTACGCTGACCCTCTGCGTTCTATCGGTGAGCCATGATTTTATCCAATTTAAAACTTTCCCCTCGACACCATGAGCCTTAATTTTTCTCAGAAGCCTCTGATGCGGTACTCTGTCAAATGCTTTGCTAAAGTCTAAGTAAATAACATCGTAATTTTCGTCATTATCTACTACCTCGAAGACTTTCCTAAAAAACGTTAGCAGATTTGTTAGACAAGATTTTCCCTTTGTAAACCCATGTTGAGAGTTGTAGATTAATTTGCTTTTCTTTAGATGCGATCGGATGCTATCTACTATAATTGATTCAAGAAATTTCCCCACTACTGACGTCAAACTGATCGGCCGGTAATTTGACGCTGATGCTCTGTCTCCCTTTTTAAATATGGGTACTACATTCGCCTGTTTCCACAACTCTGGCACAACTCCAGTGTCTAATGATTTTGTAAATAAATTTACGAGGGGTCCGCTAATCTGTTCCCTACACTCTTTTAAGACTCGAGGAAAAATTTCATCCGGCCCTGGGGATTTTGTGTTCTTTAGTTTATTTATCTTCTTAAGAACATCCTCTTTTCTGATGGTGATATTCTTTAATTTCTCTTCTTCCTTTCCCTTAAATATCAGTTCCACCTCCGGAATTTCATCGCAAATTTCTTCTGTGAAAACTGATAAGAAGTAGCTGTTCAATGCTTTGCTCATGTCTTCACTGCCATTTATCAATTCTCCCCTCCCTGACTTTAAAGGCCCAACTTTGTCCTTGACATTTGTCCTATATACCTGGAAAAATCCCTTGGGATTCGCCTTGGATTCTCTTGCTATTTTGATTTCATAGTCTCTCTTTGCTTTCCTTACATTTTTCTTAACATTCCTAGATAGTTCATTATACCTGTTTCTGAGCTGCTCCTCCCCTCCCTTTAATTTCTTCACACATGGGAGGAGTCTGGGAACGGCAAATCCAAAGTCAGAAAGGTTCTCGGAGCAATTGTGTGGACCCAAGTCCATAAGAATCTTCTATTCGGTTAACGAACAAAAATTCGGTTTACAAAATTTTTACAAAATCATGTCAACATGCTTTCGCTTGCTCACCAGCTGGAATATTAGTCCGCCAATACAGTAATTGGTTCTAGGGCTTAAATTCGTTCCCATTTGAGTAAATATCAAGAAGGTTGTACTATTCAATAATTTTCCAAGTTTTATATTAAATTTTTTTGTCATTTTAACACTTATTTAACATAATTGCAGTGCAGGAAACTAGTTTTTGGTGCATCAATCAGCCACTTGACTCACCCACCAAGGCGTCAGTTTGTATCTCTGGTCAGTGGAGGTAACATCTTGCTTGTGGCTCTCTTGAACATAAACTATTTTTACATTTTTACAGTACAATTATTGGTCATTCTGAAATTTATTTTACATATTGACAATATATAGTGCAGTGCAGTGTTGATTTAAAGAAAATAATCTTGAATTACACCTAGTGAACTTAAAATTTTATGAGTGAAATGGCGGCATGAAGCATGGGGTGATTTCTCTTCCACCCTCCACTTCCTTCTTTTATCTCTTCTCCTCCACCCCCACTTCTAACTCCCATCATCATCAACCAGGAACCTTCTACATACACACCTCAAAGTAAGTGTACTTTACTGCATTTATTTTTACTTTATGTAATTTTCGGTGAGCTGGAACCAATTACCCAAAATCCCATTGAAACAATGGTTTCGGTAAACGAACGACCTTCTGGAACGAATTGTGTTCGTTAACCGAGGGACCACTGTAATGATATTTTAATTGTTTCTCTATGGCTGGTCTATGCACATGGTTGTTAAAATCTTGGGAATTTAGAGAAGTTTTTGGAGTTAAAAGACCTGCCGTGGGGTCTTCTTATAATCTCACAGCCTAGTTAAAATCTCTCCAGTTTCTGAGATGCAATTTTAATGTTAGTGTGAACGTTTCTCTGTTTATTTTCTTTTTGTGAAGCTCTTAAGGAAGCATGTTTGCAGCAGTTTAAATACTGTTAGATGTAGAAGGAATATTGTAAAAAAAATATTTGTGTGCATGTGAAACAAAACATTGATACTGTACAGTGGTCCCTCGGTTAACGAACACAATTCGTTCGTTAACCAAAAATTTTGTTAACCGAATCCATTGTTTCAGTGGGATATTGGGTAATTGGTTCCAACTCACAGAAAAGTACCGTATATACTCGTCTATAACCCCCCCTCGTTTATAGGTCGACCCTGATTTTTTGACCAAGAAATCGTTAATTTATGATATTCCTCGTTTATAGGTCAACCCACGTTTTTGAGGGTAATGGAACAACAAAACCTTAACTAAAAACGCTCTACATCCTATAAACTGAGGCTCGCCGTGCCTGAAACACGAGTGCCGAAGGCAAATTGTATACTATTTATTATTACGACACTACACTGAAACGCGGGTAGTTTCAACAAAAATATTAAATATTTCCATTCAAGTATTTATTCAAGTCAATTAGGAGGGAATATTATTGTAATACAACAGTTTTTAACTAAACCATTCGAAAAGCGATTACGGTAACATCTTTTGAACGAAAGAAAGCGAAAGTCATTGTTTTCTTCACGATTTTATCCCACTTTCCACTGTAATACGTACGTAATTTCAGCAAAAATATTACATTTCCGTGAATGTATTATATCAAGAACAGTATGAATAGAATATCATTGTAATATAACAGAATTTTAACCGAAAACTTAAAAAAACGAGTAACATCTCAAGAACAGAAGCTTAGGTAAAGTCTTTTGTTTTCGTCGTGTATTTTATCCTATTTTACATTGAAATACATCACGTTTCAGCAAAACTACAATTTATTTCCGAGAATATATTCATTCAGGCGCAGTTTAGGTAAAATATGCGTGTGATGTAATAGTTTTTAACTGAAAACGATTCGAACAACACATACCCTCTAGCCCTGTTCAATGAGAGGACTGGGAGAAGCTGTTTGGTGCTGCAGACGATGACAAGGAAAATGATTTTGATGGATTTTAATGAAAATATTCAGAAATATGGTATCGTAGTATTTATTCAAGTCAATTAGGAAAGAATATTATCGTAATACAACAGGTTTTTAACTGAAAACCATTCGAAAAGCGATTACGGTAACATCTTTTGAACGAAAGAAAGCAAAAGTCATTGTTTTCGTCATGATTTTATCCCACTTTCCACTGTAATACGTACGCCATTTCAGCAAAAATATTACATTTCCGTGAATGCATTATATCAAGCACAGTATGAATAGAATACCATTGTAATATAACAATATTTTAACCAAAAACTATTAAAAAAACGAGTAACTTTTCTTGAACAGCGGAAGGTTAGGTAAAATCTTTTGTTTTCGTCATGTATTTTATCCTATTTTACATTAAAATATATCACGTTTCAGCAAAACTACTATTTATTTCCGAGAATATATTCATTCAGGCACAGTTAAGGTAAAATATACATGTGATATTTCAGTTTTTTAACTGAAAACGATTCGAAAAACACGTGTACTGTCTAGCTGATACAATTGGTGGTGCGTGATGCGTCATGCGTCGTTGTAAACAATAGGAGGTTGAAGTAGATTACCGGGTATTATATTAAGTGTGAAATATCGAAAAGGTTTTTATTACCTGTATTTTTTGTAGATCAATGAGAACTGTGATACCGTATATGATATGATAAGTTAGCCTGTGCTAAGAACTTCAACATAGACTACTGAAAGCACGTTATAAGGTAATTTAGCCTATTGTAAGTTGGTGAGCTTCATTTGCTGAAGGAACTGCACAACTTTTCATTACTAATTGGTACATATTTTACGTTTTCATTGTTTACTGGCAGTAAATGGTAAATATTTTTCATGTCTGAAGCTAAAAGTTGCTCCTCGCCCTTCCCATCATGCACGGGTTCAACCTAACAAAACTATTACGCATGTATAGGACGACCCCCAATTTTTTGCCTAAAAATTTGGTCTTAAAACTCGAACTATACACGAGTATATACGGTACATACAAAGTAAAAAAAATGCATTAAAGTACACTTACTTTGAGGTGTGTATGTAGAAGGTTCCTGGTTGATGATGACGATGATGGGAATTAGAAGTGGGGATGAAGGAGAAATCACCTTTCGGGGGACCCATGCTTGATGATGTAATTTTACCAATAAAATTTTAAGTTCACTAGGTGTTATTGAAGATTATTTTATTTAAATCAACACTGCACTGCACTATATATTAACAATATGTTAAAAAAAATTTAGAATGACCAATAATTTTAATGTAAAAATGCAAAAATATTCAAGACCCCAACAAAATCGATGTTCACTCCACTGTAAACAAAGCCAAACTGGCGCCTGGTGGCTGAGTCAAGCGGCTGATGGGCGCACAAAAACTAGTTCCCTGTGCTGCATATAATATCAATATGCTAACTAAATTTTAAAATAACTAATAATTTTAATATAACAAATGCACAAATATTAAAGAACACAACTTTCTTGATATTTACTCCACTGGAAACGAATGTAAACATAGAACAGATTACTGAATTGGCAGTCTAGCCCATCAGATGATGCTCACAACAAAACGTGCATTTCGTAAGGATTTTGTTAATCAAAGTTTTGTTCGTTAACCGAATTGAAGATCTTTATGGGAGGTAATTCGTTAATCGAACCGTTCGTTATTTGAGGGCCCACTGTATTGTACTACACAACTGAGTTGCAGTTATCCAAGCCAGTGGGAGGGCATCTGAGATCTTTTAGGCTCTTAGAATACAGTAGCAGCCTGTCATTGGTCAGTGAGAATTTAATTTTGTTTTGTGCATAGATGTATAGAACCTGAAACCAAACTACAACAAAAGTTTTTTATTGCAAATTAATTCAATCATTACAGAGAATTTGTTATGGTGGTTAAGAGGAACCTGAGGCTTTGCTTTTCTGATATTATATCATCTTAGATATGACTAACACTTCACTGATTGACCCCTGCATTTTCTGTTTGTTAAAGAAAGTCATGGAGTAGTTTCATCTCAACACCTTTTGAATGTTTCTGGGCCTTTGAAAACATTTTAATAATAATTTAGATGTTAATGCTATAACTGCCATCTGAAGGGTATGGAAACATGCCTTAGTTCATAATGAGGCCATTCTTATTTTGAAATGAATATTGATTTATTATTAGGCCTCAAAGGTTTTATAAGGCATCCCAGTTTATCAGAGGACATTATTCCTGGGACTCTATATTTGAATATGTTAAACATTGCTTTACAAATACTTCTCAGTGTGGTTCAGATTTTATTTCTGTTTGTATAGGTTGCTCCAGTGCCAACTACAGGAAATTCTGCAACTACTGTAACCCCTACACCAATTGTTGCTCCACCATTATCCCCAACACCACCAGCACCGGTAACAACAGAACCTGTACCAGAAGATCCACCTACCCCGGAAAAAGTGAGGTCACAAAACATATAGGATAATGTTCATCTGGTTATACTAATTTTTCATATTTTTTAAATGTACAGTAGTTTGGTTTGTATTATATATATATATATATATATATATATATATATATATATATATATATATATATATATATATATATATATATATATATATATATATAATATATATATATATATATATATATATATATATATATATATATATATATATATATATATATATATATATATATATATATATATATATATATATATATATATATATATATATATATATATATATATATATATATATATATATATATATATATATATATATATATATATATATATATATATATATATATATATATATATATTATATATATATATATAATATATATATATATATATATTATATATTTATATATAATGGAAGGCTACTTCTCTCTCCACAAAGGAAGATCAGGGTTGGGGTTCTCCTGGTCCTGACGGTTGGGGTGCAACTACAGAGCCCCAAGGTTCATCCTGGGATGAGCCAGCTGTTCCACAAAAGGAAACCCCAGACCCAGACCCTCCTCAACCTGATCCAGTTCAACAACCTGCCTCAAGTGAACCTAAGACCTTTGCAAATTTGTTTAAAAGCTCTCAAGGGTTTGCTCCTGCCCCACCACCAGCATCCACAGCATCACAGCAGCCTTCTACACAAACAACACCACCTGTGCCACAACAGAATCCACAGCTGGTGAGCATAATGGTGATGTTAAATTGTTCTTGAGGCAATTTTAAAATATTTACAGCTTTATATCTCAATTTTGATTCGATCTAGACCTAGGGTGGAGAAACTGTGGCCACTGGGGGTCTCAGGGTGGCCCCTTGACCATATTTAAGTGCAGTTTTCTCAAGAGACTTTAGTGGGTACAGAGTTTATCAATAGATTTGGATGAAATTGACAGGACATACAGTATATACAGTATTATAAGACTTAACTCCCAAATAAATGGACATAGTTTGAGTTTCATAGCTGTGGAACTGCATTGGGATGATGTTCCAGGGTAGTGTTCACACCCATTAAATCTGCAAAGATTAATCTTAGTACAGTACTGAAAATAATTGGTAGGAACTCTTGTTTTCAATCTGGCCCCCTGGCCTCAAAATTTTTCACACCCCTGATCCAGAGTAAGGATATTGGGGGTAATGAGAGCCGATCATGACCTTTAACCTTCATATATGTATACAGGAGGGGGAATTAGAACTCCTGTCCATCAGCTTTTGATTGTAATCCTTATGCATAAAACATTGAAGCTGTCCATCAAGCATTGTACAACTCGGAGAATATGATGTGTCACTGTAAATGGAAAAAAAAAACATATTGATAATTTTGTATTTACAATTTATTATTATAATAATTTTTATTTATTTATTTTATTTATTTTTCAATCCAGATCTAATATTCAGATGATTTTCATAATACAAATTTCATTCTAACCACTACCCATTGGCTAAATCACCACTTCACTCCTGTTCTCACTGTTCATTATATTTATCCACTCATTCATATCTTTCATTTTACTCTTAACTCCTTTATCACATTTTGTTTATTGAATTTCTTACCATTAATGAATTCTTCCATGTATTCTACACACTCCCTTTTTTCCCACTATTAGCTCATTCTGTTTTTCATTCTTACATTATTATTATCATATATTCATTCACCCTTTTCAACTTATTTCACTCATTCACATATTCTTTCTTTTTTTATAATCTTTTTCTCACCATTCCTTTCTTATTCATTCACCCATGCCTTGTTACTACTTTGTTAATTCCTTCATCCATATGTTCTTATCACTTGGCTTACTCATTTACCCATACATTGTTACCACTGTTGAATTTATTTTTACTTTCTTGGCACTGTAAACTTTGTTTTGCCTTAAAACTCTTTTATTCTTATCAGTCAGTTCACTTGTTCACTTATGCTTTCTCAGAATAGATGTACTGAAAACAGGATTTGGTTATGTATTAAATAAGTAACCCCTCCAAAATTGCCCAAATGAAAAGAAGATTTGGAAATTAGATTAGTCAGAATTTGTAGGTAATAATTGTTTGAATACTGTCCATATTCATTGTATAACGCTTCTTAAATGAAGAAAATGGGAGCCGATGTTACTGTATTGTTTATTTATAGTGACACTATTGTATTGTCGATCTCTTTTCGATTTGTTTGGGTGACTAAAGTTTTCTTGTGTCAAGATCAAAGGTCAAAACCTTGTCTATAACATAATTTGTTTTAAGATATATTTTTATGACATGATGTTGGCTATGAATCATTACTAAAAGTAGAATACTAAATTCAAGCTTCTCTTGAGAGTCTTACGTTGGAGATGAAAATAAAGGTGAGATTAATTTTTTTTTTTATATAACATATCATCAGTTTCTCCCCCTTTTTTTTTCCAGAACCGAGTTGAAGTAAACAATCGTGCTACATCAGCGGCTGGTGCAAATACTACTCAAAATCAGCCTCAGTCAGGAGGTGGATATAATCAACGGACACCTAGGAGCACACAAGGACGAGGACCGCCAAGAGACCGCCCGTACAGGCCCAACAGTGAAGATAATTCAGAATTGGGTAGGTGTTTGGTCCCCTTAACTTCTCTAATGTAGAGGGATGCCATTATGTAGACATTCTCTCTTTAGGTGTTTTTAGATTAATCTATTTCTCTGGGTGCCTTATACCTTGGCAGCTCTCAAGAGGTAGTTAATGACAGGAATAACCTCAAGTAATCTGATACCTGGCTTAAGTTTAAAAATGTATTTTCACCTTTTTTTTTCTCTCCCTAGATATATCTTCAGTATTTGAAGTTTCCTCCTTTCTTCTCCATTCTCAGACATGAAATATTTGCCACCATTTCCCAACATTGCCTGTCATTAAATCATCAGAATATTCCCTCAGCTTACTATACTTACCTCTGTATCTTTTATTCTGCTACTGTTAGTCCTTTTCTTCAATAGTTTTATGGTAAAACTTTTTTATGTTCCCCTTTACATATTTCTTTGCTAAATTGAAACAAAGATCAATTTATAAAGCTTTTATCCTCCCAAGCCCTTTTCCACAATGCTGAAGGGTGGCCAGAATGAAGAGCAAAAATTAAGACTCCTTTTGCTCATTCAGTCATTCCTTCTAAACTGCTCTGACATCCCAATAAATCAATACTTCTTGCTTTTGTCATTAGTGCACTGCTGCTCCCTGGTTATACATCCCCATAGTTTCAGGCTTTTTATTCCCCATTTCCATCTCCTTGGTTGTTTCCTACCCCCCTATACCATCTCTGAATTATGCTCTCTTTACCAATCTTTCACTTTCATTTCACTCGGCATGTCTGTACAGTGACCCCTCCGTTAACGAACGCAATCCGTTCCAGAAGGTCGTTCGTTAACCGAAACCATTGTTTCAATGGGTTTTTAGGTAATTGGTTCCAGCTCACTGAAAATTTCCTAAATTCAACAAAAATGGTAGAAAAGTTCACTTACTTTGAGGTGTGTATGTAGAAGGCTCCTGGATGATGATGATGATGATGATGGGATTTAGAATGGGGGTGGAGGAGAAGGAAGAAGAGAAGGCATTGGGGTGGAAGAGAAGTCACCCCATGGCGCCATTTCACCCATAAAATTTTAGCTCTGGTGTAATTCAAGATTATTATCTTTAAATCAACACTACACTGCATTATATATTGTCAATATGTAAAATATATTTCAATGACCAATAATTTGCTTGGAAATACAGAAAAAAAGCATTTAGTTGAAGAGTCTCAAGCAAGATGTTACCTCCAGTGAAAACAGAGAGAGACTAACTCCTGTTTGCTGTGTTAAGAGGCTGGATGCCGCGCATTAAACTAGTCACTTTACCTTCAATTATGTTCAATAATTGTTAAAATGACTAAAAAATTGAATATTAAACTTTTAAAATTATTGAATAGTATAAACTTCTTGATATTTACTAAAATAGTAAGGAATTTAAGCCCTAGAACCGATTAATGTATTGGTGGACTGATACTAAAGCTGGTTGCCCGGTCAGTTCAAGCGAAAACATGTTGAGGTCGGTTCGTAAGAACTTCGTTAACCGAATTTTTTTTCGTAGCCGAATTGAAGATCCTTATGGAAGGCAGTTCGTTAATCGAAATTACGTTAACCGAGGTGTTCGTTAAACGAGGGGTCACTGTATAGTACCTCCTTCGCAAACCGTACTTGGCTCTATCCCAATGCTTTCATTTACATATACAAATACATGTAATTTTTTTTCTTTTTTTGTATCCCATTCTTCCCATATATTACTGTCAAGCACATTTTATGTTGATTTAGGAAAAGTATGTGGAATATTTTAGTCAGACAGTAACCTTTAATGAAGACCATTGAGCAATATATAATAAGCGCTGTATCTCGTGCTAGTATCCAAGAAATTTTTCTCTAAGTTCAAAATAGAAAGCTGTTCAATGAAATTTGGTCCCAACTACAACTTCTGCAGTATCAATGAATGTTTGACTTCTTTTACCCTTAAAATATAATTTTGTTAATAATGCCAGTAAGCTCATCTAATATTTGATTGCTGTAAACATTGTTCGGAAAGTTACATTACACAGCTATTCTTATACCTTCCCCTTTTCATAGTCATTGGGTCCACCCAACCTGTATGTACCCAGTCTTCAGCACAGGCTTTAATATATAGCTACTGCATGAAAAAATACCAAATAGCTGACTGAGTATAGGTTGCTAATACTGTATTATTTAAGTATGAGGTAAAAAAATGATAATTAAATAATATCACCTTATTTCTTACATCAGAGAGTGTGGGTGGTGAAGAGAGACGGCGAGCTCCTCCAGTGCCTGACAGTCAACAGATTTTTGTAGGAAACCTTCCACACACAGCAGGGGAAGATGAACTGAAGGTAGGTGTCTTTAATGGGTCTGGCACCTATGGGATAACTTCTTGTTCAAGCAATTGGAGATAATATTTTGCTTGGAATCACTAAAATTGGAGAAGTCTGGGCATCTAGTTTGGTGCAACTCATTGCCATTCAAATTTATAACTGGCATATGAACATGACCCGAATAAACCTACATTAGAGTGGTCATAGTCTACTTTCTAGATGAGTGGTTCCCATCCTTTTTATTGGCCAAGGTACCCTGTAAGCCACATGTAATATTTTCTGGAACCCCGGTCATCTGTATCTACACGTTCTCCTCAAGCAAAATGACAACTGGATAAATTTGTCAAAATAGGTTTTTGTGCCATCTGACCATGTAAACACCCTTCTTAAAACAACATGTTGCATTTAACCATATTCAGTGCATTCCCAAACTCGAGTATTCTTTTACCTTCTATATTTCTTGACCCAAAGACTTTTGCACCTTGCACACTTTTGTATCCTGATGTGTCACCAACATTGGCTATTTAGGTCACCACCCTTTCACCTAGCTCTGATATACATGGTGGATTTAACCATGTCAGGTGATTGTGGAACAGCAGGCTTAGTTTAATGGTGTCAGGTCAACAAGTTGTGGTGGGAAATGTTGTGTGTTATTATTGAGTGTGGGCTAGAGATCACCTCATGTGACTCCTTCACATGACTTTTAGGAACATACCCATCTGCTACATCTCAATCTGGTAACCATTTAACTAGAAGTCAAATATACAGTATGTAAAATATATTTTGCATTCACTGTTTTTAATATCATGCTTTGTGTTACATTTAACCCTTTCATGAGTATTGTCAGCCTCAGCAGATGCAGATATTGTATCCCTTCTCAGATACTTTTGGCCACATCTATCACCATTTATTTCCAAGACCACCATGCTGCAAAAATAAAGGCCTTAATTTTTCTCCATACTTAATATGGTGAGATAGCTGACACCCACCCACTCATTGCCAGCAAATTTTTTAACCCAGTTAATCCCCTACTAGCTTGTCATCCATATTGCAAAGAAAAAGAAGCCCCAGAGAGGCAGTACTTCAACTGAAGTAATACCTAAACCAGATAGAAACTGCTGAGAAATTCAGCTGGAAGGTCACTGGAGATAAGATTAAGACCCTCGATGAAATAAGTTGGCAATGCCACTCTTATTTCTCTGGATGGCTGCCTAAGAAATCGAATCAACTAAAACCTCCTGGGGGATCCCTCTTCACCACCAAATGATTATGGCATGGAGAGGTAACCCATTCATGAAAGGGTATAAAAGTGAAAATGATGCATACTACATTATATTGTGAACAATACTTTTAAGTTACTGAATGTCTCGTTTCTAAAACTATAAACACATACGACGTTGTTACTACAGAAAAAACATTGATAATACTGTTACCATACTTAATTACTTTATATTAAAGGAAATTAAAGAAAAGAAGATTCAATGTTATTTTTAGTTTAGTTTTAATATATAAAAGGTAAATCATAAAGCACTCAGTTCTATGGGATTGTTGGCCTTCTACTTAAACGATGATTAATATCTAAAGCACTGTTATGTTGGTTTTTTGGGACTTGCTGTGGTCAGCTGTCCATAAATTGTCTGTTGAAACCTAGTTGGCATACTCTTGACAGTTCCTTTATTAAAATTGTGTCCACTGTCAATGTTTATTATGCCACACTACTCTATTGTTAAAAAAAGCTCTATGCCAAAAGTCTCTCACAACATATTTGTGTAAAGTTTTAATGAAATTTTTAAAAGCACCTACTGTACATTAGTACGGCGGACACGGGTGGCAAAAGATCAAGAGTTGACCTAAAGGTTTCTTATTTGAATAGATTATTCTGTTCACCTTTGGAGAATATTCTATTAGTAAAAACTTAGTCTGTGTTTGTTCATGCAAATTATAAAGTGTGTTTTCTATCTTTTCAGGCTGAGTTCTCTAGATTCGGCAAGATAGTTGACGTTCGCATAAATACGGCAAAGGGCAAGACTGGTCCAAAGGGACAGGTTCCTAATTTTGGGTTTATCACATTTGAGGAGGAAAGTTCTGTTACCAGGGCTCTTCACAGTAGGGTAAGTAGGCATTTAGTATTTTGTAAATTTGGTTATTAATATCTATAATTTACAGGTTCATAATTTTGGGTTTATCACATTTGAGGAGGAAAGTTCTGTTACCAGGGCTCTTCACAGTAGGGTAAGTAGGCATTTAGTATTTTGTAAATTTGGTTGTTAATATCTATAATTTATTACCTCTGCAAAATTTTCCCGTTATTAGGCTTATATAATAATAACAATGATTTATGAAATCCTTCATTAATATCGAATCACAGTTTTAACTCATTTTTATTGTAATTTCAATGACTACATTTATAAAGGAAAATGATCATAAGAACTGAATTTCATGGGTTGCAGTGGAGGTTTGGTAAGCTTACATATTCCATGTCATTTTATTGGTGGAAGAGTTGATGAAATTTTTTGTTATAATGAGGTAACATCACAATTTTTTGGTAAAACTAATATTGAATGTTACACAAGAGCTGTGTTTTGATTCACATTTTAGTTTGTTTTGTGTATATTGGTACAGGAATAACAAATTTGTGAATATCAAGACAATTTTCCCCCAAAGAATCATTGTAATTAGGAGGGGATGTGTTCCCAGCAGGTAAGTTTCACCGCATATTTTTTTATATGCACTCCTCATTTGAGGCTATTAGGGACCAGGGTCGCATGGACAGTATACTGTAGTACAGGTTCCCTTGAGATATGAACGTTCGTGATAGGAAAATTCACTTATACGAATTTCCTAAATTTAACCGCTATTTTGAGATACGAAAGCTTCCCCCACTTATGTGAATTTGGGTCTGGACAAAAATTCAAATCGCACGCCCCCGAGAGTTGGCTGGAGTCGCCACATATCCTTGCACTCTCCCTACCAGGCTGAGGTAGGAGTTATGTCATATTTATTTCTCAACTCGTAATTTTTGGGTACATAAACATACCTGGTAACTTTCTAAATATTTTTTAATTTGGTTATGCGCACACACAATTCTGCATACAGAATGTGTAATAATAATAATAATAATACAAAAAACATAAAGGGAATAAACATTTCTTATGTGCATGATAAACATACATTTTTATTTGTTTATTTTTTACATTCACACTCGGTCTTTCATACAGAAAATGCAAAAAAAAATCAAATAAATATATATACTGTAGTAAGATAAAAAACATAAGAGAATAAAAATTTCTTACGTCCAGGCAATTGTGGGAAGGGGGGGTGGGTCAGTGTTGGTATCTCAGCCTCCTGCCAAGCTGTGAGCTGCATTATTGTTATTTTTCAACTCATATTTTCAGGTAGATATAGTTTTTCTTTTAACTCTGTTACATGCACACAATCTTCATACAGATTGTGCTTAAAATAAAAAATAATTATCGTAAAGTCCAAAACATTAAGGAATTAAATATTTGTTGTGTATGAATGTTAGCTAAGAGAGTGAAGAAGGGGGCAGTGGGGTGTCCGTCACAGCTCCGCTGTCTCATGTGTAGTTGACAAGATTGCTAAAATGCTAAGCAGAATTTTTGTCTTTTCTTTGTTATTTTTATTTACCGGTATTCCTCACATTTACTGGTACATTATATATTATTTTATGTACTAGATTAAGTTCTTTCACGCATAAACCATCCTCTGGGTGATGTGACATGTTCAACTGCTTAGCCTGTCAATCACCTGGGACGGGCAAAACCTCCTATGCATCCCACGTGGGTTGCATATGTTACTCCTTCCCATAACATAATGTACCAGAGCAAAACAATACTTTATTAACTTTTGTCATATGTTTGGTAGTAAATTAGAGTAGTAATATCTTCTTTAGCTGGACTCACTGTTAGCAGGAACCCTCTAATACCCAGAATCGAAATTGGCTTTGAATTTTTACGGAAAAATTCTCTCTGTTCCGGGTCTGAATGAGTTTCAAGGTTGAAAATCAGCTGCCTTTTTTTTATTCCGAGAAAATCTCTGCAAGTGTGTCTGTTCTGGGCCTGGTAATAAATTTTCTTGGAGTTCTGGGATTGCATCATATTCCAACATGTCCCCACGTGCCAGAATGAGTGGACAGTGTCTGCCTACTCTAGGTTCAAGACCACAGCATCTGCTGGTGAGTACAGTATATGCAGTAAAGTACAGCAGTAGTATATTTTGCATTATATTTTTGGGTTACATTATTTACATTATATTGTACGTATACTTTGGTGCATAAATAAATACAGCTCCGTGTAAGATGCGTTGAAAATTTTCCCAGTGAAGAGTGGAAGATTCTGCTGTCGTCGCTATAACCCATAGGTTCCTTTTTTAACCAGACTTTAAATTATTGTATGCGGGATTATTTGGGGTAAGAAATGGAGTGCGGTTGTCTAACCCAACCAGAACTGATTTTCTCGACTCCGGTATCAATATGCCATCTCCACGGATATTATACCTCGCTAATCCTCATTTTGCGATTATTTCATTTAACATTAGGTTTTCAGGAATGGATCCCATCATTAACCGAGGGATACCTGTATAAAGATTTAATAGAAGTAACATTTTCAGTTTAAGATATTATTCTGTTTTGTGAATGATTGTGTGTTTGTTTAATAAGGGGTAATTGGGCATATGAAAATGAATGAATGAAAGATGGAAACATGAACAGCAATTTTATTTTATTTTTTTATTGCCCAATTTAAAGGTAGGTGAGTAGTCTGATTACCTCAAGGAGTTACAACCTTGCTTTACTTTGGTCCCACCCTGCAGGTTGGTGTTGGGAAGGGCATCAAGCATTCCTGATGGCAAACAGGTCACTAGAACCGTGTCCATCCTCTGGTCTCTTGCATTTTCTGGGCTATTGTCCTGGGTTTGTGGTGGTGAGCAGGGGAGAGGACATCCCATTCTAGTTTTACCCAATAGCTGCCATTAAGTAATCAAGGCTGACCAAAACTAGCATGGAAAGCGCCTGCGGAACCATATTATGGAGCCCGCAAGGGTTCATTAGAAAATGTTTGATTATTTGGGATTCTTTGTAAATGTGGAATTAATGAAAATATGTAATAACTTGATACAACTGTCATGTACAGGACGTGTATTACCCCAGAGAGAGGGCCAGCCTTCTCACGGGGGTAAATACACACGTCCTGTCCAACCAAGAGTAAATGTAAAAAGTATGTAGCTGGTAAGAGTTAGACTTGTAAAACTGTACAGTATATGAGATATTTTTTCTTGAATGCAGATCCAATGTTTTTGGGCCTCCACAATATTTACAATGATAAATGTGGGCCAGAGCCTACAAAAGGTTGGGGACCACTGTCATATGACAATGAGTGTACACTATTACACAGTGGTGCTTTTTAATTTTTAAAAGCGGCAAGGATATGATACTCTCTGAATGTATGTATTTCACCCTGAGATGTTAAAAAAAAAATTTATGCCTGTGAATGAAGTTTTGCCTAATAACTGAAAAGGATGCAGATGAAAACACAAAACAAAAAATAAATAACAAAAAATTAACTTCCAATAGATACTGATGATGGTCTTAAATTTTAATAAAGTTTAATTCCAGTATATAAATATGACTGTTACAGTGGTCAACTTATTAGGATAGAATAGTAAGTTACTTGAAGGTCTGCGCTACAACTTCAGAAAGGTACGTACTGTAATGTTGCTGTAAGTAAATAAGTTAATAGGTATTTATAAGACAGGAACAAATGCAATGTAGACAAAAATATATGTGAAGAGACTATTGCAGTACAGTGTATATAAAATTAGCTTATATTAATTGGCACAAGCAGGAAAAAACTAGATTAGAAATTCCTCGTATTTTAATCGAAATCCTTTGATAATATTATGTGATAGCAATATAAATTTGCAACAAGTTTTATTATTTATATATATAAATGTATCTATTTTGTTT